TACATGTGTGTCTATATGTGTATATTTGCAAAGCAAGGACCCAATTTTGATACAGTTTCAGTTCACATGATACCTGTGCAAAGGAAAGACTGCCTGTACTGGGTAAATATAAAAGCTTATCTAGATGCAACATTTGTATATTGCAACTGCATAAGAATAAGATGAACACAAATGAACACTCAATTTTCTTCTTTTAAACTCTCACTGGAAGTAACTCAATGTTTCTAGCGCTGAAGGGGGAATGATTAAAGTTAGGATGTATTATGCATCTACATGCATTTTCCAAAAATCATCTCTAATTCATGCAACTCTATAAGGTAGAGAATAATATTAGATTTGTTTTCTATAACTTATGCTCAGAAAATTGTTGCCAGCTCAGGATTGCCTGGCTAGAGCAAGGCAAAGCCAGGATTTGAAATCAGGTCAATTTTTAGAAAATTTAAATGTTGCTTATAACTATTGATGTATCTTTAAATTACCAATAGATTTTTAGAGAGTGATCACATATACAATTCCATTTCATCCTAATGAATTCCCCCAAAGTAGGCTAAGGCAGATGCTAAGATCTGTATTTTAGGAATTAAGGTCTCCTATTTAATTACTGTGATTACTGACTGATCCCATGCCCCTTGCCTGCATTAGAATGTAAAACACTCAAACTAGAATGTGGAAATAGCTATTTACTTTCAGTTCTCAATTATGATTTGAGATAGTCAATGAAGGAGGAAAAATTACGTGCACTAAGTACAAATAACATTGAGAAAAATTTTTTTCTTTTATAAGTCATATCTGAATGTAGAACATTTTTCATTCTTTTTTAAAATTAATTTTTGTCTGCCCATATAAATTTTTATGTGTCTTTAAGGATAAACTGACAGCATCAGTAGCTTTAGATTCTGATATGCAGTTAAGCCTTTAACTGTCTATTGATGTTTGTGGCAACTACTTGGAATATGTGTGTATTTAGAAAATAATATATAGATTTTTTCATATATATGTATGTTTATATCTTATATATATAAATATCTCACAACTTCAGTCTTGACTAAGTAAGATGGAGTCTTAAAATGCTTCAGCCATATTAAAAATAAAAGTCAAGGGATTTTATTTTATGGTCTAGAGCCACCATCCAGGACGAAGTCGCTAACCACATGTAATGAATGAGCACTTGAAATATGGGTAGTCTAATTGAGATGTACTATGAGTGTAAAATACACACTGGGTTTCAATGACAGCCCCCCAAACATATTTAAAATATCCCAATAAATTTTGTATTGATTATATGTTGAAATAATATCTTAGATATATTGAATTAACTAAAATATAATATTAAAATTAACTTCAACTGTTTCTTTTAAGTTTATTAATGTGGATACTAGAACGTTTAAAATTATGTGTGGCTCACATTATATTTCTATCGGAGCACACTGCTCTAGACCAATCCAGCCGCAAGATTGTATGACTTTCATCTCGAAATCAATATTGCTTTTTCTTTTGAAATTTGAGAGAAGAGACATATGAACTAAAGAAGGAATTGTCCAGTTTGGGAGCAGAATTCATATGAAATCTATGAGCCAGGACTTGGGTTTGAGAAGTAAACTGTTCAACATCACAGTATCTCTGAGCAAAATTAAGAAATGACTTCCATGCACCAAACAGATCCCAGGCAGTGGTAAAGGTGAAACCAAAGGTTGGCTAGCTAAAAGCTTCAGGAAGATTTAGGGGCCAAGAGCATTGTCCCACAGCAGCCTCAAAGGGGCCCCAATAACCTGTCCCAGAAAGAAAAGCCAAGAGTGTCTTAGGGCCTAATGGAGTGAGCTCCTCCATTAACTGGAGGAAATTCAAAGGAAAGCACACAAGTTCTGTAAGAGGATGAGACTGGTGGAGGAGTGGAAGCACTGGCAGCTTGGACTAGACGTCCCTCTGGAAGGAAGCAGGCTGCGAGCCTACTCCGTTGCAAACCTGTGCCATGCCCTCTTCGTGAAGATGACTCAGAGGGTGGGAGCCAGAGCCCAGAAGGCAGAGCGAAGAGCTAGAGGAAGCCAGGGAGCAGAAGTGGGTCCTAATCAAGAAATTGGAAACATGAGCTTGCTTGGACTCCAACAGCCATGGGCTGGTGACTGCGCTGTCTCCCGCTGCCCCTCCTTTGGGACACGAGTTCCAGTTGTGGTTTCTTCAGTCTCTGTGTCTCCATTGTTCTTTGGGCACGTGGGAGGCCGCTGGCTTGTCTCTTTAGTTCACGGGTCTTCAGATCCAGAAGAAATGCCCCCCCACGAGGAACCTCCTTGTCCTCACTTGGACATGATCGAGATGATTAAATTTTAGGGAATTTTGAGTGGCTTGAGTATATTGTGCATGGAGGGGGAGGAGTGTAAATAATGTCTGGACAGAAGGTGGATTATGACCTGAAAAAAAAAAAGGTGGATTATGGTAGAGTAAAAATGTTCTTTGACACACTCCCCATTGGAGAGGGGTTCTCTTTTCCAACACTTGGAATCGGTGAATGCTTGGATAATGGAGTACAATGTAAGTGGCACTATGCCACTTTAATAGAGCAAACAGCTTCTGCCTTGGTTTCTTAGAGCCCTGAGTGCCATGTAGGACCCACTGGGTTTCTGGCTGTTCTGCTGGAGAGATTCCCCGGGGAGGTCCCGAGACTACAGGAGAGAAGGGCCACCTGGGCCCAGCCTTCCAGCCATCCCTCTGCCCCCAAGGGCTAGATACGTTGTGCGTGAAGTCTTTTTGGTATCTCCAGCCCAGCCCAGAGGCCAGTTGAATACCACTGAGCAATTCCAAGAAGCCACAGTGACACACAGAACAGACAAATCACCCAGCCACATCTTGCCAGGATTCCTGACTTCTGTGGTTTGTGAGCATAACAAAAATGACTTGTTTTAATCCACTAAATTCAGGGTAGTTTGCTGTGCAGTAACAGATATCTGGGACACAAACACACACACACACCCCACATCCTAGATGAGTGACCTGGAACATTTCACTTAAGGTCTCTATCTTCAGTATTTTCATCAGTAAAATTGGATGATAATATCTACCTAGCATGGGTGTTAAAAAATTAAACAGGGGATCCCTGGGTGGCTCAGCGGTTTGGTACCTGCCTTTGGCTCAGGGCGTGATCCTGGAGTCCCGGGATTGAGTCCCGCGTCGGGCTCCCTGCATGGAGCCTGCTTCTCCCTCTGCTTGTGTCTCTGCCTCTCTCTCTCTCTCCTCTCTCTCTCTATCATGAACAGATAAATCTTTTTAAAAAATTAAAAAAATTAAACAAAACAATGTACATATAAAGCAGCCAGTCTATATTGGGATCATAATCATAATATTCTTCTCTTTTGTTTCTCTATCAGGTCTCCCTTTATGTATCAATAGTTTTAGCAGGTATGTGTTTAACCTCAGACACCATCATAGCTTTCCTCATAGACACATCCATGCACACTCGCTCCCCACAGATGTACACATATGTATGGATCAGGATTAAAATCCTATTAATTTTAGGATTTAAAGCCATTCACCACTTCAAACTGATTATTTGTGGTGCTAAGTGTGGGGAGGATGCAGTATCCTTAGTTCAAGACATGGATGGTTTTATTGTTGGTAGTGGTTTCTGACCATTCTCTTAGGGTTGCTCATTAAAAGTCAGATTAAAAATAAATAAACCAGACTTTTTTTTCACTAATAAATGGAAGAGGTGTGGTGTACCTCTAAATGCAAGATGCCGAGCAGAAGGAATAGGTCGGCTTCATTGTACGGACTGTTCAGACTCGGGAGGCCTCAGATCAAAGGCGAATGGATATACAGGGCGGACTACAAAGCGTACCAGCGCCCGTTTTATACATTGTAATTATGAAAAATATTGTAGTGGGGAAAGGTATGCTACGCGTAGTGCCCGCACTCTGACACCTTGCTTACGCAGCCTACTTAAGCTAAATCATTCCCATTCTTTCAGTTTATGAATATGATGGCTTGGTCATCACACAACACAGGGGCCAGTGACTTTGGTCCTGGTATAATTAATTGTGTGACTCCAAGATGGAAACAAGCACACACCAATACACACAGACACAGGTTTGCAGAGAAGTTATTGGATCAGATACGATAAAACACCTGTGTGAGAATGGAGAGAGGGACCCTGAAGGGGCACAGTTAGACCTAGAGTTCCTGTTAATCAGGTTAGCATCTTGCATTTACCAGGTCTGAGGCTTTGTTTTTTTTTTTTTAACTTTCCTTCTGCCTACCCTCCCACCGGGCACCCCTGCCCAATTAGGAATTCTCTTGATGGGAGGAGGGGACAGGTCGCCTACCGTCCCCCCTCCCCCGCACCCCTGCCCAATTAGGAATTCCCTGATGCGAGGAGGGGTCAGGTGAACTCGTTCTGTAGTTCTCGGTCTATCTCCTGTTAATTAAAGGTCCACTTAGGGGAGTTAAGGAGAGCAAACACCTGTCGGGGCAGCCCGTCCCGCCCAGACAGGCCCGCGGAGGGGTGAGGGGCAGCGGGTGCGCGCGGGCGGCGCAGGGAGGCGGCAGGGCGGGCGCCCAGGGGCCCCGTGGCTCGCGGCCAAAGCTCAGGTCACTGGGTTATGAAATCGGGCCTCTGGCAGCAGGCTTTCCCCAAGGTTAGGTTCCCGGGAACGCGGGAGGCGGCGGCTGGGACGCGGAGTCCTCGGGGACCCCCCCCCCCCAGCCCGGCCCGGGCCGACCTCAGCGAGGGCGGAGGAGGAGGAGGAGGAGGAGGAGAGGAGGAGGAGGGCAGGGCGTGCGCGGCGGGACCCGGCCGGCCGGGGGGGGGGGGGCGCCCCGCGAGCAGCCGCGCCCATGGGCCGCGCGCCCCCGGCCCGCAGCGCCCCCGGCAGCGCCGCTCGGGGCTGGGGCCTCCGGGGCGCGACTGCGCTGCGGGCGCGGGGCTAGCGGGCGGGGGCGCGGGGCCCCGGGGGCGCGGGGCTGGGCGGGCGGGGGCGCGGGGCCCCGGGGGCGCGGGGGCGCACGGCCGCCCGCAGCCTGCAGGGGGCCCGCGCGGGGCGTCGGCGGCCGGAGGGGCCCAGGCCTCGGGGCGCGCGGCCGGGCCCCGGGGATGCGAGCCCGGGCCCGGGACTGATGGTGATCGGGTAAGTGTCGGGCGCCCAGGGACGTGGGGCGGGCTTCGCGCGGGTCGCGGGCTGGGGGCGCGTGTGGGGTATTTTCCCTGCGCCGGCTGCGAAGCGGGACTGCGTCTGCTCGGCTTCCCCGCATCCGTTCGTGAAATCTGCGGTGCGGACGTCACCCGGCTTTCCCAGGGAAGCTGCCCCCGTGCGCCGGGGCGACAGACTGTCCGCCAGCCCCGAGAGCTGCCGCCGCTTCTAGGGTGTGCTCCTCTTGGGTCGGGGCGGCGCTGCTTTGCCTTTGCTTGCGAACTGGTTTTTAAATGTGTTTATTATTTGACAGAGAGCACAAGCAGGTGATGCAGCTGGCAGAGGGAGAGGGAGAAGCAGACTCCCCGCTGGGTAGGGACCCCCCCGCCCCCCCCCGTGGAGCTGGGTCCCAGGACCCTGGGATCATGATTTTTTTTTTTTTTTTTTTTTTTTTTTTTTTTTATTAGAGAGAGAGAGGCAGAGACATAGGCAGAGGGAGAAGCAGGCTCCATGCACCGGGAGCCCGACGTGGGACTCGATTCCGGGTCTCCAGGATCGCGCCCTGGGCCAAAGGCAGGCGCCAAACCGCTGCGCCTACCCAGGGATCCCCCCTGGGATCATGATCTTGACCCGAGCCTGACCCCCTGAGCCACCCAGGCGTCCTGGCGCCCTTTCAGGGGACGAGGGGCTTCCTGAGAGCCAGCCCACCCAGGAAACCACCCCGCATTTTAACCCATTCAGAATACAGTGTTTGTTTCAGGCAGGCCTTTAAAGCAGAAATGCAAAATTACGAACGCTTCGATCACACTAATGTTGAATTTCTACAAGGCAAAAGGACAGAGGTTTGTGGGCTATCTAGAGGCAAGTTTTATTTATTTATTCATGAGAGATACAGAAGGAGAGAGAGGCAGAGACACAGGCAGAGGGAGAAGCAGGCTCCATGCAGGGAGCCCGACGCGGGACTCGATCCCGGGTCTCCAGGATCACACCCCGGGCTGAAGGTGGCGCTAAATCACTGAGCCACCGGGGCTTAGAGGCAAGTTTTAAAAAGTAAAAATAGATAATAGTCACTATCTTGACACTGGAAATGAGCGGCTCATAGAGATTGGGAGTCAGCCTTCCCTTTGTTGCATGGACAAATTAATGCCATATAGTTCAGTGGGTGCACTTCAGTCTGCTCCAAAACGCAGGTCACCTTTCCAAATGAACAGCCTTAAATGTACACCCATTAGCAGTTTTTATTTATTTATTTATTTTTATTTTTCAAAATTTTCACTTATTTATGATAGTCACACACACACACACACACAGAGGCAGAGACACAGGCAGAGGAAGAAGCAGGCTCCATGCACCGGGAGCCCGAGGTGGGATTCAATCCCGGGTCTCCAGGATCGCGCCCTGGGCCAAAGGCAGGCGCTAAACCGCTGTGCCACCCAGGGATTCCAGTTTGTTTGTTTGTTTTTTAACATCTCTAAAATTTAAGGGGCATAGACAAGAAGTAGTGTAAAGTTCATATGCCCATGTATAACATAATAAAAGCTTAATAGACATTCCACCACTTTCAAGTTTTATTTATAGGATGCATCCTGTACATCCTGTACACTTTTTTAGGCTGCATAGTTTGCATAGGAATTGATAGTTTACAGGGAATGAGAGATGTTCAGTGCTGTGCATGAAATAACAGTACAATGATTAGTTAGGGGAAAGAAATCAAAGATTCAAAACAAGGCATAAAAAGAAAAAACAAAAGGAAAATTGTATAGACTCTGTTGTTAACAATGTCAATAATTTGGGATTCCTGGAGAGACAGGCAGATGGCCTGGGCCCAGGGAGCAGCTGCATCCCTGTTTTCTTGGTGACCTTGGGTAGTCATTGCATTAATAGGCTCAGGTTTCTCTTTAGGGTTGTTCTGAGTTCTGTGGTCAAATGAACTCTGAAGTTCAAGAAGTTCCACAGAAATACAGAGACTTTTCAAGGAGATAAGATGAGAAGAACAGAGGAGAAAAAAGTTGAAGAAATACTATAGAAGTAGGTGGTGGTTGAGGGCATGGCATCCATTTTATAGTAATTCCTCCCCCTGCACTCCCCCCACTGCATCCCTGCATTTTGAAGCTCTGTCATCAGCTACCCTTTGAAGTGAGTAGTAATGCTATCTGCGAAAGGATATGGTGTTATATGAAGACAGAACTTAGTCCTTTCATTTTGCAAATCATTTTCTTAGGTTGGAAAGACTCCCTCCCCCCTCTCCCCCCCCAAAAAAGGGTGAATTTTCCCGGAGCAAGAGATTATTGTTCATTAGAAACAAAACAAGCAGGCATGAGTCTGATGAGTGAATTTAGTTTTCCGGTTGCTTAAAAGACAGAGGAGGAGCAGGAAGCAAGGAACCATCGTATCCAGCCATCCAGTTGTAAAAGTCACTTTTGGAGATAGCAGTTGCTCCAAGAGCTGGGAATTTTCTGTCTTTATAAAGGAGAAGCAAATCTCCAGAAATGTCTTGAATTGGAAGAGTATGCTTGCGTCCGGTCACAATGTAATCTTTTGTGGTAAGCATGAATTTATAGAGTAAAAACATGTTCTTTGTTTGGCTCACTAATTATTGATTCTTTCAGCAAACATAGAGCATCTCTATGTGACAGGCATTCTTTTAGGTGCTGCTGATAAAAAAAAATAGTGTAAAAATCATCTCAATAAAAAGCTGAGGGCCAGAAAGAGATCTATGTAATACAAAATGCTGCAGGAGGTACAAAGCAGCAGCTCAGTGTTTTCCAGTAGCAGGTGATAACACTGACAGCGGTGAGGAGGAGCAATCTGATGGACCCAGCACTGATTATGCATACTTTACATGCTTTTATCTAAGCTGGGTCTCACAACTGTAGGAAAACATTGACAGTATTGTCACTGTTTTTACAGATGTGTGTATTGGGTCCAGGAAAGGAAACAACTTGCTTGGAGCGCACAGCCAGTCAGGGCAGAGCAGGATTCTAATCTATCTTTATTTATTTTTTTAAAGATTTTATCTATTTATTTATTTGAGAGTGAGTGAGAGATCACAAGCAGAGGGAGTGGCAGAGGGAGAGGGAAAAGCAGATTCCCCACTGATGTGGGCTTGATCCTAGGACCCTAGGATCTTGACCTGAGTCAAAGGCAGATGCTTACCCCACTGAGCCACCCAGGTGTCCCAATCTTTGTTATTCTTATGCAGATTATTATGAAGGAATTTATTTTAATTCACCACCCCGAAGTTTAAGATTGTCTCTCAGTGAGAAGCAGGTTAATTCATATGCTAGTGTGTATTTCTTAATGCTCAAAGAAGCTTATTTGATGTAATTGTTAGTTGTCTCTTTTTTATCAATTTATGTTTATTTTGAGTTATTGAGTCACATGGAAATGATGAATAATTGATAGTTTTTTTGAAGCAACTGAAAAAGGCCAAAGGTAAAGCAATTTGTTAGCATACAACCTTGTCCTGTATTTTCTCTTAGTGCCTTTATCCTCAGAACCGCTTGATGGTATTTAAGATAAACGAGCAATAAGGAGGGAAAAAATTATGTAATTCTGTTATTCTCGCATATAAGACATATGTATGGAAGAAAGATTCTTGCCCACCTCTGCAGTAATGAACTTGTTTTTTCAAATTCCATTTTTCGTAAAGTATTATTGGTACATAACTCAGGGCAGAATTTATTCCTATATTAATATTTTTAAAAATTCCATTTATTTATTTATTTTTATTTATTTTTAAACATTCTTTTTTTTAAGATTTTTATTTATTTATTTATTTATTTATTTATTTATTTATTTATTTATTTACTTACTTACTTACTTACTTACTTACTTACTTATTATGGTAGACAGAGAGGCAGAGACACAGGAGGAGGGAGAAGCAGGCTCCATGCCAGGAGCCCGATGTGGTACTCCATCCCAGGACTCCAGGACCGCGCCCTGGCCCAAAGGCAGGCGCTAAACTGCTGAGCCACCCAGGGATCCCTAAAACTCCATTTATATTTAGAAATACAAGTGTAAATTAGGCACTGCTTTAATTGATAACACAGCAAATTTTTTTAAATGAATGTTACTGTGGTATCCCTGTTAGAAATATTGAAAGTTGACTTTCTTTTTCTCCAAATCACTACCATATCTTCAATTAATACAAAATTTGAGTTATTTGTATGGGAAAATATGATTTCTATAAAAGAGTAAGAGGTGTTTACTGTTAGATATTAGGAAGCTACTATGACTAAGAGGGAGGTAAATGTTTTAAGAGGTTCACTGAAAGGGCATTTTAATGATTAACACTATTAACACTAGCTTTTATACACCAGTCAGGTTTAGTACCTTATTTAAAGTTTAGAGATTTCTTCTGTGTTAGTTTTCCATTAATTTTAATATTTTATTTGTTTGTAAAATTTTATCCATTTATTCACAAGAGACACACAGAGAGAGGCAGAGACATAGGCTGAGGGAGAAGCAGGCTCCCTGCGGGGAGGGAGCCTGATGCAGGACTAGATCCCATGACCCTGGGATCAGGACCTGAGCCGAAGGCAGACGCTCAACCATTGAGCAACCCAGGCATCTCTATTTGTAAACTGCCTAGACATCAGGCTACAAACCAAACAATGGTGCCAAACTAAAATGAATTATTGTTTGTGTGTTTCAGTCATTTCTTCTATTCATTCATGTGTTTAGTGATTAGAGAGAATTTAATATATTTCAGAATTAATGTGGAGTTATCAATTTTTTTCCCAGAAGACTGGTTGCTTTTGTAATCACAAGGGCACCTGGTCAAAGGACAAGTGGGATCTGAAATCCAGCTCATGTTTCCTTTGGGAGTGGAGCTGTGTCTGCCAAGTTTTGAGCAAATTTTATTAGTCTGCTAAGTCACAAAAAAAAGTTGTGTGTGTTTTTCCATTTTGCATAAAGGGGCATGCAGGTTAATGGCAACCTTGTTATGAGAAAAATAAAAATGGTAAGCTCCCAGGCCTCAGTTTCTTGAGGATACACAGAGTGTGTGTATGCAGAGCGTGTGTGTATGTGTGTGGGGGGGTGCATGCACACGTGTTCAGGGGGACATGGAAGAGAGGAACAACTTTATGCAAAAGGATGTTTTAAAAGTTTTAATGAATAAATTACTACATTAGAGATATTTTTCATAGTTTATTTTATTTTTCAGAAGAGGACTGTCAGAAGGACCTGGAAGGCAAAGTTTGGCTGTGAAAGGCAAAGATCCTTTACCTACACATTTTACAAGAAATGTGCAGAAAGCCATTGACAAATATACCTGGTAAGAATTAACGTTTTAAATGGTTCTGATCTCAAAATCAAAACATGCCCATAATGAAGAGAGGAAGCAGAATCAGTGATTGGTCATGCATTTCTAAGAGTTTAAAAAAAAAAAAAAGCAGTTTTCAGTTTTAGTGTAATGAAATGTTACACTGCATAAATGTTTTCAAATAAGTTTTAAAATCAACTCAGAGCAGTACAACCACTTCTAGTTTAATCCCTTCCCAAGAAATGTTCTTTCTGTTGCTTGCATTGGTCTCTGCAGTGAATCTGGGTCATCGTTTCGATCCAGTGGAAGCCCCACGCCAGCAGGTGCCCACAGCTCTTGGCCTGGGTCCGGGACACAGAGTTCTACTACCGGCTTATCAACGGAGAGGAGCTCGATTTACTCTTGGAGAGATGATGTATGTCTCAGAATCTTTTGTATAATTCCATGATTACAATTTATAATGAAGAATTTCCTTTCTTACTTTTCAATACTCTCTTTACTGATTTTGAAAGCACTACCTATTTGTTACACATACACACATACATCCATAGAAGCGCATTTACATGTCATGTGGGAACATTTAAAAATATAGAATATGTAAGAGAAAATAAAAATCACTCCTAATCTCATAGCCCAGAGTCTTAGCCGTTGATAATTTTGCTCTTTCCCTACCTCCCATCCCCTCCCCCTCTGTATGTTGTACATGATCTCTTGTATTATATCCGTGACAGGAAATTGGGGACTGACTTTGACAATTAGGAACTTAAATACAAGAAAAAATGTGGAGAGGTAAAAATTGTACAAAATCACCGGATGAAGTGATATCCCCCCAATACTCTAAATCAGATCTTTTACTTTCACCTCTCACCCTAGCAGAAGCTGTTAACTTTAACCCTTTGTTTGTTCTCTTTGGGAGTGGGATTCTTAGCTGTGGGAGTGAGTGTCCAGCTCAGGTGGGAGCTCTACTAACCACAGTCTCCTGCCCCTTTACCCCATCAACTGTCCCTGAGAATAGGGTCCCAGGCTTTTGTGAAGCCCACGTGGCTGCGCAAGAGCCTCCACTACATCACCTTGGATGCTCTGACTCTTGCTCTTTTTTTGGTGTTCTGATTTCCTTTGCCATCTTTAAAGCAGTTCACCACTTGGAAGGCACCTGTAGGTCCACTTCTTCGGGTCTTGGGTGTGTGTGTGTAATAGCTGGGCTTCTCATAGCCACGGGGAAACACTGGACAGAGTCAGCTCCAAATCACTCAGGCCTTTTTGAACAAGGTGGGACCAGCTCAGCTGTGACAAGCAGCCCCCACCCTCATCCCCATGCATCTGCAAATGGGAAGAAGGCTGAGGACCATTGCTTCATGCCATCCAAATTCTGAGATCCTTTCTATACACGTTTTTGTGCAATTATCCAGAGAGATTCTTGCGACTTCCATTTATAGAATTGAATCAACTTCAGGCCCTACAATTGCTTTTCATTTAAAAACTTTAACTTACTTTTTTGGTGGGTAATATTTACAAAAAGCAACAAAAGCCAAAAGAAAGAAAATTGAAAGTAAGCCCAGTCCCCTCCCGGGAGGCAAATATTATTAGTTGTTACCCTCTTGGCATTTTAAAAGAGATCATTCAACTCACCTGCTGTCTGGGAATCTAGTTTATTATCAATTTAAGCAAAGACGCAAAAAAATATTGAATATCATTCCATGATATTCAATCCAGTTTGACCATCTTGAATCAGGTATATCACACTGAATGTGTGCTTTGTTGCTCTGAGTTGTGGATTAGATTTCAGGTTCACACACCCCTAAAAGAAATTATAGTCAGGGTTCTTCATTAAAAGAAGGTAAATGGCCCTTCACATAAAAGTAATTTTCCATTTCAGTGATATCATCATCAGAAGAAAAACTAGCTGGTATTTTGCAGATGTGCTTAGGTGTGTGACACCCAACCATACGAGGGACATGTGTCTATGTACACATGTGTACATACATACATATAGATATATAAATATGTGTAGTGTGTATGAGTCCATGTATGTCTGTCAATATGTGTACCTTTACCTATATTTACATCTCTGTAAAATCTCAAATAGGCCTCATAACTCGTGTGGTAGAAATGGTCTCTATTTAACAATTAAAGAAGCCGAGTCTCACAGTGGGATATAATTTATCAGAAGAGTAGAAATTGGGCCACTGGTATGTCTGACCACAAAGTCCACATTCTTGTTATCATGTCATACTTCTTCCTATATAATGGGCACTTTAAATTTTGCAAGCGTTACGGATTATGAAGGCCGGATTTCTAAAACTTTTAGTCTTGTAACTAAATGTGCATTTCTTGTTTTAGGAGTTTGACAAAGCCAATGCACAGAAAGTACAGCAGTTATTCTGGGAGGTGGAGGAAATGTTATTTGAAGGGAAAGTCAGCCCTCAGACTCAGAATCTGGTGGCCGAATGCAGTGAGTGGGCAAGAAGATCCCTCCATCTGAGGTAGGGAAGTTGTTTATGGTAATTCTCTGAAATGGGTTTCGGAACCACCCACTGATGTTTTCACTGAAACCAATTACCCCATCAAAACATGTATCCAGAACACGTCTTTGGTGAGAAAGCATATCCTTTGTTTTCTTTATTTATTTTTTATTTTTTTAGCATATCCTTTGAAATGGTGCTGGAGGGAGGAACAGAGTAATTATTTGCCAAATGATTGGAAAGATGAATCTTACTGACTAACCAAGATTCCTTATGTAGGAAAGATCACTTATTTTTTTAATCCCTCTGGTATTTATTTTATTTTCTTTCATTTTTATTTTTATTTTTTAATTGATTTTTTTTTTTTTTTTTTTTTTAGTAGCCTCCACCACCCAGTGAGAAGCCCAGTGCAGGGCTTAAACTCATGACCCTAATATCAAGACCTGAGTCGAGATCAAGACCTGAGTCGAAATCAAGAGTTGGATGCTTAACTGATCCAGGCGCCCCAGGATCATTTATTTTTTTAATATCAATGATGGAGAATATAGATTGGGTCTGAAGGAAAGCTTTTCTTCTCTCAGTATTCAGCCAAACTCACTTAGGAGAGAAAAAATATCCATCTCTGTTATCAGAAGTTCCTTTATATTAATTATATTTGGGAGAATAGATTAGAGCACTTATACAAATGCAGATGAATTTTCTGGTTACCTCAACTAGGTAACTTAAAAAAAAATCTTGACTAAGTAGTCTTTCGATTTTTCTACTCAGTCCTTTATAAGCCTTTTGTCTTGAATAGTATAATAAGTCCACCCGATATTAATTGTGGGTGCTTATTTTTCTAGGTGTAGGGCACTTAGTGAAAAGCCAGGAGCTCAGAGCAGCTCCCGTCACTCTTACATAGTTAAGATAATAGTGAAGGAAGGAGGGTGGAAAAAGAAAACACTGCAGGGAATATAAGCCAGGTGTACATATTTATATAGTTTTATTCATTATGTAGATATTAGTTAACATTTATAGAGAGCTCCTACGTGCCCAACATTACCCTAGCTGTCTGTTCCTTATCACTTCATAAATGTGTCTTCAAAATATTATTTCATCTGACTTTCAACATTGCAAAGCATTTTTCCTTTTTCTAATAAATTATATTAGAGTTCCTTTTATTCTTCCTTTTATTTATTTTTTTACCTTGCAGAGTATTAGGAAGACAGCTCATCATGCCAACTGATGAAGGGTTCCAACATTTCCAGGGCAGCGAGCCTCGTTCTGCACTCCACAAACCCTTCTTAGATGCCTGTAGACACAACCACAACAGCAGAGAGTAGGTTCCTATAGGTTATTTTTAAAAGTATTTTGAATTTCATTTTAGTTTTCCTTTTTTCATGTCTGTAGCCACGAGGCTTGGCTCCACTGATTTGGAAGCTTAGATTTCAGGGACTGGCAGGTACAGAGCATTTTTTTTCCCAGGATGTTTCTGATTCTAAATTGATGGTGATGATGATAATGGTGCAGAGTGTGTATGATGAGGGAGTTAACTCTTGAAATTCTGTTTCAAAGACTCTGAAAGGTGGGTTAGATACAAAATCAAAACCTGACCTCTTGTCATGGATCCTAAGTTCCAATGCAATAGCAAAAGAAATAAAGCTTTATCATATTTTCTTTTGTTCATCAACAGATTTTGATGAATCCCTCTATGCCAGTCACACATATTTGGGACTATGCCATGACATCATCTTATTACAGCAGAGGGGATGCAAACTCACATAGTAACTTAAACTTAAGAGACCCTTAGAATTTTTAATGATGCCTGTGTAATAATGTTGCTTTTAAGGATATGATTTTAACAAGTGTAATAAACAATGATTTTTTTGTTTGGGATTCTGTACTTTATGGATTTTAAAGACTTGCCAAAATCACACATAGCTTTATATTCTTGATACTTTACAAACTCTCACAGAGGATCTGCTTTTCCCTATAGGTTGTGCATCTCTGGCTCTCAAATACTCCCAGAGGCATGCTCAGCCTCAGCCCGGCCAGGCTCTGATGGCACAAGGGTTGCAGACCTAACAGCATGTTCATCCCTGGAAGAAGAGGTTTATGTTGTGGATGGAAAGATTGAGGAATATTTTGCTTTTGACAGAAAAGAAGAGTAAATAGAATTTATTTGACATTAACTTGGTGTAATAATATTAATTTACTTGACATTTATTTGGATTATATGCTCATTTATTGTTTTGTGTATTTTTTACTTATCCCCCAAATTTTCCATTCTTTTGAGAGTATTACACTCCCAAAAGATTTTAGATTCCTAGCAGGGTATGTCTATGCTGCATCAGGGCTTCCTCTCCACCTTATTTTTGGTGGTAAACAAGAATTATTTCAGCTAGTAAACAAGAATTATGTTCAGCATGTTGGTGAAAGTGGACAGACCTACTAGTGGCCTTCATTTCCTGAGGACTCCAGGCTGCCCAGAGGGGTAAAAGGGAAGGCCCAGACTCTGCACTAAATACAGAGACTTAAATTTGTTCTTGGATAAAAGCTACAAATATTGAATAATAAAAATTGGCACATTAAAAAGTAACAACGTGCTGTTTAAAAAAGAATGTTATGTTTACATATGTAGAATGTACATGTGCATTCATACTAGATAGAGATGAATAGGTTTATAACACTATTTTATCTTTAACCATTGGTACTTTTAGTAACCACAATGGGTTTTTTTCTTAGAGATGATGAATGTCTTGAGCAAAAGTCAGCTCACCGTCATAGGATGTGGCGTAAACACGGACTCCCTCCCGTGTCTCCTCATGACTGTATCAAAGATGCAGTGGCCGCAGAAGTGTTTGATCACGTCTGGACAAATGTGGTAGAAATATTGGAAGAACTGATTAGAAAAAATTGGGAAGTGACTCTCACAGGTACTTCTATGTAGTAGTTGGCTCTAATGAAAAGAAAAAAAGACCCTTGCTGCTCAGCCATGTGCCCTCACCCAGCTTGGCCACACCTAGGATATGATTCGGTGAGAAGGGAAGCAGGTTTTCTCCACTTAGTCATGAATGATCTTTAATCCCTTCAAAAAGGATGTTATTATTTTTTAAGAATATATATGCACTTTGGAACAATAACAGAAATACACAAGAAAGAAGCTTAAAGTTACTTTAAAAAATCTCTGATAATAGGAGAACTTCTCTGATAATGGGAAATTGCTTTTTAATTGTTTATGACATTATTTGTAAAGCAAAATAGAAACATAGATAATTTAATAATCATTTCATTTAGTCTTACAAAATGTTCTCTAAACTACTTGAAATTTACATCATAGAAATGTCAGCAGTGGACGTTAATGGCTAATGTTATAGAATCAGTTTATTTTATAAATAAATGATTTTATTTATTTATTTATAAATAAAATAAACTGATTATTTATAAAATGTTCTCTAAACTACTTGAAGAAACAGATGATAGAAATGTCAGCGGTGGACATTAATGGCTAATGTTATAGCATCAGTTTATACAAAAGGGTACTACTCATGTTAATTTAAATATATCTTTTTTCCAACCAAAGGGATTAATTGGGATATTATAAAATACCAAGAATTTTTCTTGCCCCAGTGTATAGTCCCTGCTTTTCTACCTACTACTGGAATGATAAGCCTGTGTGTGTGTGTGTGGAAAATGTCATGTCAGTCAATTGCTCTGTGGGGTCTCTGCTCTACAGCAGGATTCAGTGGCCATAGCAGATTCATGGTAACTAAAAAACAGAGGTTCTTTCCGAACAGTGAATTTTAAGTACATATATTTAATAATATGTTTCCTAATAATCTTGATTTGGTATTGTTGACACAGAAGGAAAGAAACAGAAAGAAAAACTGAAAGTAGCTGAGAATAAATCTCCACTTCTACATATTTCTCGTATTAACACTGATGCACCAAGTGTTCCCCCATCCAGAAGCTCTGAAGCTCGCAGCCTATCCCTGGCTTCTCATCTCAATCCACCTCAGGTAGGTGTTTTTCTACTAGTCTCTCTCTTTCCTTCAATATTTTTTTTTATCTCTGGCCTGGATTTGTCAGAGTGCCATCTAGTGTTTGGTTCTGTCAATTAGACTAAAATTTAAAAATAATCCTTTCAAGGAGTATAATAGCATAACCATATTCTTTTTTTAAAAAAAGATTTTATTTATTTATTCATGAGACACACAGAAAGAGGCAGAGACACAGGTGGAGGGAGAAGCAGGCTCCATGCAGGGAGCCTGACGTGGGATTCGATCCCGGATCTCCAGGATCACACCCTGGGCTGAAGGTGGCGCTAAATCGCTGAGCCACCTAGGCTGCCCACCATATTCTTTAATAGAGTAGGGACACTCAGATTTGAGACTGTCCACCTGCTTTGAGCTGTAGAATTTTTTCCATATTTTTAAAGAGAAAAAAAATGCTTTTCCTCAACATTTCTAACCAACTTGAAAGTTACAGATGTTTTCCTGTCTTCCCACCAAAATAATAATAAAAAAAGGTCAATGAGAATATGTTGGGTTCATTCAACATTTATTGAGTTTGCATGAAGTGTACTGTAGTAGATGCTTTGAGGAGACCTGTAGATGAGCAAAGCATGGTCCTCAATCCAGTAAAAGGAAAAGCATAGTATAAATCACATGCAATACATTGTGTGAGTCATGTGCAAAACGAGGCCTCAGGAGAATAAAGGAAAGAATGACTGGAGCTCAAGTCTTGATCTTTTAGGTTGGAGGTGAAATTGAGCCGAATCACAAAGAAGTGAATGGTTTTGCATGGGTAGGAAGTCTGTGTGGGTCATTTCAGGCCAAGCAGGGGCATGTTTGGAGAATAGTGTGTGGGTGGGATGGGATCAGAGGTGAGGATGCTGGGACCAGCAGGGGAATTGTACCAAGAACAGGGCATTGAGAGTCCTGGACTGTTGCGGGGATTATGTTGGACATGCTGTTTAATTTTTCAAAAGTTCAGTTTCCTTTATCTAGGGAATGATGTCCAAGTATTGTTGTGAGGATGAAATCACATAAATAGGTGAGAGCTCCTAACGCAGCACCTGGCACATGTTAGGTATTCAGTACGTTTTTCTCAAATTGCTTCCTTAGTTAAAGGTTAGGTGGAGGGTGAGGCCAGAAATTCTGGCTGAGCTTGTTCATGGGAGACCTCAGTAGTGCTAGGGAGCTTGGACTTTATGTTTGCACAGCTTGTCTTGTGTGGGGGAGCAGAGAAAAGGAGTAAGACAAGATTCTTGGTCTTGAGGTACAGGCAATTTAGCTGGAGCGAGTCAAGCTCCATGCCAAGCGATACTATACACGTGCACACAGGTGCACACACACAACATGAGGCAGTCAGTAGGTAGTAGAGCAGATGAGAGTTTGAGCTGTGGGACTACAAGTATGGGGTCGGATGTGACAATTTATTAGTTCTGTGATCTTGAATCAGTCCCTCAAAGATTTCGTCTCATTATCTGTGGGATCTGTGAGTCAGGAAGCTATGCAAAGTAGAGGAGATAAGACATTTAGTGCAATGCGTAGCATAGAGTAGACACCCAATAAGTGTTAGCTTTCAGTATAACCAGATGCAAACTGTAGGCTATATTGTATCATACCATATCCTAGCCTAGCTATATTGTAATCTGACGCCCTTTAGCTCATAAGTGCCTTGCGGTTCGGGGGGAAAGTAGCATACCTCCATAGTAGAGTGACACATAAACTAAATCTGAAATGATAGGTAAGATTTAGAAAGGCTGAAAGAAAAAGGGAAGATGTTCAAGGCAGAGGCAAAAATATGCATCTAGCATAGGAGCAAATAAACAGACGCTCTTCGCGAGATTAGAACACAGAATAGTGTGTAGGGTCCGGGGGCAGAAGTACAAAATAGGAATGTCTAATAGTATTGTTTTACTCTGTACATAAGGGCTTTACAGTAAGCCTTCTTTGCTTTTGCCAATCAAAATAAACTTTCGGGGGTAGCCCAGGTGGCTCAGTGGTTTAGCACCGCCTTCATCCCAGGGCCTGATCCTGGAGACCGGGGATTGAGTCCCATTTCGGGCTCCCTGCATGGGGCCTGCTTCTTCCTCTGCCTGTGTCTCTGCCTCTCTCTCTCAATCTCTCTGTGTCTCTCATGAATAAATAAAATCTTTTAAAACAATAAAATAAACTTTCGGAACTGCTACCCTTTATTGTATTTTTTGGTTTTTTAAAACTGCTCTGGCAGGTTCAATTGTGTTTCCCACTTTGCAGATTCAAATATGTGGTATGAATCACATAAAAATGGACAGCTGATGGCAGCATGGAAAAAAAGTCCTTAAGTTTTAGGCAATATAAGTAAACTTGAGAAATATGGAAATTTTTAAGTTTAAAGGGGTTTTTACAAGTGTTTTCTTTTTGTAGATTTTAATGGGTTTTGGAAATATTTTTTATAGCTAATTTGTTTTCATTTGAGTCAATGTTAAAATGAATGGAAAGCAAGGTTGGAAGTAAAGATGAGATATTATTAGAGCCTGTTTTGAAATAGTCAAAGCGGGTCTAGCAGTAATTACAACAGGTCTTAATTTATTCCTCTAACACTTTTAAAAAATATTCAACCTGGGGAAAATGTGATTGTCCACATCTATTCTCCAACAAGAATACGATGCTAGCTTCAGAAACAGGATTTTAAAGATTGAATCTAAATATTGTTTCCCATCCTCATTGGTCATATCGTGGGACCAGATAGGGAATTCATGATTATTTACCCTCACTTCATGCTTCCACCAGTGCTATCTAATTTAATTCTCATACAAAGTATCTATCGTTATCCTAACTTTAGAGATTAGGGAATTAAAACTCCAGGAACAAAGCAATCTTTCCAGGACCACCTACCAGGAAGCAGAACTGAGATTCTAATGTAATCCTTCAAAATCTGAGATCTGGTTTTTGGGCTTTTACCCAGGCTATTGTGCTGCTCCCAGGGCTGCTAACTGGGGCCAGCTGTGAAGGATAGGGTAGGAGAAGAGGTCTAAGCAACAGGTCTAGGAGGTCTAAGCAGTTAGAAGCTGGGGCATGTCCCTTCCTTTGCTTCTGCAGATTCCCTGTCTGCTTTCTTCACCCGGGTGTTATCTGGAGGCTGGTGCACGGTGGCTGTATGAGGGCTCCCTTGCCCTGGAGCTCTTGGAGCTCAGAGCAAAGGATGAGAATGACAGAACATTGTTTACTCCTGGCCTCTCTGCCAGGTGACAGCTATCGGTGGCATTTCTCTGAGCAGCTACCCTGTCCAGATTCCAGAAACCTCTTCCTCACTTCTCGCCATTGCAGTCATGCATGTGGTACTGTGTCCCTACTGCTACATGGTTATATTGCCTGGCGGGAATTAAGCCATTTCTTGTTAATTTCTTTTCCCACATCTTTATAAAACATCATCCCTTTTGAATTTTTCCGTCAAAGTAGCCAGTTGGAGTGTACCATTTATCTCCCGCTGATTCCTGACAGGCACCAAGTAATCTCAATAGCACTGGATGCCTCTTAATTTCTATTGTTTCTACTTTTCACAGGTTCATCGCTTCTCCAACAATTTTTATAGTGATTTGAGTGGTGTGATGACAATTCAGGCAAAACCACTGCAGCAGAGACCTACCTATTTTGCAGATAGAACACAGTATGTATAAGAAATAATCCCCCCCAAAAAAAGAAATAATTACCCCACCTCTTCTCTATGCTGGATACACTCAAGCACTGAAGACTGAAGAGGATGTGGGATAATGAGCATCCCACTGAACCCCTTGCAATAGGTATGCCTGAGCCCATTCGGGGAAGGAGACAGCCACGCGTGAGAATGAAAACACACTTATAATATCAACCACAAAATGGTCATTGTTAGGGTAGATAGATAAGGGGAAGACACCTGAGAAATTTTAATCTTGTGGGCTATACGGTAGGATTACATCAGTGAGAACCTTAGATCTTTTCTTTGTTTCCCCGTGGTTGATTCTTCAATGAAGTTGAAATTGATTTGGAAATCATAGTCTTTCATTCAACCAAACTTAGGAGTATCTTATTAAACCAGGGACTGTTCTAGATGATGCCTAGTAAAACACACATATATATGCCTTGTTCTCCTAATGCTTACATCTGAGTAATCAACTTGACCTCCACCCCCCAGGAATGAGCAAGAGGACAGATCATTGGGTACAGGGGCTGGTGCTATCTCTTTGGCACGACACCGCCTGGGACGAATCTCAGATGCTCGTGTACTACACACTTCTGGAAAGAAAACACCTGCACACACGAGGCTGCCTTCTCTTACTTCAGACTCACAGAGAATGAAAACCCCCAATGTGTACAGTGATGAGGTTCTTCGGGGAACAAAACTGTAAGTCCTGTCTCTCTCCCTGTAAACCAAATGTCACAGAGGACAGAGATGCTTGCCAGTTAGGACTTACGGATTCTTATCTGTCAAATTTTATGTGGCTACTTCCCAGGTATTTCATGACTTTGAATTTTTTAAAAAAAGATTTTATTTATTTGAGAGCGAGAGAGAGAAAGCATGAGCAGAGAAGAGGGGCAAAGGGAGAGGGAGATGCAGGGAGCCCGATGTGGAACTTGATTCCAGGACCCTGGAATTATGACCTGAGCCAAAGGCAGATGCTTAACCGACTGAGCCACTGAGCGCTCCATGAATTGGAATATTTAACATGAAATTTGTTCCAGTAGTATAGTTGGTTGTATCCTGGAATAAAAAAATCAGGCAATGTACCTGTAGCAGTGCAGCAAAATGAAGCTATAATGGTGAGGCCATCTTGGGTGGGTATTCAGTAGCCTCATCTGTAAACCTAATAGTTAACTAATGCTTTCAAATTACATATGCAATTCTTTCTTATTATGAGGTCCATTAGTGTGCATAAAATCCTATACAAATAAAAATTAGTGTGCATAAAATCCTATACAAATAAAAGGGAACACATAACTTCCAGGTTTTTGTTTGTCTCAAATTTTGATTTAAATTCTAGTTCGTTTACATATAGTGTGATACTAGTTTCAGCAGTAGTCCAACTATTAGTTTTTATTTAACTCCAAGGCTGCGTTTCACTCCATGTGGGGAGTTTCACAAAAGCTTTTGACCTTCAGGATCAACTTCAAATCATTGCTGTGTTAGATTGGAATCTGTCCAGTCCTTTGTTGCAGAATTATGAGGGAGCAATCCAGCTTTCTCACTCAAGTGTCAGGCGATCCTTCCATTAATAATAGCCAGTGTTTATTGACTGCATTCTGTTACCAGCACCAGCTAAAGGAGTCGCATTTATTATCATATTTATTACCTGCCACAAATCTTTCGAGTTGGTACTCATAGTATCCCAGATCCAAGGTGAGGAGACAGAGGCTGAAAGAAGTTGCATAACTTGGCCAAAGATGATCTCCCGAGGGAGAGGCAGAGCTGGGACTCTCCACAGTACAGTTCAGCTTCAGAGACCAGCCCTGGACTACAGGGGCCCTGGGCGTCCTGCAGCCAGGAAGCCAGTTATTAAGGGGCTGGCCTGGGCTCCCCACTGCAGGGATGGGAGGCATGAACTAGCCATCAGAGCTAACCAGTAACTGGATTTTTTGGGATGCATTACATAGTGCCATGGCACCTTTGGTTTTTGATGAGTCTCTGTTTCTTTCACCATCTGGAATTGATATTTCCTATGTTATTTGGGTTATTTGGGTCACCCGGGGTTATCTGCTCTGGGAGTTCTTTCAAGAGTGCTCCCCCTCCTCCATCCTTCGTGGCCATCTGGGACCCCTTCGCCCCCTGCCAGGGTCACTAGCCCATTGAGGCCCTCTCCTCCTCCTCCCCTCAGCCTGCCTGGGCTCCACTGTCAGGCTTTCCTCCCAAGCCTTTTCTATTTTCTCTTGAAATAAGCCAGATGCCTCCAAGTGGACATTCCCTTCATGTTCTGGCCCCCCTCTATCTGCAGGCCCGTGTTTTTCAACTTTTTTGTTTGTTTGTATTATTCCTGCCATTCTAAAATAGTTTTTTTTAAGACTTATTTATTTATTCAAGAGAGAGAGAGAGGGAGAGGGAGAGGGAGAGAAAAGCAGGCTCCATGCCGGGAGCCTGACACAGGACTCGATCCCGGGACTCCAGGATTGCGCCCTGGGCCGAAGGTAGGTGCCAAACCGCTGAGCCACCCAGGGATCCCTATTCCTGCCATTTTAGACTACCTTTTGTAATTCCTCCCCTACCCATGGAATTTTAATGCCACAAATCTGTATAGTCTATGTGTTCTTTATATCTGTGTTTTATGCATAAAAAGAATAAGGGTTTTTTTTCTGGGGGGGGGGTGTCCCACCAACAACCAGTGTTTGCCTGCTGGGAGCAATGTCACCATCTTTGATTCTGCATACCTATATCTTCCTGCTACTTCTCATCACCCACCTTGACTGGGGGCAGTCTTATTGTGTCTCTGACCCACAAATACACCAGCTGTGAATGTTCTTACTTCCAGATTTTGTTTGTGCTCTTTCACTTTTATTAAAATAACATCTTTTTAACTATAAAAGTATGACAAGTTCTCTGTGGATACAAAAAATATGAGTAGATATCAAAGATCACCCGTATGCCCAACACATACAAATATAAAAATGATAACTTGGTCAGTTTACTACCAATTTTGTCCATGGTTATGTTTCTTCTTTTCTCTCCTTTCCCTTTTCTTTTTTCCTAATAATATATTATCGTACTATTGTAGCATTTTTCATATGATTTTTTGACTTAATGTTATTCATATTTTCCATGTTTTTAAATATTTTTGAAAGCATATTTTAACGACTAGAAAAAGTAACATGTGGGTATGTGACAAATTATTAAGTATTTCCCATTACTGAAACTTTTCATTCCTTCTATATTTTCACTATTATAAGGTACAGTAAACATCGTTTTATACAAATCTTTTTTTTTTAATTTAAATTCCAGTTCATTAATATACAGTGCAATATTAGTTTCAGGTGTGACATTTTATGTAAATCTTAATAAGGATGTCTAAATTGTGTCCTGGTGGTGTCATCCTAGAAGTAAAGCAGCCAAGTCAAAGGTTATGGATATTTTTAAGACTCTTGGAATATTTTTCCAAAGCTCTTCCCAGAATGTTTTGGGACTACTACAATTTGTAGTCCCATTGGCAGGACGGGAGACTTTTTCCTTGCAGCCTCTTAACTATGGGTAGTATATGTATTTTAAAACTTGATAGGTCAAAAGGGTCATATTTTAATTTTCATAATTATTATCAACAAATAAATGAATTAGAGTGTTATTGTAAAATATCCATCTTTGTCCTAGTGCATGAACTGGACAATTTTTCAGTGTCCGTATCTGGTAGGGAATGTCTACCATCATTACTCTTCTTTTATTAACATTTCCTCACCTTTCCTGACAAACCTTATGATCTGGTTGTCAAATTCAAAAACAAAAAGTATCACATTGAACCTGCTTGCATTAAATCTATTAAAAACCTAGGGAAAACTGACATTGTCACAATATTCCATCTTCCCATCAAAGGACTTGTTTGCCTCTCCTTTTAATGACCTTATATAAGTTTTATATTCTCTTCATCTGGGTCCTGCACATTTGTAATTAATGTTATACTTCATGGATCACACCACTCCCTAAATTTCTACAGTACAGATATTTAGAATCATTTACTGTGTCCTTTTATTACATACAGTAATTGTATTGTTCTCTAATTACTTCATGGGTTTTCATCTTGTTTTCAGGAACTTGTAAGCTCGTCAAGGGGAGGCACTAGATCCTCAGTTACTTGCACATTCTGCCCATGGTTGGCCCAGCTGAGCACTCAGCATATACAGGTTGACAGTCCCTGCTGAACAAGGAGAAGGCGACTGGAGCTGGTGCTCATTCCCCTCCCTACATTTATCTTGGGGACATTCCGCTCATGCACCATGAGCATTTCTTTTGGAAGGCAATTGTGATTAGTAGCTCAGATTAAGAGCTTCGGGTGAGGTCCCTCCCCTTCTGTCTGCACCTGGGTACTCAGTCACGTGTTGTTGTGTTCACAGGCAAACTGGCGGGGACCGTGTGTCCTCCTCATCAGCTCAGGCCTCACGGAGCAGATTACCCCCAATAGGCTCAGAGACCTGTGAGCAGAATTTGGCAATTCCTGGATCTCGACCTGTTTCTGTAAGACAGATTTCCTTCTACTTAAGTGCACCATTCAGATTTTCTATTGGAAAACAAACAAAACAGAATATAAATTTGGCACTTCCCTGTGAACACAGTAATAACAAAATGTCTCTCCATAATCTGCTTCCTGACAGTGACAAGTGACAGGAGGTAGGAAGGTTAACTCATTGTGTTGTGAAATACAAACATGATTTGAATTAAGTCAGAAAGTCCAGGTGTCAAGGAAAATCTGATAGGTTGGTATAGAGAAGAAAATACCATGCCTGTCAGGTCAGGAGACAGGGAGATCTGTGTTTGAGCCCTGACTGCAAACTCTGTTTGACTTGGTAGACAGTAATCTCTCTGAGCCTTAATTTTCTCACTTGTTAAAGGGTCACACTGATTTCTTCCTCAAAGAATTGTTATAAGGATGAAATGAAATTACAGATGGTAAATTATGCCTGCATAAATAGGACCTCAGGAAAACACCTCTGCCATTTTTATCAGGCCTCATTCTCACAGTTAACCTGCACCACGTCTGTGCAGCGTGGAGGGGAGCATCTTCTTCACCCACGTTCAACTCAGCCACACCATGGCAAATGGTCTTGGAAGGTCTGAGGCTGCTAGTATGCATACCCACACGTCCTCCTAGACTTACAATGACTCCTCACTTACCTCCCATATGGGTAACATTTCCCTATTTTGGAGAACACAGAAGGACCCTGGGTTTGGGAGCATAAAGGCCTCGAGAGAAAACCTGACAAAACCATTTTCTCTTGCATTCTTTTGCCTTCTTCAGTACAGCAATAGAACCCATGCCCAGAGAGGCAGGAGTTGCAAAGCATTGATGTGTAACCTTAGCATGTTGTGGCTTAAAGTCATGAAAGAAGGCAAACATCACATAAAAAATATTCCGATGCTTCACAAATGCAAACTTCCATTGCAATTATAATGTAACATTAAGAATTTTATGTGGTTAAGGTTTTCAGTCAATGTTTAGTCTATTCGGATGCTACCATTTTACCAGGTTAAATAATAAAGTTACATAATTAGAATATATTTTGATATTTATGCTTGATAGGCCTGTACTTCACAGTATCTAAATAGAAGTTTCAAATAAGCAAGTGAATGATTGAGCACGTAGAGGTCTTCTTTTGTCTTTTTTAAAGATTGCATTTACCTTAAACCAGAACATATTATCTTTTATTTAGTACAGAGGGAGGCATCCACAGAACCGTGTGTTAAGTGCGATACCTGACAGTTTAGAACGATCACCTCTTCGAGAAAGATCTCTGACCATAGAACAGTTTTCAAGACCCAGCACAACCCATGCATTTCGGGTAGGTTGTCTGTTAATCATAAATGTGATTTTTAGAAATATCTGAAACAATAAAACTCAATTTTCATTTTATTTTTCTTCTAATAGCTAGATACTCCTCGAAAAGGTTCATTGACATTGATGGAATTTGCTGGCCACTCGTGGACAAGTCAAAGTTTCTTGACAGGTCAGTTTTTCCCGCATATAAGTAAAATAATATAATATGTGAAGCTTCAAGTTTTGGAAAGAGAAATTGAGGATTATCTACCTTAATAGGACTATTCTGACCATATAGGAGGAAATAGCCCAAGTGTTTATCATCAATGGCCAGACACGAAGTCTCTACAAAGAGCAAAGCTGCAAAAATAAGCACTTACCTGCTGTTAGTCATAAAGGGTAAAATGCCCAAATGCTCTTCATTTAATTGGGGCCTCACAGAAAAAGAAAAATTCTGTCTTAGGAGGCTTGTGAGAAATCAGTATCTCTCTCTCTGCAATGCAGTTTTCATGTTTTCCACGAAACCTTAATCTTAGTTCTCTTTGAAGATCTAATTATAAAAATGCTTCATGAAATTAATACAAATATTCTAAGTATTTTATAATGGAGAGTTTTACAGATAAATACTTGTTTTCAGCCTAGTAGCTATTTTTAGGGTAAAGTTTCTACTTGAATTTAGGCCAATGATGTTTTAGTTTTCAAAACTGTTACCAGCATTTTTGTTTAAGGAGGCAACATAGCATTGTCATGAGTCATGCCACTCTGAAACCAAATGCCAGCTTACCATTGTACTCGCTGAGCTATCTTAGGAGAGCCTGAACCTTTCTGAGCCTCAGTTTCTTCTTTTATAATAGGCTGGGTGGATGGATAAAACAATCATTGGAAAAATGTAGGCAAAGGACCTAACTAGATTCCAGGAATATATTGTTTGTTTAAAAATTATGAATACTTTGTATTATAGATAATCTGAAATGTAAAGGATAATTTGCTATCTTAAGGCAAATGCTATAATTTAAAAATAAATCTGGTAAATTGGAAACAGTGGGACAGTGCAGCAATTTTATCATTGTTTACATCAGCCCTTTTATAATTCTGTACCACAGTGATATCCAAGATTCTTTAGCCCTTTATAATTTTTCTCCTATGCAAATAGCCCTAAGCCACTATGCCTTTCTGCTACTTTTCTTTGTATATCCCCTAGCAGCATTAGGTCTCACTGTCAGTGACAGTATTTTTTTTTTTTTCTAAAAGGCACTCATGCTATGTTATCAGGTATTGCTCTGACTTGGAGATGGTCAGGAGCAAAGTAGGCATAAAGTGTGTTTATTAATAAATAGCAATGTACCAAGTGCTCCCTCTGTGCCAAGTTCTGTGCTGAGGGCTGGCATTCAAACACCAAGGAGGTTTTGGCCTGTGCCTCAAGGAACGCTCAGTGTAGTGGGGAAGATGGAAAGGCCCAGGAGAGAGGTGAGCAGGACCACCAGCTGGATATGCAGATGGCTAAACGGATAGAGAGGCTTCCCAGAGGAGGCATGAGCCATACCAAGCAGGATGAGCATCATGTGGTACATGAGAGAGACTCATTCCAAGGGAGTCATGTCCAGGAGACAGTGGTGCTGAAAGAGAGAGCTCACGGAATGGTGATGAATTTGGTTTTGGAGATGTTGACTGCAGCGAGCTAAGTGGAGCTGTCTAATAGTTTGTTGGTCACACAGGATTAGAGGTTCGGAGAGGGAACTGGGCTCTGAATTTGTTTTAAATCTCCACATTTAATTTTCCCCCAATACTAAGTCAGTATATTCTCTTATTGATAACTTCGCACCTATTATTATTGATGGTCAGAAGCCTTTTTTATTTCTAAGGAGTAAATGAGGGTACGTAAGAGAGATATGCCTGTATTTCTAAGCATTTATTTTCTTTTTCTCTGATAAGCAGGCATGTAATCTGTTTCTCAACCTTTGCTTCCAGGTCAGAAAGCATTAGGAGCTATTAATTTATTAACAGTTGTTCTGTGACAGAAAAAAAGAAAAAAGGAAATGCTGTGGGGGTATCCCCAATAGTGGGAATAAGGATCTCTTCAGGCAGCTGACTGCTCCTATGAAGTAGTAGGGTAGTCAGAGCTCACTACCCAACTTCCTGAGCCTTAGGGAATCCACCTTTGGGTAGAAGGTTCGAGCAAACCCATCAGCTCTGGGAGGACACAGGGTAGCACCCAGGCTTAGTGGAGGGGGCGCCCCCTTCCTTCCTCTCAGGACCCCAAATGGCAGTTTTTGCATATTTCCTGGTTTACATAAAATAACATGAACATATTTTTTCTAATCATGTGCATAGAAAGTACAAAATAATACTTTGAGAGCTGGAATTATTAGTGTTTTAATGAGAATTACTTTTTGGTTGGTGTTTCAGGTTCACAACATCCGCCTAAATCTTTTCAGAGGACAACTCTGACTACAAGAAAGAGATTCCAGGTGGCATCTTGATGGAACTTGGGCTTGAACTTCAAAGCCTCAGCATGCCATTATCACTTGAAAAGTGGAAGAACAAGTATTATACTGTGTATCTGTCTGATAGTGAGATGTGAACCTGAGTGAAATGCAAACAAATAAACAACTTAATTTTGAACACTCGCATTGTAAAGAGACTACAAGTCAAATTCACCAACCTTTACGGGAAGCATTCCAATAAAGGTTCTTTAGGCTTTGCTCAAAAGAATCTAACATGTTTATAATCCATCATTTTATCAATTATACACAGACACATAATTAGTATATGTATCCACATACTCCTTAACATATGAGAGGATATTATCTAGGAATAAGCCATTTTGTAATGTTGTGTCTGACATGTGTTTGGAGTCTCAGTCTGTCACTGAGCCGTCCAAATCCTGATCATCAATACATATCACTCTCTTCTCTAGAAAATAGCAAACCCATCTTTGGTACAGTATGTCAGTTTACTTAAGATTCAGATTGTTCTAGTCAATTAATTTGGGCTACTTTTGAATCAACTGGGTTTGAGCATGAAAACTAGTAAAACAAAAATGGCTTGTGAGCCTCTTTGAGGAATGGCAATTCCTCAAGCCATTTTTGTTTACTAGTTTTCATGCTCAAATCCAGTTGATTCAAAAGTAACCCAAATTTACTGATTTTTAAATTTGAACATAAACATAATATATCACTTATGGTTTCCTCCTTGTTGTTTACAGGTGAAGGTGTTCATCCACTGAAGGAAGGCTTTCAGCATCCTCTTCCCTTATTTGATCACAGGCTGACTTTTGCTCAGCTGTCACCTCGGCCAGAAAGCCTTCCTGACCCTTCTAAGACAGCGGTTCTCTCCTCTCTGTCCTCTTGCCCTGCTTTCTTTCCTTCAGAGCATGTGTCCCTGTCTGATAGTCATATAGAAAATGAAATAGGGAATGCCAAGGAGACATGATCGATTGGAAGCCAGGCTCTAGGTTCATTTTCTTTTGCTTCCCCACCCCATGTTTTTTTCTTTATAGTGACTTATATTTTTAGGTTCACTTTTAGATTCTCAGATCTCAATTCACCATTTTTCCCCCATCACTTAAATTTATCAATCTATATTTTATTAATCCAAAATGAAATTTTATCTATCTATCTATCTATCTATCATCATGGACATGTATTTTCAGACATATTTCTGCTGTAAGAAAAGAAGATTTTGGCCTATCTATAGATATCTGAAATTAAAAAGTGTGTTGGGACTAGAATTAGTATTGTCTTTGATCACGGAATGATGGAACATATGTGATGCTAGAGCCCCATCGCCTCTGATCATTGCTCCCTTCCATTCCTGATTCATTTCTTATAGTAACAGGAACATGTTAGGGAGTAGATGGATGATGGCCACAGCTCTGCAACTCTAGGTAACATTTTTAATGCTTAGTTACCGCAAAGCAGACTGAAACATTTGGAGAATTTTCTAAACTCTCCCCCCAACATCAGCTATAGAAACTTTCGAGAGAAAATATTAGTGTTAATTTAGCAGCTACCATCTAGGAAGAATTCTGGACACGGGAGCAGTCTGGATTCCCGGTTCCTAAGGGCTTCTACTTTGGGCTCTCTTGTCCCTAATTACGGCCAACTGTACCCATTCTATCCACCCTGCTCTTAACAGAACTGCTCAGGCTAATTTCTTCCAGGAACAATACACCTTTCCTAATCAGCATTAGGAGGAAAGAAATGACTAGAAAGAAAATAACTGCTATGCATTCTAAACTAACATTAAGGATGAGTATCGAAGATAAGTTTCTCCTGGAGAACCACTGAATATATTTTGTGGTAGCTTTACTTTGTGTGGCTTCTGAGTTTTGTAAATAAGAATCTATTCTTTTATATATATATAAAATATAATATATATATATAATATATATATAAAAGATATATAAATATATATAATTATATAATATATATAATTATATAATATATATAAAATATATTATATATATATTATATATAAATTTTTTTTTAGAATCTATTCTTTATACATGTATTAATAAAAAAATGCTTTCAAAAATAGAACCAAGTGCAGCAATCCTAATTTGCATCTTCTAAACATTTTCAGTTGGAGGATAAAGTACAATTTTAGAGATAATAGAGACTTGGCTCTGCCACTGACTTTACAAAAGATCTGCTCAGAGCATATGTTTTTACACCTGTATTAAAGATAATATTTTATTTCATTAAATGAGATTTAGGTTAGTAAATAATGCTTATATCAAGGATGGTGCTTTTTGAACTGATTAGGGAAAAATTGGGGCAGTGCTTCCATCATAATCCACCTTGATAAATGAGTCATAGAATTTCTCTGTTAAAAACTGAAAAAGGCAAATTGAATAACTCCTGAGGTCTATTTTTAAATGAAGGTTAATGACTACATTAACTGAAATATCTGTTAATTCATCCAAAACCAAGGAAAGAATGAAGGAATTTTAGAATAATATAAACACATGTAAAATACCAGAAAACTGCTAAATTTTATATATTAAATATCAACAGAAGTACCCTTACTGATGTTCTGAACTAGAATGGAATTTCTATGCCAATTAAGAGGTACAGTTTTATTTGTCATAAAACAGGTGGGTATTATATTTTTATTGCCCCTGCTTTCTTATGACTACAGATCATTACTAAGGATTTTAGCTCTTTAATTTTTAACAAAAGTATTGAAAAAATTTTCAAAACTTCATTTTACTCATAAGGCTTCTTTTGATTTCCAATTTTTATATGATTTGTGTACCTCTCCAGTTTATAATACACAGATTATTCACTCATTTGTTTTTAGCTGCATAGCAAACCTTTCCCAGGGAATTAAAAATACATAACCATACATGTTTGTGAGGGTTTGTCTCATTTATGAATATGCCAATTTAAGTTTTTTCTCCAGAAGATGACATTCCTGTGTGATAATCATGGATTTATTATTTTATCAAATATTCATCAAGTACCTTTTTTGTGTAAAATTCTGTTCTGAGCATTGGACTGAACAAGACAAAGTCCAAAGTCTTTGCCCTAATAGAACTTAGATTCCAGCAGAGGAAACCCATTATAAACAAATCAATACAAACATAATGCAAGGTCAGATAGCAATAGTGCTATGAAGAAACATGAAATGGGCAAGGTAACATTGGCAAGAGCTGCAACTTTAGATAAAGTAGGGAAAGCTTCATTGAGAGGCAATATTTTAGCAAAGACTTGAAGATGAGAAAAGCACATATATATGAAAAACTATGCTAGACAGAGAAAAAACACAAAGGCCTACAACAGGACCATACCTGGAGGTTTGAGGAATAGCAAAGAGGTTAGTGGGATGTGGTGTGGATTTAGCAGGGGGGTGTGTGGTAGGAGATGAGATTGGTGAAGTAATTGGAGCTGAAGGGATAAGATCCTTTCTGACATCGGGAATGGTAAATTAACTGAAGTGGGAAGCCACTGGAGAGTTTTCAGGACAGAGTGATGTAATCTGACCCCAGGTGATGTTCAGTGGTACAGCTAGTTAGGAGTCAAGGGACTTTGGATATATTTTGAAACTTGAGCCAATAGGATTTGCTGCCGCATTGGATGTATAGTGTGATGAAAATGAGTCAAGATTGACTCCTAGGCTTTGGTTTAACACCAAGGAACATCCTGGGATATGTCACGTTTGAGATGCCTATTAGATGCCTAAGTGGGAACACGGAGGCCTTTGAGGACCTACACCCGGTGTTTAAAGACATGCAGACTAGAGGGATACATTTGGCAACTGTCAACATATAGATGGTATTTAAGTGCTGAAGTGGATGAGATTACCAAGTGACTGAGTGTTGAGATTCAGGGAAAACAAGTGTGCTGGGTCCTGGGCCTCTTAATATCTAGAGGAATGGGATGTGAAGAGAAACTAGCAGAGCTAGAAGGAATGACTGGTGAGGGAAGAATAAAAAGCAAAGAACAGGGAATGCTCAAAGTCAAGTGGAAAGAAAACGTTTTCCGAGAAGGTGACAAGGACTCAAATATGTTGGATGCTGTTCGTAAGGGCCAAGAAATGATTTGAAGATTTAGCCACAGGGATGATGTTGGTAAATTGACAAGATCTGTGTTAGTGGAATGGACAAGGCCTGATTACAGAGGGTTCAGGAGAGAATATGAGGAGAGGGAATCAAAGCCAACAGGCACGGCCAGTCTTTTGAGGGATTTTTCTGTAAAGAGCAGAGGAACGGATCAAGAGGGAGATGTGGACTCAATCCCTTAGAAAATAAAAATCATGAGATACCCTTGAAGGTATTAAATAATTTTCTTAAGGTCTTAACATGATTAAACAATGTAGAAGTGAGTAAAAAACAGTGTAAGCTCTTCTCCATTCCCACTCCATAGAATTCTTTCCAGACATCAGTCTAGAGATACTTTTTCTCCCAAAGATGACATGACATTATATATTCAGTTCTGCAACTTGTTTTATTATTCGTTTTCTACTTAGTATTTCATGAGACTCTTTCCATATTGCTACTTACAGATGACTCAAAAATCAGTTGGAGAAAAGCACTAGGCAATGTTTCTCTCTACTTTAAAGAGGCGCTGTAAATGGCTGTGTGAAATCTATACAATAGCTACGGTGAAAACTAAGCAGAGTAGGAATCCAGAGCATTTCTCAATTTACCATCTTCCTTGCTGCTTTTGCTATAGTTTAGGGACCTGCTACCAGGCTCTTTGTAAATGAGTAAAGGGAACCTTCCTCTAAAATGGAGTGGGAGGCTAGAAGGGGGAGCACTCACCCCCTACTCCTCTTCCTCAATCTCAGACCCAACGGAAAGAGACAATCCTTGCAAGGGATACCTCTTCACTATCCCGGCAGGGAGGAAGAAAGGTTTTTCTCCTCCCCTGGCAACAGCACAGCCAATGAGAGCCTCTCACAACTCAGCCAATGAGAAGCCACTACACTTGGAACTCCCAGTTTAGCGAATGGACTTTTTGTTTCCAACAGCATCACCAATTCCCTCTTTCCTGGATAAGGGAGCACTTTTTTCTCCCTCGTTCTCTGGGCTCCTGTATGACTTTGCTGTCTTTTGCCTCAAATTGCAATTCTCTACTACTCCCAAACATACCCATTTTGCTGGTAAAAGAACTGACAGTTTTATTTTTAAGGTGGAGGCAGGATTGAGGGAGGTATCCTTGTCTGCGGAAAAGAAGGAAAGTGATAGGGCACGCAGCCCTTGGACAGAATTCCAGCATCCTTGTCACTGCCCTTTCCTTCTGCAGGCTCAGTGATTTTCTTCGCTCCCCTTTGAGGAGCAGGCCAGAACTACTGTCTCCTTACCAAGCCCTCCCTTCCCAGCGTCTCTTCCTTCTATCTCTTTCCGAGGCTTTGACCGCTCCCCCCCACCTCGCCCCCGCCACTTGTCCTTTTTTAGGTGCTGGCTCTTCACGGTCCCAAGGATGTTTTGGAAAATATTAGCATCACAGCAATGCAGCTGTCCCTTGTCTCAGGCACCTGATGCCAACCGAAAATTGGTGCTCCCAAGGTTGTTGCCCTTAGAGCTCCTCTCGATCAAAGTAGAGAGTCCTCTGAGTGATGCAGAAGCCGGGGGCAGCCCTGGGGGCAGGCAGCCAGTCCTAACAGTGGAACGCGGCCGGCTTGCGCAAGGAAGCATGAGGTTAGAGACCCCGCCAGGGAAAAAAAAAGCTCTGAAGGCTGAGTTTCGAATCCAGATGCCCGTTTATTTCACTTTTGAAGCATACCCTTGTCCCCAGCTGGCGTTCTCCCGTGACCAGCAGCAGAGACCTAAAACCCAAAGCTCAGCCCGCCCTTCACCCTCCTCCTCCTCCTCCTCCCCACTTCACTTAAATGCCTTCATTTCCATTTAGCAACACTCTGCGGAACCCCGAAGCTGTTTTCCGGTCTTTCGGTTTCTGCTTGTCCAAACAAAGAGGCCGGTGTGCATTACGTAGGGTTTTGCAGGCACAACCACCCCCACCGCCCCACCCCGCCCCAGCGGTGCGCTCCTAGGAGCCCCGGAGGCTCGAGCCTGGTCCCGGGGAGCCTAGGGCGGCCCCTGCAGCGAGAAGCCCCGAGCGGGGCGGGGGTGGGGGAGGAGGGGGAGGAGGAGAGCCACCTCCCCCCCGCGCGGCGCGCGAGCATCCCTGCGGAGTCCCGGAACTCCTCCCAGGACCTGTGCACGCGCCCTCCCGGGGCTGGAGCTGCGCCCCGCGCCGCCCCGCGGGCAGTGGCCGTGGCCGTGCGGAGCGGAGCGGAGCGCTGCGCGATGCCCGCGCTGTGGCTGGTGCCCTTGGGGCAGAAGCTGCTGTTGTGGGGCGCGCTGGGCGCCGCCTCGCTGGCGGGCGCCACCCTAGTGGTGAGGCTCCTGCAGATGCTGGCGAGCTACGCGCAGAAATGGCAGCAGATGAGGGCCGTCCCCACGTTACCCGGCGCCTACCCGCTGGTGGGACACTCGCTGTTGATGAAGCCTGACGGGAGAGGTAGGGGACGCGGCCCGGCCGGGCGCACCTGCTCCGGGGGTGGGGGTGGGGGTGGGGGCTCCCTGCCTGCGCGAACCCGCCTAGCGGGGAGCCCCAGGGTGCAGCAGCTCCTCCGGCCTCAGCCGGCCCCGCACCTCCTCCCCGCCCGCCACCCTCTCGCCCCCCCCCGCCCCCAGCACCTCTACTTGGGGTGCTAGCTTGTTGGGAGAAAGAAGAGCGAGCTCCCCGTTTCACGCGAACTTTTTCTTTATGTATAGGCGAGAACCCAGTATTTCTTAAGTTCTGTGCTTCTGCTTTTTCCTCCTTTCCCCACTTGGCAGCTACTCCTGTCTCCAAACAATGTCTTGTCTCTTGGCTCTTAGAGCCTTGAGGGCAGAAACTTCTTTGGAACAGGACAAGTCCCTTTCAATACTTACGATCAGCCTCCACCCAGCCACCGCTTCTGCAAAATCAGGGACTAGAAACTAATTTGAGACTTCCCTCCCTCCCCACATCACAAGACTTGCCCACAACTTTCTTTCCTTCTTGGCCTTCTCATTTCAGTTCTCTTAAGGAGGTTACATAATACCAGTAAACTATGAGGGCAGGCCCTCCTGGCAAATGTACACAGCATGTTTTAAAGACCTTCTTTATTCAACAGGGAATTGTTTTTTACTGATATCTTTTTGAAGAGATTGATGTATGCTCTGTTGATGAGAGGGAAAGAATAAACCACTTTAAGTTAGAAAGCTCTCAAAAGTACCTGGTGTTTTCAGTTTCCTATCAGGGGTGGTGAATTAGATCTTAGCACTTTATTTTTCTCGGTGTGTAAGTTGGGATACCCAGAGCTGAAAAAAAAAAATTTGCCCAAAATGATGTATTCTAAAATAAACCTAGGACCACAACCCAATTTTACCCCAAAATGAACTGTAGATAAGTTTTGCAAGTTGAACATTAACTCCAAAGCTTGAAGGATTATTTCTTTTCCACCTCTGTCCCTCGCTGTTCCACCCCCAAAATGCTGTCATCTCAACTTCACCGGAATAGATAAGGCCTCATGGGGGTGTTTGTCAAAATATTGGAATTGTTTTCTGACAGGAGAAATCCAAGTTAACTTTTCACCAGCTAAATAGCATGTGACTAATGTCACAACTGATCCAGTAATGCATTTAGATACATGAAAGCAATGGTTGTAAAAATTATCCTGGTTAATACTAAAAGCAGAGCTAACCTCTCCTTCTACCCTGAGGTTTAAGAAACAAGAAATAATGCACTTAAACAATCTCATCATATTCTTTTGGGAAATTTTTTCTAAGAATTGAAATCTCTAGCGAATGAGACCTGTTTCAAAATAAACTGTGAGTTGATTGGAGTATTTAAAGTAATTCTTGGAGTTACTTTCTGAGTGTAGAAAGTGACAACATACCAGCTTTTACAAAGGGACTTTTAAATCCAGCAAGTCCTAGAATCTGGCATCAGGCAAAGTTCTGCTCAATTTCCAGCTTTGCAACCATGTTGTTTATATTTGAGAAGTTGCTTAAAACTCTCTAAAAGGAAGAGAGCAAGAGAAGAAAAAGGGGACAGAGAAGAATTTCAACAACAGCCAGAAAACACTGAACAAAATGGCAATATCAGTAATTAATGTAAAGGGATGGAATTCTCCAATCAAAAAACCTAGTGTGGCTGAATGGGTAGAAAAACAAGACCCATATCTATGCTGCATATAAGACACTCACTTCAGATATAAGGACACACATGGATTGACAGGGAAGGGATAGAAAAAGATGTTTCATGCAAATGGAAACCAAGGGAAAGCTGGGAAGCTATACTAATACCAGAACAAAAAGAGACTTTAAAACAAAGACTGTCATAAACGACCAAGAGGGCGTTCCACGGTGACAAAGGGGTCAATCCAACAAGAAGTTATAGCATTTGTAAATATATTTGCACCTAATAGATGAGCACCAAAATATATAAAGCAAATATTAAAACTCTCTAAGTTAGAGGGGTTTTCCCCCCTTTACTTGTAAAAGTAACTGTATGGCAGAGTTATTTTAAGGAGTAAATTTAATGCATGTTGATGCCCCTAACTGGCTGCACTGAATCTCAGCCTCTTCCCCATCCTGAGAGGCTTCCTGTGGCCCCAGCATCCCCCAGTGATTTGCAGATCTCACCACATTGGTGTTACTGTCCTAAAATATGACTCCAGTCGTGCTAGTTCTCACTGGAAACTTCCAATTACTCCTTAGAGTATATAAAAGAAAATCAAACTCTCCAACGCTCCAATCTCCTCTTCCAGAGGTATCACCCCATCTGATGCTTTGGTTGTGCCTACAGGGAATTTCCAGACCTCTGTGCTTCTGCTTTGCTATTTCTGCTGCTTGTCTTACATTCTGTTTTACTCCTACTTCCCCTTTTCTGCCTATAAAAATACAAGTCATTTTTTTTTAATGATCAAATGCCTTCTCCTTCATGATATTGTTCAGTCTTCTCAGGGAGAACCAGTCACTCCCCAGACTTAAGTTTCTATTTTAGCAACCATTTCATTTTCTCTGGTGTTACAAAAGTCACCATCTCCGATGGTTAGAAGCTCCTTGAGAGGAGGGGTTGGGTTCTTTGGAGGTGCACGTTTCTTGGATGTTTTCTTACTCATAATTAAATTTCCTACACAATTCAATCATTTTATCATTTAATAGGCACTATGTGGTTTACCTTGAAGATGTGAGAGGTCTGGGAAATATTCAGTGACTTGCCCAAAGTAAATAAATAAACCGCTCCCTCCTAAAAAACCCAAAAGACACAACAAGAAACTCATTGAAAATTAAATATTTTCTCCCAGAATTTTTTCAGCAGGTCATTCTTTACAGCGAAGAATCCCGACACCTGCCACTCCTGAAACTCTGGCTTGGGCCCATACCAATAGTGGCCATTTATAGTGCTGAAAATGTGGAGGTGAGTGTGTGGTTAATAGGAACACTGCTCCACTGCATATTTGGTGGTGTGAAAGGCTCATTAGAAGAACTATAATAACAGTATTCCTATATTGAATTGAATTCAGTATATTGAGTATTTCATTAAGTATTTTTGGCTATGTAGGTGCCATTTAATGCTTTCCAGATATAGTCTAAATCCTGGGGAGGGTAGCAGACTCTGGATGAAGCAGCCTCTGTGCATATTTGTTATCAGACCCAAGATACTTGTTCTCCTTTTTTGGAAAGTCTGCATAAGGATATAGTTTTATAGAACCATAAATGGATTATTCCATAAGTGAGCCCACATATTATCTAACAGGCGCTCTTTCACAAGTCCAAAAATGTTAGACTAATAAAGTATGAGTGTTTCTCCCAAGGTTATCAGAGTCTCACATCCATTACAAGATTATTTTTCCAAGTTCATTTTCCCAAAAAGGAATGCTCATCTGGTATTGATAGGGCAAATAGCATTAATGCATGCTGTTGAAATTAACTGCTCAAAAAGACTGTCTACCTTTTACTTATCATTATGACACCAGGGAGATTATCTTGTGGTTTGATGGTAAAAGGGATTTGGATCAGGGAGTAAAAATGGGATAAACAGAGCTTCTTTTCATGGAACAAAATTAAACACAATTTCCTAGGCCATAATGCTGGGGTATGTCTTTCTTAGTTATTGCGGTGAACATGTTGGATTTCTCTTGTACCACACGGTAGCATCCTTGTTCAGAGTAAAGAGTGAGGAGACAGGCATAGGATTTCACACTGCTGAGCTGACTTGGTGTGAACAGGCTTGGTGTGTGTGTGTAGAGATCTGTCCAGAGTACATGGCTGCAGCTGGGAACCTGGGGAGCATTTTGTGCTCGGACCTAAATGCTTAACCCTTCTACTTCACTTGGGTTCCAGGTGATCTGACTGCATTCATGGCTTTCAAAGTGTTGCTTCCATGCTGGAGATATTCAGATGTGTGCTACTAGTTCAGGTCTTTATCCTGAGCATCATTCCTCTTTCAGAGCATGGCAACTTGAATGTCTCCATGACAACATGCCCAAAAATGAACTTGTGATTTCTGTCTCCCTAGACGTGGTCATACTTGGGTTCACCTACCTCCTCTCCCCTATCCCCTCACCCTCAATGAATGACTCCACTTGGTTCTTAGTTCATGGTAGGAACCAGGGCATCATCCTGGACAGTTCCTTTTTCTCAATTCCATGTAGTCCCAAGACCGAATGATAGTTACATGTTCAAAACTCTACTTGACTTTCTTTGAGGCACAGGAATAAAAAATGAGTCCCAGAGAAGTAATAGCTATGAGATGTTAGTTTAAAAGTAGTGTTCTAGCCAGGTAGAATTAAACTTATTGTTGAAATGGTTTTGATGTCTATCTATATATCTCTCATTTTTTTTCTTTCCGAGGTAATTTTAACTAGTTCAAGGCAAATCGACAAATCCTATGTATACAAGTTCCTAGAACCATGGCTTGGCCTAGGACTTCTTACAAGGTATGTCAGTGTAAATTTGTAAAGCTGTCTCATAGAAAGAGTTACTTCCATTGGTAACATGTTATGTCAGGAATTGCCACGAAGTAGTTGTCCTGTCTTTAAGACTGTGGTGCCAGGAAGTAGGAAAGAGGCTGGAATGAAAGGTCTGGAGAACAATTGGTTCTGTCAGACAAGAGTCCAGGGTGTATGGTAATCTCCAACCACGGGACTCAGTAATGATGATGAGCAGTGTTTCAAGAAGAATCAGGTCCTAGTGTATGAATGGAGTAAAGCCAAGGAGAGTTTGGGGCAGGTAGTTTGTGAAAATACAGTGAAAAAGGCAGTCAGCCTCAGAGACATATATGGAGCATAAAACCTCAGTCCTGGAACTGGAGTCCAGAAACAGGACTCCATCCTCAGAAAGAGGACCTGCCAAGAGAAAGGCAGGACCCTTACTGGGGTCTGTGGGTAATCTGAAGATAATAGAGCTCAAAGTAGAAGCACAGACCATGAGGATCATCTGAGGACTAAGGTATTAATAGAGGGGAGAAAAGATATTCTAATTTTTAGAAACTCAGAACTGAGAAATTTAGAACAATTCCCAAATTATTCAGTTTTTATGAGTGCTCCTTTAAATATTAGTAATATAGAATAATATCTAAACTCTCCACGTTCTTAGCACTATATGAATCTTTGCCATTCTGACCGAAGCGTTTGAGGATCTGTAGATTAAGCCCTTTCACTAGAGATTTGTTGACTAAATTTATAATTTGTTTCTGATGTTGCTTCTCTTATTTGTAACCATGCATTGTGTTTCTAGTACTGGAAACAAATGGCGATCTAGGAGAAAAATGTTAACACCCACTTTCCATTTTACGATTCTGGAAGATTTCTTAGATGTCATGAATGAACACGCAAATATATTGGTTAATAAGCTTGAAAAACATGTTAACCAAGAAGCATTTAACTGCTTTTTTTACATCACTCTTTGTGCATTAGATATAATTTGTGGTAAGTCTTACTGATTTGTTTCTAAAGTTCTGGTGTAAAGATAGAATGGCCCAAACAGAAAATAGCATTCCAGTGGACAGGCAAATAAAGAGATGGGAAAGGATATTGTATTTTTCAGGGTGGCCCTATTGCTCAGCCCCCTGAGAAGCAGCAGCCACTGTGAGGGTCTTGAGCAGAGCAGTCACAGATCCAACATGCCAGGAAGGGCAGAGGGAGGAAGAAGCAGGAAGCAGGAGGAGAAATTTACAGGAAGGAGCAAAAGAGGGAGGGAGCCATTTTCAACTCTATAAGAACAACAGAACTTAAGTCCTTTTTTTTTTTCCCTGAGTGTTTTCCACTGAAAAATAAACACAGGTTATGTGCTAGAATTGAGTGGTTGCTTCTTGTCTTTATTTTACAGAAACAGCTATGGGGAAGAATATTGGGGCTCAAAATAATGAGGATTCTGAGTATGTTCGTGCCATCTACAGGTAAGTGAAGTCCTTGTAATTATCTTTAAAATGATTGCTGCTTAGGGCTTTAAAAATTATTGCTAATAATTTGTATCTTTTTCATTGTTTTGAAATGAATCTTTATACTAAAATTGACCTCGTCATTGAAGCATATATTTTACCAGTAGAGGAACAGATTTGTAAATTATGACACACCTAGATTATGCCATAATTTTAAAATGATTATTTTACAATATATTGAGAGATTACAGTGCTAAGTGATAAAAATAAAACCAGTTTTTAAAGAATGGTAACTACTAGGTACAAAAAATTTTTTATAGACAGGAAAAGCTAGAAGATACTATACCAACATATCAGCTATAGTTACTATTATTTTGTGTGTGGGCTTCTCTTTCTTACTATGTTTTGCTCTTGTTGTGCATTTTCCTTTCTCATATTTTCTACTCTGAGTATGTATTATTTTTTAATCAAAACAATTTTATTTTAAAGATGGCTTGTAGTTATTCAACTATTACAATTTGGGGCCAGGATTTTATTTGATATAGCCTATCTTTAAGTTCACTGCTCAGTTTACTTTATTTTAATAAATAAATAAATAAATAAGTATTTATGGAACATCTGTAATCTGCCATTCATTGCAGTAGGTGCTGACCAGTTTTAAGGGGCACACAAACAGGAAGATTAGTAGGGAGACATGCTTTGAAACAAATAAATATAAACATAAATTCCAATAATTGCTTAGAAAGAAAAGATCAAGTTGACATTAGAAAGGAAAACAGAGGCGGTGCCTGGGTGGGTCCATTGGTTAAGTGTCCATCTCTTGATTTTGGCTCAGGTCATGACCTCAGTGTTATGAGGTCAGGCTCGTGAGGCTCTGTGCTCAGTAGGGAGTCTGCTTGGTATTTTCTCTCTCTCCCTCTTCCCCTCCACTTGAGATTTCTCTTTTTCTCTCTCTATCAAAAAATTAAAAAAGGAAGGAAGGAAGGAAATAAGAGAAGAGAAGAAAAAAGAAGAGAAGAGGAAAAAAAGAAAAGAAAAGAAAAAAGAAAAGAAAAGAAAGAAAAGAAGAGAAAAGAAAAGAAGAGCAAAGAAAAGAAAAGAAAAGAAAAGAAGAAAAGAAAAGAGAAAAACAGGGATATTTCCTATGGATGAGTGGTCAGAAAACATGTCTCTGAAGAGTTGGTGTCTAAGTCAATCTCGAAGGAGGGAATCCTGTTGGGGTCTTGCTTCTTTATCACTGGAAATGACAAGGGAGTTACTCAAGACAGCTGTGTGACAGATGGGTATTTAATGAGCACTTCTCTGTGGAAGAGGGTAACCAGTGGTTTTATCACTCCAGAGGAGTGATAAATGAGTGGATATTAAAAAGAGGCATATTTCATCCCAACATGTGATCCAAGAGCCACAGCAGCCTTACGAGGTCAGGAATTCTTTCTGAAAAAACAGAAGCAGACATCAGATCTTGTAAGGATGTTTTATAATGAATTCTTCCTTCCACTAATGAAAACATTAAAATTTGTAAGCTTCATTGGATGTGTAAAAGCCCATGGATTCATTGTTGAGCATAAAGCATGGAGCTCTTAGTAGCCTCTAAGACAAATAGACCTCATTCCCATATATTACCCTGTTGAGAGTAGGTGCTAAAGAAATACACATTTTTCCACGGATCAGCCAATATATTTTTATCCTATTTGTAGAATGAGTGATACGATACATCGAAGAATGAAGATGCCCTGGCTCTGGCTTGACTTTTTGTTCCTTATGTTTAAAGAAGGCCGGGAACACAAAAAGAACCTAGAGATCCTACATAATTTTACCAGTAATGTAAGTCCTCAGTTTACTTTTTTTATTGTGGTAAAATATACATAAAATAAAAATTTGCCATTATAGCCATTTTAAATGTCCAATTTAGTGGCATTAATTCACAATGCTGTGCAGCCATCACCATAATCCATTTCCAGAAATTTTTAAATCCATGATTTTTAGGTTTTGTCAATATACCTAGTGCAGAACCATGGAGCCTGTGCCTCATAAAAACTGAATAGAATAATGGAAAAAAGGAGGCAACATGATTACATTTCAATCCTGTATTTGGTAAATATTAATTAAGCACTTGCTAAGTGCCAAACACTTTACCAATTGTTAGAAATATAGTAATGAGTAAGACATGTATGTTCTCTACCCTAGAAGAGTTTAGTTTAGTAAGGGAGGTTATCTATTTAAAAAATATATATACTGTATATTTATGAACAAACTGACTGCTATGTTAAAAGAATAAAGAGAAGAGGATTATAAGAGTCTTCTGGAAGGTATTTGGATTAGACAGTAGTTTTCCTTTTTTTCTTTTTTCTTTTTTTTAGACAGTAGTTTTCAAAGGCAAAGGGCCTTTATTTTAGTATTTCAACTTGGAAAAAATTAAAATTAATTGGATTTTACTATTTCATTTCTAATTCAAAGATAACAAAGAGATAGTGATGTTGTTTTGTATATAGGATGTCAGTCTGTTGTAAAAAATGAATATAGAACAACCACCTGGCTATAGGAGAGTAGCCAATAGTTTGTATTCTACAGATGTTATTGAATTTTTCCTCACATTTCATGCATTAATATCAATAATTAATGAATCCTAAATTAATGAATCCTAAACATTAATATCAATATCAGTAATTAATGATAAACAGTATAATTCATTTAATAAACACTGAAAATTGTATCCTGAATGCTATGCACCAGGGGTTCCATTGGAGAGCTTGCCCTCAAAGAACTTAGGATCTATTCATTCAAACCACTAACCAGCAGGTTTGATGAATTTCCTGATAGGAGAAAAAAGTTGAAATGTATAGCCAAATTGCATTGATGAGCCTTAATGCTTTCATTCATTCAACAAATAAAGAGTGTTTTTTAAATGCCAGGCAGTGTTCTAGAGGTTGGAAATATATAAATGAACAAACACAAATTCTCTACCACATGGGTCATACATTTGAATTAGATGAGAAAGGCACAAAGTACCAAGTGTAGCATCATGCCAGATGGCAGGGGAAATGGGAAAAAATAGAGTAGGCATGGGAAGATAGTGCTAGGGACTAGCATCACAGCCATCAGGGAGGGTCTTTCTGATAGTGTGACGAGGAGCAGAGACTTGAAAGAAAGGAGGGAGCCGGCCACGCAGAGGAAGGAGCAGTCTAGCCAGAAGGAACAGCAAGCAAACAGGTGAGCTTTCAACTTGCTATTTCTTTTCTCCAACATGTAATTAGAACAATGTGTAATTAGTCTACTATCTAAGGATTGCGTTCTTTCCAGCACCTATATTTTTGTCTCGTTGGCTCATTCTGATCTCTAGAGATGATTACGCTATACCCCATTGGAAAGACTGTAAAAATAGCACTTGAAAATTCTGAAGTTGTCTGATACTAAATTCATTTTTAGAAGTCTTATCAGTTAATGCCCTAAAGTTCAAAAGGAAGCAAGGTTATATTTTTTCAAGAGCCTAAGTTATTGCTGAGATAGCAAGGAAAGGATAATCTCAGAAAAAATAAGTTAAAGAAGCTAGTATATTTTCATAGAAAAGTATATTGTTGGGTTATAATAAATTCCAAACAAAAGCATGTGATTGTTTAAATCATAGGTCATTGCTGAACGGGCCCGTGAACTGAAGAGAGACGAAGAACATGGAAGTGCTGACAAGGACTGCTCCCCCTCCAAAAATAAACGCAGAGCTTTTCTTGACTTGCTTTTAAATGTGACTGATGATGAGGGGAACAAGCTACGTCATGAAGATATTCGAGAAGAAGTTGACACCTTCATGTTTGAGGTATTTTATATCATTGTTATTTTTAGGTATCATTAAATAAATTTCAGTTATTTTTTTAGAATCTTTAACATATTTTTAGAAGTTTAATAAAAGTTTATTTATTTTAAAGATTTATTTATTTATTTAGGAGAGAGAAAGAGAGAGAGAGAGAGAGAGAGAGAGAGAGAGGAGTAGGAGCAGAAGAAAGAAATCCAAAGCAGACTCCACACTGAGCTCAGAGCCCCATGTGGGGCTCGATCCCATGACCCTGAGATCTTGACCTGAGCCAAAACTAAGAGTCAGATGCTTAACTGACTGCACCACTTGGGCACCCCTAATGAAATTTTAAAGTAGCTTAACATAACTAAGGAAGAGTCATTAGATCACCAGTAAAAATTATAAAATTTAAGAACCTAAGTAAGTATCAGATCAACCTCCTTGTTCAGAAAATCTTTGATTCGTGGTGGTTACAGCATAGACACATATGTTTTTTCTCAAGTAAAACTAATGTTTGTCAGACTTTTCCAAGCAGAAGAACAGCCAGAGATTACTATCAGTTCTCTGTATTGCTTCCCACTTCCTTTTAATCTCTAAAAACCCACAAGTTTGTTTCTTCACCAGCAACTTTTAAAGCAGTTTGTTTTCCTCGTGCTTCTACCCACGAGGACATAGCTACTGCTGTGAGCTGCCCCTAACTAAAGCAGGAACAAGAGCCCTCCGCTAGAGAATTTAGCCGGTTTGTGATTCTAAAAAGATTTCTGGTCTTCAAATAATAATAGTCATAATAAAAGATGCAGTTTTTAGCAAGATAATTCTAACTAACTATATTAAATATTACAAGGAGTGAGTCTCTGAATATGTGGATTGCCAAATAAAGAAATGTTTTTTTTTAAGCACCACGTGGTAATATTTTGGAAGTGGAGGAAAGCAAAAGGTATCAGTAGTTTTCGATGGCTCAGCATGGCTCAGTGGTGTGTTAGTTGCTCTGCACAACTGCCTGGATGTGATGCCAGTGCTCGTCCCTCTGTTCTTCCCGAGGGAGGACCGTCTGCGCGCTGTAGCAGAAAGCAGGCTGTGTTAAGCATCTATAGACGAGCTCTTTTTCTGGTTCATACTGGCCATACCAGATGGCTTCAATCATCTCCGATCTCTGTCCCAGCTTTCCTATGTGTAAAATAGAGAGATGGGCTAGATCAGAGATTTCAGCCTTATTTTTTATTTTATTTTTTTAAATTTTTATTTATTTATGATAGTCACAGAGAGAGAGAGAGAGAGAGAGGCAGAGACATAGGCAGAGAGAGAAGCAGGCTCCATGCACCGGGAGCCCGATGTGGGATTCGATCCCGGGTCTCCAGGATCGCGCCCTGGGCCAAAGGCAGGCGCCAAACCGCTGTGCCACCCAGGGATCCCCTCAGCCTTATTTTTTAAGCAGAGCACTTTATTGAAAAGAAATTGTATGAGAAAAGTGGAGAGGGAATAAGCATGTGGGCTCAGAGGCCAGATTCTCAGCCATGACTTGTCCTAGATGTGTGACCTCAGGCACCACATGCAGTCTTTCTGGGCTCCAGTATCCTCATTGTCAAAGCATGGGCCTCACAGATTAGATTAATGATTTTTTAAAGTACACCAAGAATTGTGCCTGGCCTATGGGAAGCATGTAGCAGATATATTAGCTCTTTTGAAAAAAGATTTTATTTATTTATTCATGATAGACATAGAGAGAGAGAGAAAGGCAGAGATACAGGCAGAGGGAGAAGCAGGCTCCACGCAGGGAGCCCGATGCAGGACTCGATCCTGGGACTCCAGGATCACGCCCTGGGCCAAAGGCAGGCGTTGAACCGCTGAGCCACCCAGGGATCCCCAATATATTAGCTCTTATGTTGAAGTGGAGGAGAGACCTTCTCACATCTCCACCCTGTATGCACACACATGTGCATGCACACATAAACAGATGTGTCCATACACACATATACACATACACTGTCATGCATGTACCTTTACCTACACATACATACATACATGTATATGGTGCACACACATCCATCTGCCCCCAGTGACCTCTCACATTCATGTGAACAGCCAGACCAATGATCTCTTTCTTCCAGTTCTAACGTTCTTTGAAATTCTAAGTTTTTTCCTTCTTTGCATCAAATAGAAGGCATTCCACAGACTGTAATATTGTGACCTCCTTCCTAAGGTGGGTGCAGGCTTTTAGTGCCATGCCTTTCACTGCCTGGGTGCCAGCCATTAGATACTTAGGTTTTTGCCCTCACCTAGCCCAGCGGTGTGCTCCTTGTAAATTCTGTGCTTTGTTTTGCTTCATCCTGCTTTCTCCCAGTAGCAGACAAAATAAAATAAAAAATTCAGTCTCAGTATTTGTTCTCTAAAATGTAAATAGCATTATCAAAATTTCATGAATGTTTAGTGAAGAACAATTGTGTTAGTTTCTGCAAAGTGTTTAGTGTTTTGCCTAGAACTCAAGCAAATATTAAATGAAGCTATTTGTTAACTTCTTGATGTGGCAAATGCTTAGAACTGTGTATATGCTCCCTGGTGTCCAGCATGGACAGGTAAAGCCTACCTTGCAAATGGTGAAAGTAGAGAAGTAGAGATCTGGCAAGCTGGCTCACGAAAGTCAGATATTTCCCCTTTTATTTTTTTAAAAGGAATTTATTTATTTGAGAGTGTGTGTGTGCACACAAGTGGGGAGGGGGCAGAGGGAGAAGCAGACTCCCTGCTGAGCAAGGGACTTGATGAAGGACTCGATCCCAGGACTCTGGCATCATGACCTGGGCCAAGGACAGGTGCTTAACTCACTGAGCCACCCAGGTGCCCTTGAACTTTTCCCCTTTTAAAACTACCTAGTGAAAAATAATAAATAAATAAATAAATAAATAAATAAATAAATAAATAAATAAATAAAAAACTACCTAGTGCATCCCAATTCCTTGGAATGTCACCTTATCAGCACAGCTGAGCTGCTTCTCACCATGTAGACAGTTCCATGTAGAGGTGAAATGTCTCTCTGAGCATGAACCTCCACCTTGAAGGGACTGTTTATATGTTTGCTTCTCACCAAGGTGAGATGCTGTATGGAATTAATTTGTTATGTTCTGGAGTCACATCGTAGTTGTCAAAATCAGAGACAACTCAAAACAGAGTCATCATTCCTGGTTTTTTCGATTCAACTCTGCTTTTTAAGCCATGTTTCTTCTCACATTTGTAGGGCCATGATACGACAGCAGCGGCGATAAACTGGTCCTTATATCTCTTGGGTTCCTACCCAGAAGTCCAGAAACAAGTGGACAGTGAACTGGAGGACGTGTTTGGTATGTTTGTCCCCATCGTTACCTGCTCTGTGGGTCCCAAATCCACTGAAACAAATGCCATTCATGCTCATTAAGGAGGGCAGTAGGACCTGTTACAGAGACACTGCAATTAGCAAGAAAGCTGCCATGTGGGATCCCTTCCAGTACCGTCTCTTTTGGAAGGTCTCTTCTGCTCACTTATAGGCATTTGCTAACTGCCTGGCATGTGACTGCATTGGGCTAGATGCTGGGGATGCACAGGTAAATACTACTGTCTCTAAGGACCTCACTGCTTAGTAGATGAACCAGCCATTGTGCGTAAAGCACGGAGTCCTGGCTATGCACTTGAGTGATATGAAGAAGGTACTCTTTGCGAGCAGCAAGGAACAGGTGATAATAGTTAGAGGGGGTCTGGGAAAGCTGTTCCATATTGGGTTGCATCTGACCAGGACATAAATTTCTAATATACAATCTATTATACAAGCAGAAATCTGCTTGTATAGCTAGGCATGCAAGGTATGTGGGAGTATAGGTAAGAGTCCTAGGCTGAATCCAACAGGGATGTCATCAGAGGTCCAGTCTTGTTCTCTTTTCTCTCTCTTCTTCACCATTGTGGCTTTTGTCTTCTTGATTGTTGTTCCAGGTCTCATGTTTATCTTTAAGACAAAGGAAAGGGGAAGGGGGAATGAAGAATGTATTAGATTCCTGGAGGTGCTATAACAAATTCTACCAACTGGGTGGCTTAAAACAACAGAAATGTATTCTTTCACGGTTCTGAACACCAGAAGTCCAAAATCAGTAATACTGAGCCTAAATTGATGCGCTGGCAGGTTGTTCTCCTTCTGGAAGCCCTAGTGGAGAATCTTTTCTTCCCCCTTCCGGTCCCTGCCAGCATTCCTTGGTTTATGGTCCATCACTCAAATTTTTGCCTCTATTTTTCACACCTCCTTCTCTTCTCTCTCTCTCTCTGTCTCTCGTCTCTTTGTGTGTGTGTGTGTGTGTGTGTGTGTGTGCGTGCGTGTGTGAGGGAGAGAGAGAGAGATCTCTTCCTCTCTCTTATAAAGATATTTGTGATGGCATTCAGAGCCCACCTGTATAATCCAAAATAGTTCCCCCATTTGTCAATCATTAATGAGACAAATCTGCAAAGATAACTTTCCCCCAAATAAGGTAACCTTTACAGGTCCCAGGGATTAGTACTTGACATATATAGGGGCCATTTCCAGCCAACCACAAAGGGGCCACACATTGTGCCATCAATTTCACCCTTTGTTTACTCACATATCACATGACTCCCACAGCTGGAAGGAGAAAATGAAAGATTAGGTCAGCCAACCAACAAATGGTGTCTGATGCAGTTGTATAGAGAAAAGAAGTAGGAAAGGAAAAATAAAGGTAAAAGGAGGAGACGTCAGACATTCTAGAAAGAGGAGAACAGATGGACAATGGCACAGAAGTGGAAACATTTGGAGGATAGTAGTGAACAGTGAGGGGCAGCTAGAATTTGGAACATAGAGTAGAAGATATTGAGAGATGAGGCTGGACAAGTAGTTTAATGTTCAGATTGTCTGAGGACTGGAATTTCATATCAAGAGGGAAGACTTTATTTAGTGGAATGGAGACAATCTAAACTTCTTGGCTCTGTTTCTATAGTCGGGTTTTTTTTTCTGTATTGATTTTAATTTCTCTCATATTGCCTATGGTGAGTTAATTTGGTCTTTGAAAAGCTCACACATTCTTTTGGAGTAAGTTCATTTTTTGTATCCTCTGCAATGTCTAGCTTATTGCTGGTCTCACAAATACTTTTTGACCTCACATAATTAAAACACTGTTATTTGAGATACTTTATTCTGCCGCTTGTCATGCTTTCTACTAATGGTGTCTCGCTTTTTCTTCTACCCCCAATACTAGCTTTAAAATTTCATGAGCAACTAATCTATGGGTCTTGCAAGTATTAATTTGTCTTGTTACACATAAAGTTAGCCACTTCTTTGTGTGTGTTTAGTTTTATTGTAACAAAGCAACTGGCACACCATTAGTGTTTAAAATCAAGTATCATCTTTTTCCCCCAGTGAAGAAAAAAAAGAAAATTTAAAAATAAACAGAAACAAAATTATAATAGAGAATGTCAACTTCAGATAAGGTCTTACAGGCTCATTGAGTCTCCCATTGAGTGGTAGTGCTCATGTCATGAGGAAAGAATTTTCTTTCTTTTTTTAAGATTTTATTTATTTATTAGAAAGAGAGAGAGAGCAGGGGCAGAGGCAGAGGGAGAGGGAGAAGCAGACTCCCCGCAGGGCAGACAGTCCAATGCAGGGCTCAATTCCAGGACCCTGAGATCATGACCTGAACTGAAGGCAGACGCTTAATTGACTGAGCCATCTAGGTGCCCTGAGAATTTTATTTCTAAAGTGTCATCTTAAACTGCAAAACTACCCATTAAACATCACAATTAAACATGCCAAAGGAGAAACCATGTTGTCAAGATGCCCACTTTACCTATCCAAACATCTCAAACCCACCCGTCCCTGATCTTCTAGGCACCCATTTTTAAAAAAATAATAAAAGCAAGAGAAAGTAGATACATGTTGGTAAATGGTAAGTGTCCACATTTACACAAAGACACAGTATACCTCTGAGCCCAATACTGAGGAAAAGGAAAAGAACTAAAATTCTCTGTACCACTGCTCCAGGGCCAAGTATCCTCCAGCTTCCAGCAGAGCTAAGGGAGCAGAAGGGTTTTGTTTTTGTTTGTTTTGTTTTTGTTTTTGTTTCTGCCCCCACAGAGCATAGTAATGTTGTTTATATGAAGTTTTGGTTGAGATGGAGAGGGATTGGAACGGAAAAGGGTAGAGTTTCTCTTCCCAGTGTATTGTGCTCAATGTATCATCCCCCAAAATCAGTTGAAAACCATGGCATAAAGGAGAGAAGAGAGATGTCAAGAACAGCATGACTGACCACAAGTGGACTGGAGAAAATGAAAACAGGAAGACTGGAAGCCATCAGTTTTCCATCTGTCATCGCCTCCACATTCCTGTCCTCCCTTCTCCTCCATCCCCTTCTTCATCATCCATGTCAGGAACTTAGTAGTACTGTCATGGATCTGACCAAATACCATCTTGCATGTCGTCTCCTAACTCATCTGTTTTTTCCACATTTTGCCCAAGAATGGGGTTCATGGAGGTAGGACTATCCTGGGAGGGTGGGGCAAGTGGAATGTTCTCTGCACAGCTGTGTACCATGTGTAATTCAGGGAGGTGAGCCAGTTCAGACCACCCACAGTGCAAAGGGGGCTAAGAATAGAAAACTTGAGCACCTGGGCTGGCTGAGGAATATCCAGCTCCCAGGCTCTGTCCCTCACCCCCATTAAACAAGCATGGAGCCCCAGCTCCTTCTATTACGTAGATGGAAAGACAGAAAATTGAAGTGTAATATGAAAGTAACTGAGCACAAATTTTATTTCAGCTACGAACTTTATTTTTGAAGGAAGAGGGTTGTTTTTGTTTGTTTGTTTGTTTGTTTGTTTTTTAAATCAAAACGAACCTCTATTCTATAACCTGGTTTAATATCTTCAAACACTGTCACTTCGACTCTGGTCAGATGATGCAGTGCCTCTTCATCTTCCTCTCCGAATAAGGCAGATTTGTGGGTGGTTGACAGATGCTGTTACCCCAGAATTTGGGATTTTGGTGATCAATTCCAACCTCCTTTGAAAACATGGTCAGGGCATTTGTTATATTTCCGTTATCCTTTCAAGGTTCTTCACTGGCTTTTCTCAAGTCTGTGTATCTCTTTTTGTACTTCATCAAGATGTTCAGTTGCTCCTTGCTATATACTCTTTTTCTTCCTGTGGCAAGTCCAGAGAGGTTGATGTCTTCTCTGGTCTGGAGGCAGGAGGCGATCTTAATGTCTTTGTTTAACACAGGAATGAAGGCATTTAGGGGCCATGCTGCTGTGGGGAAAGTCCAAGGATCTGACCCAAGAGAAGATGCACACGTGGAAGCTCTGAGAACTCGAAATTAACCATTTTAAAGTATACGATTTAGTTTGTTCACAGTGTTGCACAACTGTTACTCTATCTAATTCCGTGACATTTTCACGGGACAATTTCCTTCCCGGGAAGGAAACCCCATATGGTTAATCAGCCACACCCCATTCCTTCTTCCTCCAGCCCCAGGCAACCACTGATTTACTCTCAGTATTTATGGATTTACCTGTTCTGAGCACTTCCTATAAATGGAATCATAATCGTGATTGTTATAAAAATCACAATACGTGATTTGTTTTGTGTCTGGTTTCTCTCACTTAGCACATTGTCTCATTTCATTTTGATTATGTGTAATATTAGAAATCCTATTTTGGCTCTAAGTATTTAACATTCAGTGCTTTGATTAATTCCTCTTTGATTCCTTCATCCCCCAAGCCCAGACAGTTCTTTCATTGTCATCTCATGTATTTCCTTTAACCAGGGAAGTCTGATCGTCCTGCTACCTTAGAAGACCTGAAGAAACTCAAATACCTGGAGTGTGTCATTAAGGAGAGCCTTCGCCTTTTTCCTTCAGTTCCCTTATTTGCCCGTAATCTTAACGAAGATTGTGTAGTTGGTAAGAACTCTGTAATCAAGAGAGTGGGGAGAATGGATTTTTTAATGCCCGTCTCACTCGGTTCTTACGGCGTTTTGCCTACCTCTTGACAGCGGGTTACAAGGTTGTGAAAGGCTCCCAAGCAATCATCGTTCCCTATGCACTTCATAGAGATCCAAGATATTTCCCAAATCCCGAGGAGTTCCAGCCAGAGAGATTCTTTCCCGAAAATTTGCAAGGACGCCACCCATATGCATACATTCCCTTTTCTGCTGGACCCAGAAACTGTATAGGTTTGTATCCATCAGAATTGGTTTGACCTGTTCGGCCTACATGGTAATGAGTTTCTCACAATAATTTCTTTGAGATGTAGTGTCTCATAGACAACAGTCTTTAAAAAACTGATTTTCTTTTTCTTCTATATCATTAGATGTTATTGTTTCAAAAAAGACTGTCATAAAATAATTTGCTAGGGGTGCCATAACAAGAGACTACCAACTGGGTGGCTTACACAGCAGATATTCATTTTCTCATATTCTGGAATCTGAAGTCTGAAATCAAGGTGTCCAGAGGGTTGGTTTCTTCTGAGACCTTTCTAAAGCCTGGCTTGTAGATGGCCATCTCCTCCCTATATCTCCACAGGGTCTTGCCTGTGTGTGATATCCCGATTTCTTCTTTTTATAAAAATACCAGTCAGATTGGATTAGGGTCTGTCCATATGACCTCATTTTAAGTTAAGTAACCTCTGTAAAAATTCTATCTGCAAATACAGTCACATTCCAAAGTACGAGGGTTAGGGCTTCAACATATGAATTTGAAGGGGACACAGTTTGGCCCGTAACATAAAGCACAATCAGTTACATGGTGGAGCTTTAAAATATTGATTTTGGATCAAAGTAGGATATGGCTTATATGGTAGAAAACTTATTTGTAACAATTAGTTTATTTAACCTAATGTCTGTGTTCACTGCTTTTAAGAATTGCATCTTGCAAAATGAAAACAATGCTTACCACATGGCCAGCTGAAGTACTTAAAATGAATGCACATCACCATGCATTAGGATCTCCAGCATTTTATCATCCATGTAAATATACGTGTTAGTAAAATGAGGTCGGATCTAAAAGGATGAATCTGAAGCATATTTGGTGACTCTATGGTAAATTAATAATAAGAAAGCCATCTAGAATAGTGATTCTCATGCTTCAGTGACCCCAGAATTTATTTGCTATATTGCTCAAATACAATCATCTATCCCACCCCAACTATACGGATGCACTAGGTAGGAGCTGAGAAGGGCACTGAAGAATCTTCATTTTTAACAAACATCCCAAATGATTCTGATTGTTCCTACTGTGGAAATATAAAGTTACTTGGTTCATTTAGTAGGACCTATAATTTTCAGATTTGAGATATATGTATAATTAAATTAATGCTATTTACATTAATTTGAAGGTCAAAGGTTTGCCATAATGGAAGAAAAGACTGTTCTTTCCTGTGTCCTGAGGCATTTTTGGGTAGAATCCAATCAGAAAAGAGAAGAACTTGGTCTGGCAGGAGAGTTGATTCTTCGTCCAACTAATGGCATCTGGATCAAGTTGAAGAGGAGAAATGCAGATGAATTTTAACCATATAATTGGGCTGTGCCTTTGTCATGTAAAAGGTCTTTCTTGAAGGAAACTAGATTTACAATTTCTAGATCTGAGTTCAATACTCCTAATCCCTAGACCTATTTCTTTCCTGTCCCTGCTAACCTTGTGGTCAAGTCCTCCAAAGAGTTTTATATTTTCATTGCCACCATGGATCTTACCCTTGGGCTTGATCCCAAAAGTAGAGTCTGAAGATGGCACCCAAATAAATGTAGGACAAGTTTTTCAATAGAGAGATCCACAACCAACTCAATTTCAATTGTGAGACCCAAAGGATATAATTTAATTGAAGTTCCAGAATTTTTTAAAGGTATTCTTATTGACTGGGGAATATATATATATGCATTTAATTTGAAAAGGGTAAGTACTTAGACATGAGAAGCTTATGTTTTTAGATTATATTTGTGGCATCAATTATGAGAATAATTATTACGGTCCTTTTTGCATTTTATCACCTAGAGTAGATAATTTGTAAGTTGACTCACAGGTTCTGTTCCTATTTCCCTTTGGCTAAGTGGTTATAGCTATGATTCCATTATGCATAGTATCACAACTATCCATGTATACCATATACAGTTGGGAAAGATTCCTCTTGGTAATATCCAATCCCCTGCAGTGCCTCAGGGTTGAGTAATGGCTTTTGGAGCTGGAAGGACCTTATTGTTTATCTAATTGTACTCTTTTTATTAGAAAAAGGGAATAAAAAAAAAAAAGAAAAAGGGAATGAGATAGATGAGAAGTTAAGTTTCTGCCCAGAGTCATACTACTAGTGGGTGACAGGGCTGAAATTAGAGGTCTGTACTCTACATCTTTCCATTCTCAATGTGATAGACTTCACTGTGTGTGCTTTTACTTTATGGAACTCAGGTCTGTAACTAGATGTGTCATTAGAACACAGATTTTCTGCCTCTGATTTTGGATATTTCTTTTAGAATTCTTCCATTATTAAAGGAAAAGAAAAGTCGTTCATCTGTATTTGTAACCAGTAATATCTTACTTCTTTGGGGTTAGACTTTGAGTAAATTCAATCCTCTGGAACATACCTATCAAGCTGATAGCTGACACACATTCTCTGAATTTTAATTCCATAGGCAGTATCTCTACTCCATCACTCAGTGACTTTAAAAAACAACTTTTAATAAACTTTAATAAGATTGTTTCTTCAAATTTCCCAAGGCAATAGCAAATAGAAGGAACAAATTAAGAGGGTGAAATTTCTATTTTTCCATGAGTATCAGAGGAAGAGATTACAAAACCAAAGCCATTTTAAGCACTTCAAGCTGTCATTTAGGGTAGGGTCAGCATCTCTACCCACTTTACTACCCCAAGAAACCCCAATGCAGACAACCCAGTTGCTAAGTTGATGAGAAAAAGTCAAGGAAGTATATGATACATTTGAAAAAGATTCCCACTGTATGCTTACCTTTATTATCTAGAAAGTAGATATAAGAATATCTTATTCCCAGATGACTATGGATAAAGTATTATTCATGGGAATTAGTATTATTTCTCAATGTTATGCATTTAGATATAAAACTTGTTTTTTTTCTTACTCTCCTAGTCCTTCCTCCTCCTCCTCCTTCTCCTCCTCTTCCTTCTTCTCCTTTTTAGTGACCCCACATTGGCTGTGAAATTAAATTCAAAGTAAAATATTGTTTAATGTTACCTTTTGGTCTAAGATCTTCATGTAGCCCCACAATAATTGTTATTCATATTTTAATTGGAAATCCTCTTAACCATGTTAGAGGTGGAATTGAGAAATTATGTTATGGTCTGTGGTATTGAAATGCAGATGCTGACTTTTTTTTTTAATAAGAGGATGATCAAGTATCTGTGACCCTGTCTTACTACTGCTTGAAAGAGGTATCTCAAGAAACATAAATTACATTTTAATCATGAGTGTTACATTATATTCTAAGAATTGATGTCACTTTGAAATATAGGTAGCTCTGAAGGCAAATTAGTGGGTGACTGATTCATAATGAGTAATAAAAGAAATAGCACATTTGAGCTGATGTCAACAGTGCTCCTTAGACTTTCTAAAAAAATGTTCCTTTTACCCTTGTCATAGACTGATTTTGAGTTTTCTTGACTCTGAAGAATTAACCAGAGGAGAAGTATAAATTCCAGAACATTTTGCTCAGCTGATAGCAGAAAGTGAAATCTCCTGCAGAGGGAGGCCAGGGAATCAGCAAAACCATCAGTATCATTGTGTCCCGGGCATTTACAGTTTAGAAACTTTCTCCAGGTGATGAACTAGTGAACTGACCGATGTTCTGTTCATTGTCACAGACAACTAAAGACTATCAATTTCTGGACCAGTGACCTGTCTCACAATGAAAGAGATGCTGCCCACAAAAAAATAAAAGTAAAAAGTCAATTTTTACTCTGGAATGTGTCTGAATGATCACAGTGTTTTCTTTCCAGCATCTAATGAGATGCTGGTAGGAACATGACAATTTTTTTAGTTTGCCTGGAAGCCCTATCACCACCACCACCTATTTTTTAGGAACAGCAATCTATCTTTGGAACTACCCCATGATAAATGCCTCCCCCCTTTTCCTTCTGTTTCTCACTTTTTTTGCTTCCCTGACATATGTACACTGTAAATAGGCAGTTCTAGTTGAGCAATCTTGCTCTCTTGGCTTAAGTTGATTGACCCAAGCAGGGTCCACTCAGAGTTCTCCCCTTGGAAATTGGTGGAGATTTCAAGTTGTGAGACTGGGGATCAATTGGCAGTTGAGCCTCTGAACAGCTCCTAGAAGATGAGAAGAAGGTGATGAGTAAAGAAGATGCGGAGAAAAGAAACAGAACCCTGGAGGGTCAGAATCCCATGTTCCAGGGGATGCTGAAGGCCACCTGCATGCCTGCCCTGTGCACTCTTCACTTGTCCACCTCTGCCCTGGAGCCTGAGGACCAGGCTATCGTCATTTTTTCTTAGGTTGATTGCCTTTCATTTCTAACCCAAAGCAACTTAGTGTTTGTCGGTTCAGCTGAGGGATATAGAAAGGTGCTGTATTTTTTGGACATGATCTTAGGTCTTCATCGTATTTCCTTTGTGCTGTTCAGTACTTCTCTACACTGGATAACATCAGCTGGTAACATATGTCTGCTAGTCATTTAAATGCAATAGAATTTTTAAAAAAGATTTATTTATTCATGAGAGACAGAGAGAGAGAGAGAGGCAGAGACACAGGCAGAGGGAGAAGCAGGCTCTGCAAGGGAGCCTGATGTGGAACTAGATCCCAGGACTCTAGGATCATGCCCTGGGCCGAAGGCAGGCGCTCAACTGCTGAGCCATCCAGGCATCCCTAAATGCAATAGAATTTTGAAAAATTAAGATTCAATTGACATTATTTTAGTTTCAGGCATACAACATAATGATTTGATGCTTGTATGTATGAGAAATAATAAATGCAATAGCATTTGAGGAAATGCAGGGTTTCTATCTTTTCCAGATAGTAGGAAAATTAAAAGTCCAGTGCTTTATTTTCGAAGCCAGCTGGGATTAGCCTAACACGAGTCTAGTTCCTTAGCTCCATCCTGATGTGTTCCCTAGACTAGTTCATCATTTTTTCTTGATTTAATTAAACCGGATTCACCCCAGTTTTCCTTTAGCTAGCTGCATTCCAAATTCCAGGGCCAAACCTCTCGTCTATAATTACTACTAATGGATTGTGTATTCCCTCATCTGCTTCTTGAAATTGGTCTAGAAATTCACCAAATGGAGTATTTCTTTGGGCCTTTTGCACTGAATTCAATTTCTAAATTTACTCCCAGCCTGTAGATGTTCCTACTCCTGCTCTCTTGATCCTAAGAGGTACTTTTTGGCACCTTCTTTTTCCTTCCCATCACTTCCTGCCTCCTCCCATCCAGCATTTTCTTTGTGTTGCAGTTTACATGAATTCTTTCCTGTCTTTCCTGGCATTAGCCAATGTAGGTCTCATGGAAACAATGGCTATACTCAAACTCCTATTTCATATAAAAAACCTATAATAGCCCTTTCCTCAAAAGAAAAATCGTTACTGTATTTAGGCATGGTTTTCTTATTTCTAGAATGTTTTAAATTTATTTTTGAATGTTATCCATAGTTTAAAAATATGTGTTTTAGCTGAATGGTGAAGGATGTGTCAGCACAGGACTGCTCCCTGGGCACTCCCAGGATGGAGGCCTAACTCTCTTTTACCATATTGCACTCTTGACTTCCTCCTTTCTTGCTCAAGTCAATTGTCAGCTTGAAGTTTTATGCTTATGGAAATAGAGTAAATTAAGACTTTTAATACACTCAGGCACAATTAATTTTTTTTTCATATGGCCACAGCTTCCTAGGCATGTGATTGTGCTGCAGGCTTTTTGGCCTCCTGTGCCTTCACAATTAATTGTTACTCCATCAGTGATGCTTGATGTGTCCAATGTTGATTTGTTACCACCAGAAACAATGTTGTTTATGAAAACCAAGGTTTGAAGTGTCTCCTATTGAGCAGTTGGAGGGAACCTCAAAAGGACATCTGCTCCCACAGAGGATATTCATGGAATTAAGACCAGTCTGGCTATCAGTCCAGTAACTGCTGTCAGTGTTACCTATGCTCCTCCTCGCTTACGAGAGTGACAGTCACTTTCATACATGACTTAGATGGTCCACAATTGTGGGTAAAAGGACCATCCTGTCCTCGATCTCTTCCTTCCTTCCTTCCTTCCTTCCTTCCTTCCTTCCTTCCTTCCTTCCTTCCTTCCTCCTCCTCCTTCTTCTTCTTCTTCTTCTTCTTCTTCTTCTTCTTCTTCTTCTTCTTCTTCTTTCTTTCTTTCTTTCTTTCTTTCTTTCTTTCTTTCTTCTTTCTTTCTCTCCTTCTTTCTTCTTCTTCTTCTTCTTCTTCTTCTTCTTCTTCTTCTTCTTCTTCTTCTTCTTCTTCTTCCCTTCCTCCTTTCCTTCCTCTTTCCCTCTCTCCTTCCTTCCTTCCCTCTTCTTTTCTTTCTCCTTTCTTTCTTTATTTCCCTCCTATCTTTCCATCCTTCCTTCTTTTAACAAAAATTTAATATTTTATTTATTTAATTATTTATTCATTTCACACTTTCCTTCAATAAATGCCAAATACTACTCTGGGGATAGAGACCCAAGCCTAACAGCAAGGTGTGAGGGCTAGTGTGCAGCAGAAAGACAATATAAAAATTACTAAATAGAGGACCCAGTATCAGATAGTGCTAGGTGCTATGAAAAAAATGAAGCATAGTAAAGGGACAGGAGGAATGAAAAGATGCCTTTTTAGATCAGTTGCTTAATGATGGCATCTTGTGTTTCCTACTGCCCTCTTTCCTCTTTTTAATCCTTGACAAATAGAAGTCTATGCTACTCCAACCTTCCAGCTGTTATGTTACCACAAGGACAGTCACAGCTGTTCTGCTAAAATATTTATTTTGTAATTTATCCTGTTAATGTATATTTTACTTACATATGTGCTGATGATAGTGGTGTTATGTATATAAGATACTCCAGTTCTCACTGAGATGCACTGGGAAGAGAAAAGACCCTAAAATATGATCCTTCTCATCCTTCTCAGGGACATTTAATGCCATAGAGATCCAGAGAGCAGAAATCTTTCAAGAGTCAAATGTGCACCATCAAAGACCTTTCTCAGTGAACTGAGATTCTTTTCTTAATGAGCAGCACAATGTAGCTTTTGTTCATTTTTCTCCTTTCTCATTGCCCCATCTCCTGGCCACACAGCTTTAGAGATTCAGGGCTTTTCCCATTTTTTTTAAAGATTTATTTATTTATTCACGAGAGACACAGATTGAGAGAGAGTGACACAGGCAGAGGGAGAAGCAGGCTCCTCGCAGGGAGCCTAATGTGGGACTTGATCCCACATCCTGAGATCAGACCTGAACCAAAGGCAGGCGCCCAACTGCTGAGCCACCCAGGTGCCCCCCATTTTTTTTAAGCCCACAGGTTCTCTGAAAGATCCCATGGCAGATCACTACCATGCCAACAGCCCGCCCTGCCACCCAAAGCCCTTATACTCCACTAGGGACTCTCCTTCATTCCCTTCCTCTAGAAGTGTCCAGCTCCCAACCCTCTCTCTCCAGGCCACTGTCACTTCAGATAATAACCTTCTGTATTAGTATTCTTTTGCTGTGTAACAACTGACTGTAATCTTGGCAGTTCAAAACAACCCTAATTTATCCTTTCGCATTCTGTGGATTAGTAGGTGGGTTTAGCTGGGTTCCCTTTTTGGCATCTCACAAGCCCCAAATTGAGGTGTGGATGTTGTGGGAAGAATCCTCATCCAAGCCAATTCAGTTTGTTAGAAGCATTAGAGGCCACTCTGGGGGCTTTGCCTCAGGCCCCATCCATGTCAAAGCCAACTACTACTCTCTCACACACTTGAGTTTGGACTTCTCCTTAGGCTAACTGCAGAAGAAAACTGATGGGATTAGGCCCCCACATCATCTCCATTTTGATAGCTCAGAATCAACTCTTTAGCAATCCTGATTGCAACTGCAAAATTGCTCTCCTCATGCAACACAACATGATTGTGGACAGACAGGGCATCTTATCTTACATTCAGTCTCTGGGATCAGACTGGGAAATCTGGGGGAACATTTTAGAATTCTACCTACAATTGACTCTTTTCAACTTATTTCTGATTTTGTTCTTCTAAAAAGAAATTTTTAGTTTTATTGTATTACTGGAGAATGACTTCTTTTTTGCTGCAAGAGAAGTTCAAATGGAACACAGAAGTATGTGTAAAAAGGGTAAAATCTGTAATCTCCTCTTTTAGGGAAACAACCTCTAAGAGGTCAGCTGTGCTTTGGAGGCAGGGTAACTTTGTTCCACTCATCATTTTTTTCTGTTGAGGCCGGTAACAGATGAGATCCCAAATTTAAATTCTTTTATATTACATGGGACAGAGGATTATTTTTTGTTGTACTAGTTGATACCCTGAATCTACAAGGCGGTACAGCATGCATATTTGAAATATGCTGCTTCATTACAGCCAGGAAATATTTTACCAGCAACATTATGCTACATTTTTAATAAACACAGTTCTGCATTGCAGTAATATGCATAAAATATTTATATAAGAAGCAACTTCCTAAAAATCTATTTGACTAGTCAGAATGTACAATAATTTTGAGGGTTAGCAAACAAAGGAGATTTAGTGGGCACGTAATTATGGTCTTTTAGAAGTTTAAAAAGCACACAAAAAAGAGAATAAATTATTTTGTATGGATCTAGTAGGCGAATCTAGGCTGAAGTATAGAAGTTGCAAGAAGAGGCTAGGTCGATTAAATGTCTGATTCTTGATTTTGGCTCAGGTCATGATCTCAGGATCATGAGATCAAGCCCTAAACTGGGCTCCGAGCTGAGCATGGAGCCTGCATAAAGATTCTCTCTCTCCTCCCTCTGCCTCCTACCCTGCACATGCACTCTCTAAATAAGTAATTGATTCATTTTTAAAATATTAAAGTAGTTGCAAGAAGGTATATGTCAGTGTATACAGAGACTTTTTATTAAAAATAATAAGAAAATAGAACTCCCTAAACCGGAACAGATTTCTAGGCAAACCAGTATATTTTTTTTCCAGATGAGGTCATTTCAACTTCCCAACCAGGAAGTCTAAACTCTGCCTAGAGGGCTATATAGCAGGTTTCAGTTTACATAATCTGAAAAGGACCAGATAGTAAACTTTTTGTGCTTTGTAGGTCATACTGTCTGTCACAACTACTTAACTTTATTGTTGTAGAATGAAAGCAAATATAGACAATGCATGAATGAATGAGCGCGGCTGTGTTCCCATAAAACTTTATTTACAAAAATAGGCACCAGGCCAGATTTGATCTGTCAACTGTGGTTTGTCAACTCCTGCTATATATCACTTCCTGAATTGGGTGGGAGAAGGACCTAATCATCCTCCAATTCCCTTCCATACTCAAAACTTCAGAGCTACATGCTTCTTTGAGGAGGGTATGGAAAAGCATAGTTATCATTAGCCAAAAGATCTTCCCAGAAGGAGAAGGAGCTACCTATATGCATCCCTTTTTCAGTTTTCATCCAGATAATTGCAATGGGGAAAGTTCAGGTATATGAGATTTAAGCTGCATGACTCCAAATAATGGGGGAAGTTATAAACGTTTTTAAAAATGGAAATCTGGGCATGCGTTATGTGACTCTAACATGAAATAGTTAATATATTAAATAGCTGAACACAGGAATGGGATGTTCATAGAATATGTTGACAGGACAAAAAGTTGAAACTGTTGGCAGAAAACCAAAGTCAATATTGGAGCCAAGCAAATACTGCCTGCAGTGCCCTATTAGGGAAGCTTGAGGACCGTCCATTTTTAAGTGGCAAGAGACTCCCTCACTTCCAGAGCCACAGAAGCAATTGTGCTCTCAGGTAGAGAATTTCTATTATTCTGATTGCTTCCAAATAGATGCGTGTGTGTGTTTGTTTTGTTTTTTTAAAAATTAAGCATAGTTCTACTTTGAGAAGAAGCTATCCGTATGTTCTAATTTCCACTGTATTTAGAAAATATAAGAGATACTGATATTCTTATATATGAAATCTTTTACTCTAAGATATTTTAAAATCAAAGAGACTGTTGAGTGCTTTAAAGTTTTTCAATGGGCTTTAGTATTTTGAGAGCTTTCCTTAGGGATTCTGGACCAATATTATTGCCACTATTTACAATCATTTTCTTTTTCCCCAAATCAAGAGGTTTCACAACTATTTAACCCCCCTCTACCAATTCCCTTTCCATAATTATCAAAAACATTGACGGCAAGTGAGCCCTTAACATGATAGTAGTCTGGAGATCTCAGATTGTATCTTGTGCCAAGTCCCTGGCATAAAATATACAGAAGCTCTTGTTCCCTGTACCGGTAATTACGTGTTTAGATTTGCAATGCAGACATCTATAAGAAGATCTCTATCACCTTAAATTAAGGCTTATGATCAATATGATCTGTAACCAGCAGGGTTATGTATGTGTTGCTCTCTCTTCTAGGATGATTTCATTCAGGCAAGCCGCTTATTTCACTTGCTTCTTTGCTACAGTTTCCTGTGGTGAGTGCATTATCTCTAAGATGTAAAGTTCTGTGTAGGAAAGGAGTAGTTAACAAGACATGCCAGCCCTGGAGAAAGCTACTGAACATACAGCTTCCAGATGGAGGCAGATCCAGTAAGTCAGGACATAAATCCTTATAACATCCAGGGGCAACTGCCACTTCTCAGATGTATTGCCCTAGACACACAGGGGTGGGGAGCCCAGAAGTGAGAATGTTTGTGGGCAAACAGAAATTTCTGTTTGTAAATGACTCTTTACAAAGCAGATCTTAAACAGTCAGCCCTCCATTTTTATTATCAAGATATTTTAAAAACTTTATCTGAATATTCAATGTATAGGCATTTATAATGTCTGGATCCAACCCAAGTGTTGTTATAGGTACCAGGTGTATATTTTTTACTCTCTTAGGCCACTGGGGAACTACTTCAGAAATGAAAGTATTTGGTTTAAATTTAAATTAGTAAATCATCCTTTTGAATAGTTCTGGTTTTAACCGGGCTTTGAACCGTATTTCTCTCTCTAGTCATTCCATTAAATTTTTGGGGAATAAAGATGATTCTGGACACTGTTTTTCATTAATCGTTATGGAATGGAATGAGCCACTGTTATGGGTGGTTTCTGAGTCTGTGTTGACTTAAGATGGCCACGCCCCAGTGATTATTTATCTGCCTTTCAGATGTATGGCTAAGATAAACATCTCTTGGGAAAAGGTTACATTTGCAAAGAGATATTATTTTTTCAGGAAGAAGGTATTTTTCCCCTCCTAAACCCAAATCTGCCCCTCCATGTCTAATTGCTTTTTTGAGCTATGATCATTAAATTCATTGAATGCTGAGGAGTAGGAGCCAGAGATGCTATAGAATATGGCCACTTCAGTTTTATCTTTTTGGCAAAAAAAAAAAATAATAATAATAATTATGATCATGCTAAGAAAATTAGAGATGCAGGTAAGCAGAAAGTAAGAAACTATGTATTATTGTCTGTAGTCCTATAATCCAGAAATGGCCACTGTTAAAATTTATTTTAGTCTTTCAGATATTTTTCTACATGTGTCTATCTACACATTTAACAAAGATGCTATTAATTCTACATACTTTTTTATAACTTTTATAACATTTATAGCTATTATATATATATATATATATATATATATATATATATATAATTTTTGGAGCTTAGTAATCTTCCCTAGTCATGTTTTGTATGCTCATTCTTTTTTTTTTTAAAGATTTTATTTATTTATTCATGGGAGACACAGAGAGAGGCAGAGACACAGGCAGAGGGAGAAGCAGGCTCCCTGTGGGATGCCCAATGTGGGACTCAATCCCAGGACACCAGGATCATTACCTGAGCTAAAGGCAGATGCTCAACCACTGAGCCACCCAGGTGTCCACTCTATGCACATTTTTTTAAAAAGATTTTATGTATTTATTCATAGAGGCACACACAGAGAGAGAGAGAGGCAGAGACACGGGCAGAGGGAGAAGCGGGCTCCATGCAGGGAGCCTGATGTGGGACTCGATCCCAGGTCTCCAGGATCACACCCCAGGCTGCAGGCGGCGCTAAACCGCTGCGCCACTGGGGCTATCCCCTCTATGCACATTCTTATACACACATTCAGTTATTTCTGTAGAACAAAATTTTGGAAACAAAAATGTTAGAAAGGTGGAAATATTTTGGAAGGTTTTGTGATATATGTCATGAAATCATCTTTCAGAGGGGTGATTTTCCAGTTAACCCTCTCTACTAGCAAATGAGAGTGATCATTTATCCTACTTAGGCGAACTCCACTTGTCATCTATATGGCTTGACATATATTCACCTTTCTGGAAACTGTATCCTAATTTGTTTCTGTGCAACCACTGCCTCTGAATTCGGGTCCATGCAACTGTGACCCAAGCAGACCTCAACTAGTATGTAGATGCACGTGTCCTACTGGCTACCATGACCTGATCAGAGCCAAAGGCCTGCAACAAGACTTTTGCTTACACTTCTGGAAATAAGACTCTTGAACTATTAGGAAATGCAAAGGCGGGATCCCTGGGTGGCGCAGCGGTTTGGCGCCTGCCTTTGGCTCAGGGCGCGATCCTGGAGACCCGGGATCGAATCCCATGTCGGACTCCCGGTGCATGGAGCCTGCTTCTCCCTCTGCTTGTGTCTCTGCCTCTCTCTCTCTCTCTCTCTGTGACTATCATAAATAAATAAAAATTAAAAAAAAAAGAAAATACAAAGGCCTGAGCTTCTGGCACCACCTTGCCACTCTGTGTAACTTGAGACCAACAGCAACACCATAGAACAGAGCAAATAAATGAAGAGAAATTGAATCTTGATGGAATCATCTGAGTACCCTATCCAGTGATTCCTGAGGCCAAATCTGTCATGGACTCTGGTTTCTGAACCAATATATTGCATTATACTAGATCATATTGAACTAGGCTTTTTAAATCATTTGTGGCCAAAATCAGTACATCAACACTGGTAACTTAGATAATTAAAATTTTTTTTTTGCTAATCTCATCAGTAAAATGGCATCAGTTGTTTTAACTTGCTGGTATTTATGATTCTTTTTTTTTTAAAGACTTTATTTATTTAGATACACAGAGACACAGAGAGAGAGAGGCAGAGACACAGGCAGAGGGAGAAGTAGGCTCCCTGCAAGGAGCCCGATGTGGGATTTGATCCTGGATTCTGAGGTCACACCCCAAGCTGAAGGCAGACACTCAACCACTGAGCCACCTAGGCATCCCTGTATTTATTATTCTTACCATTTTTCATATACTCACATTTTTCATATACTTATTGTATGCTTGTGTTTCTTTTGTAAATTATCTTTTCTTTTTTAAAAAAATATATTTCTTTATTCATGAGAGACAGAGAGAGAGAGAGAGAAGCAGGCAGATGGAGAAGCAGGTTCCAGGGAGCCCGACATGGGATTCGATCTCAGGTCTCCAGGATCACGCCCTGGGCTGAAGGCGGCACTAAACCGCTGAGCCACCTGGGCTGCCCTGTAAATTATCTTTTCATATCTCTTTGCCCTTTTAAAAGAAAAATGTGGTGTTTTTCTTATTGATTATGTAATTTTTTTAACAACACTAAAGAACCTGCCCAAAGTCCATGGACACAGGAGACAGTGTGGCATATTTTATGTTATGGGATAACTTATATAACAGTGCTTTAAAACACTCTAAAATACAATATGAACAAGCCTACTATCATTATTGTCATCACCATTATCATCACCATTACCAACTTAGGAGGATAAGTAAGAACACCTATTAGAACTTTCCTCCCAATCTGTTCCAAAGTTGGTGTGTTTTTAGTTGCCCCTTTCTGTCAGCCAAGTCACATGGCAGTTCACAAAGGCTTAGCTGAGGAATGGAACTACCAGGCTAGCACAGGCTTTTGTTTGTACTCATGTTTGTGCACTGGGACAGGGGAGGATGACTTGGTAACTATGAATCAGCCAAATACATCAATTGTTCAAAACACAGGTTGCTTTGCAGTTCACGTTGTGACTGGACCAGCTACTCAGTGTTTTGTGTGTATATGAAATCTAGGCCTGTATACCTGGCAACTTGTATCCCCATAGGCTTCCACCTGAAGAGATCTCTGCTTTTTCTTCTTATTTTTTTATTTTTATTTTTTTGATCTCTGCTTTTTCTAAATATAAGCCTTACCCAAGGGTTAGTCATCTTAGCCATACCTCCCAGAGGAAGAAAAGCAATCTTCCTGGGTTAAGTCATCATAAGAGACCTCAAGGCTGGGATCCCCAGAGGGGTAGGATAGTGCAGGGGAAATTTTAATCATCAGTGCTTAATGAAACACATGTGTCTAAGCTGCCCATTCCCTGAAGGGCAATACAAAAATAGATGTCCTAGAAGATGGGCAAAGTTATCATTAGAATATCCTGTGGTTAATGGACAATTGACAGACAAACAAATGCGCTGCCTAAGACGGAAATGCTTATTAAGCTTCCTTTAAAGTGGGTCTCTCAAGGTAAACTCAAATTCATGCATCAAAGTTTACTTTTAATATATGAAACAGAAGAAGAGTAAAGCTAGCAGATAATACTCTAACAACACATGGGATGCAGGGTACCCTAGAACTGTGAACAATGCCAAACAGCAAATAGTTCAGAACGGATTTTCAATTTAGCTCATGTGTGCATTTGCATTTGCTTGTAGAAACTGAGCAAATAAACGTGTTCTCTGTACTGATCCCAATAAGTACCTAATAACTCTTGGTTTGTTTAAATTAAACTGAGATGAGGTACAACATTTAACATCGCACACTAGAAAAAGGAACAGGATTGGGAGTGAGAAGAGCTAGGTTTCTCTTCCAGGATGATCATTAGCCACATGGGTCTTACTTACACAACTCTATACTGCCCTGAGATTCAGTTCCTTCTTTCTGTTAAAAAAAAAAAAATCAGAGGCATATAATGAAGTCTGCCTCTAACTCCCCTTACACTCACAGAGCTGTTGTGAAAGGTTTTGAGACAGAGATTGTATATTGTTGGTTTTTTTTTAATTTTTTTATTTGACTATAGTTGACACATAATGTTACAACAGTTTCAGGTGTACAACATAGATTCAACTTCTCTATACACTATGTTATTCTCACCACAAGTGTAGCTACCATCTGTCACCATACAACACTGTTACAATGTTGACTATGTTCCCTATGCTATGCTTTTTATTCCTGTGACTTATTTATTCCATAACTGGAAGCCTATTATTTCATTTCATTTCATTCATTTCATTTCATTTTATTATTTTTAAGTAGGGTCCATGCCTAGTGGACCCCAGTGTGGGGCTTGAACTCACCACCCTGAGATCCAGACCTGAACTAATATTAAGAGTTGGACACTCAACTGACTGAGCCACCCAGGCATTCCACTTGTTATTTTTAAGGCATGGTATTTTCATAATCTGTTAGGCCACAGGGAGAAGCCAAGCTAGAATTGTATTTTCTTGCAGATAATTTATGTGCAAAATATTGTATAATTTCATAAAAATCAACCAAGTTTTTTATGGAGAAGTACCCGTAGAATGATTTTATTTTTTTATTAAAAGATTTTATGTATTTATTTGGGGGAGAGAGAGAGCAGGAGAGGAAGAGGGGAGAGGGAGAGAGAGAGAGAGAGAGAGAGAGAGAATGTGAGAAAATGCAAAAGGTGGAGAAAGAGAAGCAGGCTGCCCATCAAGCAGGGAGTCTGATGTGGGGTTCCATCCCAGGACCCTGGGATTATGACCTGAGCCGAAGGCGGATGCTTATCAGACTAAGCCACCCAGGCACCCCCCCATAGAATGACTTTAAATAATATTATGCTTTGTTCAAATAGTCACCTTAATATGTTATACTTAATACAGTCTTGTAAAGCTCTTTGGGTATTTAGTGGAAGAAGTAAGAAGGTTTAGAACAGATATATTTTTATCAAAATAATTATTCACATTCATTGCAAATTAACGTATTTTTTCAATGATTGTATCACAGGATGCCTGACTCAATTATATAAAAACACCTTCTTCAAAGGTGGGGACCTAACTGCCATGTACACCCCGAATGTCCATCACTGTCAGATGATGTGCACATTCCACCCCAGGTGTTTGCTCTTCAGTTTTCTTCCTGAAAATTCAACTCATGATGTAAACAAAAGGTAAAAGATGATATGCCATTATTGGAGAAGCCAGTCATTTTGCAAAATAGAACCAGTCGTGTGCAAAAAGGTATAGATGTTGCAGGGTTATGGTTCTCAAATGGGGTTGAAGGGCCAGTTTCATCGGAATCACCTGGAGCAGTTCTTATATTAGCAGATCCTTAGGCCACAGCCTCAGACCCAAACCATTCAGCCCACTGAACCAAAGTGTCTTGGGTCTGGCAATATGCATGTGAAACAGTTGTTTCCTTCACCTAAAGTCATAGAAACTAGGCATTGTCTATCCAAGGATGTAAGGAGAATGCTTGGGTTAAGTGATTGCCTCAAGAAAGGGTCTAAAAACAGGTGAATATTTCACCTGAACAAGGAAATATACTGTCTGACTCAGGATCCTATTAGTGGATAGCTCAGTCCTAAGAAAATATAACAGAAGGTAAATATTTTGTTGCAAATATTGTTGAGTAAGATCCAGAACTTGTGATCTTGGGAAGGGTCTGGTCTGAACGGGCCTGTAGTAAACCAGTACACCTGTAGTATGTATAGTTTGTGTGTGTGTGGGGGGCTGTGTACACACGTGCACATGCACGTGTGTGCCAATATATATTACTAACTAGCATTTTGGAAAAGTAAGAGCACTGGAAAAATAACCATTAAATATCCTACTAGCTCATAAAGTTGACTGAATGCAGCCATGATTTCACCATAATTTTCTTTCACTTTGATCAGTAATCAGAATGAGCATTTCTTCACTGTTCTCATTTCCATATTCATAAGTCTTTTCTTTTATCTTAACTCTGTTTGAATCGAAAAACTTGGAATTAGGTAATCACCCTCTAATTCTACATATTAAACTTGTACAGAAAACCCAGAGTGTGTGTGAGAGGCATCAACTTTTTTTTTTAAATTTTATTTATTTATTCATGAGAGAGAGAGAGAGAGAGAGGCAGAGACACAGACAGAGGGAGAAGCAGGCTCCATGCAGGGAGCCTGACATGGGACTTGATCTTGGGTCTCCAGGACCACACCCTGGGTTAAAGGCGGCAGTAAAACACTGAGCCACCCAGGCTGTCCCAACTTTTTATTTAGAGTTGAGTTAGGTTCTAGAATCCTTGTGAGAGATAACCATTAAGATTGACACTAAAGATAGAATGAAGTCTTCTGTTAGTGCAAACTAGAAGGAATTAATAAGCAAGCTGAACAGCATAGGTAGATCCAGCTCTCATGACTGATTTAATTTCTTAAGTAAAAACATTCACCAGGTGAAAACATAATACCCCAAATTTTAGGAACACGGGAAAAGTCATTACCTCTTTAATATGATTGACTTTCTGTATTTAAAAGTGTTTTTAAAAAAGAAAAATAATACTGAAGTTAAGTATTACAAAGGCTGTTAGATTTTTATGGAATTTCCTCTACAAGTGTTTTTTCCAGCAAGTGTCAGGGAAGCTCTATTATTTTCCTTATTCCTAGTCATAGTTATTAGTGTATAAAAAATGTTAGACATTTCCTCTAGTGCGTGTTTATTATTCTACTTTCTAACTGAAAGTTCTTTTAAAAACAGATTTGGTTGCTTCTTAAAAGACAGTGTTACAGAAACCCTGCCAAGAATGTCATGGACAAGTGCAATTTCTGGACATTCCTTAAAGCAATGTGGTCATCAAATAAGTGGTAAGCTGTTGATTCCTTAGCTAAATTTGAATGAATAATGTGTTTACCTTAAAACAGGTTCTGTTCAAGCTCTATACTGCCTTGGACATTTGGAAGGGAGCACTTTGAGGGGACACTATTTATTGGATGTATCCTTCCTCTTGTCTTTATCAGTTACATGCTCAAGGAGCCTCTATCACTAATGAGATTAGCACTGCAATATAAGATTTGCAGAAGGTGAATACACATTGAAATGATGGCTGTCACCTTCCCCCACTGCTGATTGCACAAAAGAATCTTAGAACACAGAGAATTGCACATAAGATTGCACATAAGAATCTTAGAACACATCTCTCTCCCTGTTTTACTTGAGATTATTTGTATGCTAGTGGTTCTTGACCAGGGGTGGTTTTGTCCTTCATCCAGGGAGCATTTGGCGATAACTGAAGACATTTTTGGTTGTCACATCTTGGGGGGATGCTACTGGCATCTGGTGGATAGAGATCAGAGAGGCTGTTAAACATTCTACAAGGCACAGAGCAGCCCCCCTGACAAGGATATTCTGGTCCCAAATGTCAATAACACAGAGGTTAAGAAACTCCATTAAGCCCTCAAATGGAAGGTCTGTGTTCTATAAATCTTGCTAATAAGAATAATACTTCTTAGAAAAAAAATGTGAGGACTTAAGAGTTCAGGAAATTCAAGTTCTGACACTGCTACCAATGTCTTAGGAAACAATTTCCAAACCTATCCTAATTTAAGGCAGATAAACTATTTCTCTGACCTGAAAGTGAAAAGTAATGAAAAGATTCTCTCCACCGATGGGCTGGCAGGACCTTGAAATAACAACCATGTTGTGACTGTACATCATTGCTATTTTGCCTTTACTATTTACATTTAGTTTTGTAGTGTCAAATTTCAGGTGTTTTAACATTTCTTATCCTTCCTTCCCCCATGAATACTGAATACCACTCCCTCAATCCACATGGGTGCTTTGTGCCCACAGTTTGTGTAGGAATCAGTCCTGGTTGGGAACGTGGGGATCTGACTTAGCCAACATGGAGTTTACCTGAGGATGAGTACGTGTCCTATGTTATAAGATCGAACCTATATCTCAATACAACTTAGTATAAATTATTCAATTAAGCATTCTTTTTAATTATGCTATCGTAGTAAAATTTAAAGAACAGTATTTTGCTTTTCTCAGTACTCCTAGTTATTTTTTTTTCTCAAACTTCATCTTACAGAACTAGATTTAATGTTCCCTCCTAACTCTCCCCAAGTATCTCAGATTAAAGTGAATAATTACTCCACAGGACATAAAGTCCCTAAACTCAGGACCAACTTTAGTTTAAAACATTTATAGGTAGGTTTATAGCTTTCCACTGATAATAAAGAAAAGTTTCAGTTTGTAAGTATCTCATCCCAATTCAGCTGGTTTCTTTTCTGATGTGCAGCAGAGTTGGAAAGAGACTTCATTTCTAGAATCTGCAAACTCCTATGGGCATGAATTACTGTGAGTTATCCACTGCCCTGCCCACCTCAATATATTGTTTTCCTACTAGTTTGTACTCTTTCTGTCATTCCCACCACTAAATCTAGTAGTATGACTTTTTCAACCATACCGTTAGGAGTGGAACATTACATACAACAGATTATGGTTATACTTCTGGTTTCCTTATCCAAGGGTCTAACTAACAAATCTGAGTGCCTTTTCTTTTTTCTTTTTTTTTTAAAAGCCTAAATCATAAATTTGGTTTGCTGTCTGTCAAAAAAAATTATATTTTTTGTGTATAAGATACATGTCAAATGAAAGGTTGCTTAAGTGAAATTTAACAAAAATATAAAGAAAATATAAATGGCTTCATCACAAATATACAAAGACTCTTCCCTTTTATAGTGATTTGGCACATAGATGTCAATGGCAGGGCTTACAGATGAAATTCACAATCAGACAGGAGTAGTTGAGAGCTGAGAAATAAGCAGAGATAGGGAAGCTCCTTTACTCAATGCAAGAAGTTGAGGGCACATCAGTTTGTTTAATAATGCGAACTCCTGGAACAATCACCAGGGCCCTCACTGTCGTTGCTTTGTTTGTCTTCCACTGCTCATTGATCATGAAATATTACCTGTATGGTTGCATATACCTTACAGTTTTGGAAACAAAGTCACCCTTTCTCCATGCTAGTGCTCTAAAACATACTAGAATGTTTTTAATTTGAGCAGAGTTTGATAATGTAGTGATGTCAGAAAAATTCTAAATCCCCTCATTAAAAAGGCAGTCGTGAAAAACAGAATATCATCCTTCAAAACTATCCTAATTGATGATCTAGTTCTAGAAGGAAAGCTTACTGAATTTGCTCTATGCATTTTACTTGTACAGCTTGCCACCGAGACATTCATAAAGGAATTGATATGAGAGGAGTCAATTTTAATGTCTCTAAGGTAAAAAGTGTTGAAGAATGCCAAAAAAAGTGCACCAATAGCATTCACTGCCAATTTTTCACATATGCCACTGAAACATTTTACAACGCAGAGTACCGGTGAGTAACATTCATGGTGCTTATTATTTCTGATGGTGCTTGTAAGATTTAATTGTACTCTTTGTAACTTTTTTTTTTTTTTACAATGGAAAACCAAATAGGGCTTTGAGACTTAACCACTCTGCTTATTTATTTATTTACTCAGTTTTGGTGTCATTTTGCTAAGGAGAATAATTTCCATGGATTGGGACATGAGGGTTTGTCTGAAAAATATCCCCCACTCCATTCTCACTCTAACCTTGAATGTGCAGAGCAGAAAAATGTCTTTTTGATTAATAATACAAACCCTGGACTCACTCAGGATCAAAGTCATTGTTCTGATTGCTTTATTTCCCACTGACCAAGGATCATTTCAATGCAAAATGGATTGCTACATGGATCTTGCAGTTTAGGAAGAGAAGTAATCTCTTTTCTTCATATTTAGAAACAGCTGCCTTTTAAAGAATGGTCCGGGAGGAACACCCAGCAGTATAAAGGTGCTGGCTGATGTGGTATCTGGATTCTCACTGAAGTCCTGTGCACTCTCAGAAATTGGTAATTGTATGGCTACTATTTCACTTTGTGATCGTGGTAGGCAGAATTAGAATCCCCCAAAGACATCTACATCCTAATTCCTGGAAATGTGTGAATGTTACAATACATGGCAAATGGGGCTTTGTAGAGGTGATTAAGCTAAGGATTTTGAGATGGGAGATAATTATTCTGGATTATGTGGATGGGCCCAGTGTAGTCACAAGAGTACTCATGAGAAAAAGAGGAAGACAGAGAGGCTGTAGTCAGAGAGAGAGAGTTTTGAAGAGGTCACACTGGTGGCTTTCAAGATGAAGAAAGGATCCATGAGCCAAGGAATTCAGGTAGCCTCCAGAAGCTGGAAAAGGCAAGGAAATGGGTCCTCCTATAGAGCTTCCAGAAGGAACAAAGCCCTGCCGACATCTTAATTGTAGCCCAGTAAGACTCATTTCAGATTTCTGATCTCCAGAACAGTGAGATACTAAATTTGTATTATTTAAAGATACTGGGTTTGTGATAATTTGTTACAACAGCAGCAGGAAACTAGTGCAATTACATTGCAGAGAAAACTATAATGTCATTTCTTGGTGGTGTCCATTGTCTGGTGAAATGACTCAACCATAATGAATCAATAAAGTGCTGCTGTCATTTGAATTACCCAGAAAATTGTCCCTCCACCTTATTTAGCATATCAGTCTGTTAGTGGTAGGATGTTACTGAAACCAAAGCACCAACATTCAATGCTACGCAGTATCCAGTGCCAGCTCCTGCCAAACTCCGCATCAGGTGCTGGGTGAAGACCCCCCACCCCAAGGGAGATTGGGAAATTGGCAACAAGGCATCTTTTTTCCTCTTTGTTTCCTTTCCCCTCTGGCACATCCCCTCTGTGATGGGTACCAGATTTCTGGTTCAAATTTACTGATTATTTAATTTTTAACATTCACATTTGGTTCTTTTTTACAAGTGTAATTTCTATCTCTTTACTGATATCCTTTATTTGTCAGGATAATGTTTTCATGTTTTTCTTCAGTTTTTTAGATGTGGATTCCTTTAGTTCTTTGAATATATTTAAAATAGCCGATATAAAAAAATTAAAAAATAAAAAAAAATAAAATAGCCGACATAAAGTCTCTGTATAGTAGATGAGGAAGTTGGTACTTTCTTAGCAAAAATGTATGTTGTGCGTAGGGGCCATAGTTTCTTGTTTCTATGCATGGCATGTATTTTTTTGCAAAAAAATTAGACCTTTTAAATTATAGCATACAGTAATGCTGGAAATCAGATTCCCTCCTTCCCCAGTCTGCTGTTGTTACCACTTTTTGTTACTGCTATTTGTTTGGTGACTTTCCTGAACTAATTCTGTATTTATTCTTTGTAGATATGACCAGGAATGTTTCTACTTGATTTTCCTAATAGTTAGCTAATGATTAGGCATAGATTTCCATATGTGCCTGGAACCAGTAAGTCTCTCAGGCTTTTTTTTTTTTTTAAGGGTTTTTCTTTTTTTTTTTAATTTTTATTTATTTATGTATGATAGTCACAGAGAGAGAGAGAGAGGCAGAGACACAGGCAGAGGGAGAAGCAGGCTCCATGCACCGGGAGCCCGATGTGGGATTCGATCCTGGGTCTCCAGAATCGTGCCCTGGGCCAAAGGCAGGTGCTAAACCGCTGCGCCACCCAGGGATCCCCCGTCTCTCAGGCTTTGATGAAGGGGTGTTTTGTGAGTGTTGGGGCACGCTACCAACCTGCAGACAGGCGTTGGCCTTGGCCTTGGCCTTCTGCCCACTCAGGGTGCAATGTCAGCAGGCCTGAGGGGTTAGGACTTTCTCAGATCTTTTATGGACTTGTGCCCAGCCCTGCTCATGCACACAGCCCTGTACTTGTAGATGGCCTTCTAGATTCCCTGGAATATGTCAAAGATTTTCTTTTCTTTTCTTTTCTTTTCTTTTCTTTTCTTTTCTTTTCTTTTCTTTTCTTTTCTTTTTTTATGTCAAAGATTTTCACCACCACCCTCTTTCCCTTCATTTTCCTTTTAAGAATTTTGTCAGCTTATTGTTTGCTCCAGCTATTACAGCTGCCCTAGGAAGCTGCAATGTTACATAATTGCCACTTTTTGGTTGTTGTTTGTTTTTTGTTCTTGGCAAACACTTGCAAGGAAAAGGCTGTTTACACTGAAGAGGCTCTGAGTCATGTCAAATAAACTCAGTCCTCATGAATAGTTCCTGAGAACATCCACACAGGTCAAATAATGGTTTAGCTGGGGCTGGGGATGGAGCTTTGGAGCATCCTGCCCCAACCCCATCCTGCCCCCTCCAGGGCTGCTGGACTGCTGGTTTTCAGCATGATTGTGGGGCTATTTCCAAGGAGCTGAGGAGAGGAGAATGGAAATAGGGCAAATTAAAAATCCCACAAAACTCACTGTTCTTACAGAGATTCAGCTGTTTCTCTTGAGCAAATGCTCCCTGGACTGTTATAATCTGATTAATTTTGATTAATTTCTAGAGCTCTGAAAACACTGACAATTTTTCCTCTACTCACATTATTTTTATGGAGGAGAGGATTTTTCAGGGGTCCTTCCCCTGCCATTTCCACTAACACCCTAGAGTGCTTCTGATAAAGCAAAACAAAACAAATGAAACAAAAAAAAACCTAGCTTTAAAAAAGAAAATGGTTCTTCTTAACAGGATAGCTCTTGTGCTTTTGTCAACTGGACGGGTCAAGTGGCGACTGCAACACTATACAGTTCTGTGCTGCATGTTTCATAGGCAGCAATGGACACCCAGAGTACTTCAGAATTAGGGAATCAGGAGAGTAGGATATCTAGAAGTAATGGAAAACATAAAATGGCTAAAGGGGAAGGTCAAAGGCATTTAACCAGAAAAAGATCAGGATGACTGTCTTAATTTTTTGTTTATAGAAGGGTGTCATTGAAGAACGGATTAAATTAACCTGTGTGGTTCCATTAGGCAGGTCTAGGTAGATGCTACCATGAAAAAAATAAAACTATTCTAACCCTTAGAAAGGACCAGAAAAAAATCGGGCCTTGTCACGAGGTAGTGGGCTCTTTGTCACTATAAATATCTTAGGAAAAGGGAAACAACTTGTCAGGAACATCCTAGAGGGATGGAGTTGTAGGTTGTGGATGTTGCATGGATGTCCCACCTCAGGAGGGATGACCTCTAAGTTCTCTTCCAGCTTCTAGAGTCTGCATTTTTTTTCTTTAAAGATTTAATTAGTAGAGGCTGAATTTCCAAGACTGCCCATATTATGGTATGGCATGATTAGCGATAATTCATTGTCGTTATGATGATATTATGTCACTAGAGGTACTTTCTCTTGAAACACCTATGCTCATTTAAATTAGGACTCTTTTTGTCCTTCCTATAATTGCTATCATTATTCCACAATTTTAACAAAATTTGTTATCAAATTGAGTAAACCGAGTAAATAATATGAACACAAATAAACACATAATTGAGACATAAAATAAGAGGCATCTGGGTAGCTCAGCTGGTTAAGCATCTGATTCTTGATTTTAACTCAGGTCATGATCTCAGGGTCCAGAGATCAAGCCTCATGTCAGGCTCAGCACTCGGTGTGGAGTCTGCTTGTCCCTCCTCTCTTTCTCTTTTTTCATTAATAAATAAAATCTTTAAGAAAATAAGATTATATAAAGATAATGAAAGTGGGTTTTCTCCTGTTCTAATTTCAATGGGCACAGGGCATTTTTGTTAGCTACCGGGTATCTTTGTTAATCTGTTTTTATTAAAATCTTTTTTGTAATAGTCAGAAAATGTAACACAAAACCTTATCTCCTAAGATCTGGAATTCAGGGTCAGGATAATAGAAAGAAAATCTAAACGTATGCTAAGTAACTTACATATTTTGCGTAGATTGAGATAGAACCGAGAGTATAGGTTGAGATATTTCACTTCTCTGACATAGAAATCTTTTATCAGATTTAGACCGATTTTTCCTTCTTCCAAATGGCAAACAAGTCTGAGGATAAAGGTCCATTTTAATGGACCTTTTCTTCACTTAGGGCATGTGGTGCTATGAATAACAGTCATAATTTCCTTAGATAGGATGATAAAGGACAAGTCTCTTGAGTGTCATGTCATTTGCTGAGGACTGTCTCCCCTCTGTGAGTTCACAGGTTGCCACATGAACATTTTCCAGCACCTGGCATTTTCGGATGTGGACATTGCCAGAGTTGTCACCCCAGATGCTTTTGTGTGCCAAACCATTTGCACCTACCATCCCAACTGCCTCTTCTTTACATTCTACACAAAGGCGTGGCATCTAGAACCACAAAGGTGAGTAAGAACATGTGACATTGGCTACGATCCTGTCATCACTGTAATTTTATAGTTTGGGTTTTTGAAAACCTTTGTTCATTTCCTCAGAGCACTTGAAGCCAGGGCTTAAGTAGGTAGTTTCCTGCCAGGTGTACATTAGTTAAGAGCTTAGCCGACTTGTCCACCTACCTTCTCTTCCTGAAACATAGCATTGGATCCATGGAACAATGGCCGTGGAAGAAAAGAATCAGATGCCTTTCTTACTGATCTAAATGTTTTCTCTTATTAACTTGAAGTAAAAACCACTCACTGACGGCATATCCATTAATATTGTCTCTAATTCCTGCCTCAGAAACTAGAGCCCTGTTTATCCCGATTGACCTCTTTACCCTCAGATAATCTATTCTTTTCTTTCTGTACAAAAGTGGAGCCAAGAGATGAGTGTATAGTTATACAATAGCATCAGCCACAGAAACGCCTGGAATTTGGTGTTGGCTCTTTTTTCTTTTCCATTTTCTCTTTTTTGCTTTCTATTCAATGAGAAGGTGGAACTTTACCATTCTTCTCTCTCTAGGTTATCTGTGCCTATCAGTTTTCCTTAGACAGAGATGTGGCTTGGTTTACATTTAATCTCTGTGATTTATTAGAGAGAATCCTGTGGTCTGCTTTACTTTCTTTCTTTTTTTTTTTTCTGTCTGCTTTACTTTCAAAAGAGTTTCTCAGAGGAATAAAATTTGCAGAGGTGATTTTCAAAACATGAAGAGCTTTTGTGTTTGCCTTTAACGCAGCTTTGTTTCTCTCTTTTGCTTTTTTTTTTTAAATAGAAATATTTGCTTTCTTAAGACTTCCAAAAGCGGGACACCAAGTTCACCTACTTCTCAGGAAAATGCCATGTCCGGATACAGCCTTTTAACCTGCAAGAAAGCTTTGCCTGGTAATGTAATTCAATAATAATAGCACATAAAATGTGATACACTTCATGATCTTCTAACAAGTAATAGCGAAGAAACAAACCCCAGTACCAAAACCTCGGATAAATGTGGTTTATAGCTGTTTTCATTTTGTATCTTTTTATGTCTCCAATTCACACAGAGCCGTGTCATTCCAAAATTTACTCAGGAGTGGGTTTTGAAGGGGAAGAATTGAATGTGACCTTTGCTGAAGGAGTGAACGCTTGCCAAGAGACTTGTACCAAGATGATTCGCTGTCAGTTTTTTACTTACTCTTTACACCCAGAAGACTGTAGAGGAGAGAAGTTAGTGAAAATTTATTTTTCAAAGACAGTTGCATGAGTTATGCCCTTCTCTGAAAGTTTAATCTTTCTACTGATCATTTTATCTAGGTGCAAGTGTTCCTTACGATTATCTTTGGATGGTTCCCCAACTGGGATGACATATGGGACACGAGTGAGCTCTGGTTATTCTTTGAGGCTGTGTAAAAGTGGGGACAGTTCTGGTGAGTGAGCCTCACTTATTCATGGAACCGTAAAGGGATGCCTGTGTTATTTTGATCGATTGCTTAGTTTCAGATAGCAGAATTATGTATTTTGTGTCCTTGGCTAAGAAGAACTCTGAGTCGCCTCTAATGCAACCATTAACTTTAAGACTCTCTTTTTAGTCTGCACAACAAAAACGAGCACACGCATTGTTGGAGGAACCAACTCTTCTTGGGGAGAGTGGCCCTGGCAGGTCAGCCTGCAAGTGAAGCTGAGAGCTCAGAGCCACTTGTGTGGAGGGTCAATCATTGGACGCCAGTGGGTCCTCACTGCTGCCCATTGCTTTGATGAGTAAGTATGGCGTGTGTCTTATCCAGAGTCTTGACCTGCCTTTTTGTTTGGAAGAATCTATGATAAGTTTCTTGAACATCGTGTCAGTGTATTCATCAAAGCTTATTCTTTAATAAAAGACTTTTTTTTTAAGGCAGATGTAATAAAAGGCATTTTAAAGCAGGGCTAATATTCAAAATGTTGAACAGCTAGTGGGGCCTCTCTGAGCACTGACGGATCTGACCCAGCAGAACACAGTGCGGCCTGTTTACAGGGCTGGCAATCCCGGGGGGCTATCACTCCTACTTTAAAGAATAAGAAGAAATGCCCCACCTGCTTCCACCTCCATCCACCACTCCCCAAATGTATTCTTCAAAGACTTAATTTTCCAGGCCCATACACATTTTGCTTTCAGCTCTTTGATTCACAAATGTACTCAATAATAGAGTGAAAACAAAAATGGGAGGTGGTTATATATTTCAGTGAATAAAATCTGGTAAAATATTTCTACTTTATAAGGAAAATTGTACATGTGGCAGGGTTTTAAAGTTTTAAAACACTTAGACTTTGTACCTGAATGGGGCTTGAGTCACAGCTCTGTCACTTATTGGAGCCATGAGTGACCTTGGGCGATTTGTAAATCTCTCTTTATTTTCCTGTCTGCAAAATAGGAACAATAATATCTAATTATAAGTTTACTAAAAGGGTTACGTGATACACTTAAAAGTCCTTAGCACTATACCTAGAACATAAAATCACTGTCCCCCCCCAATAAGCTATGATTAAATAAGAAATGTAAAAATGGACAAAGCATAGGAATAGCAAGAAATACAAATAGCCCTAAAATAAAAGATACTTGGTCTCTCTCAGGAGGTATTTTGTTTTCAAAGAATTCTCCCTCTTGCTCTAAGAGGGTAGGTCCCTGGTTGCCATGTGTCAGGATTGAGGATCTGGCTGCTGACTATACCAGAGTCAACGGTACTGCTGAGCAGAGCAAGGCTCCTTCATGGTTGCCACATAGCAGCATGGGACTCCAGGTAGTGGCTCTGCTACACATGGCATTGCTAAAGGGGAATTCTATTGACTTGGAAGGAAAGACCGTGTGAAGGGGAAATAGTAGGTCCTCCCTTTTCACAAAATGCACTCCAATTTAGGACCAAGAATTTTCATCCTTCCCCCCCCCCAGCTTTACTGAGATATAATTGATATATGACATTGTGTAAGTTTAAGGTGTAATGTAATGATTTCACATATGCATGCATTGCAAAATGATTACCCTAATAAGGTTAGCTAAGACATCTGCACATCCATCACTACACATAATTACTTTTTTGTGGGCAGTGAAAATTTTCAAGATTCGCACTCTTAGCAACTTTCAATGTTTCAAGTATTGTTAACTGCAGTCACCATGCTGTACATTAAGTCTCCAGAACCCATTTATAACTGGAAGTTTGTACCCTTTACTCCTTCCTGCCGTGACACTCCCCTGCAACCACCAATCTGTTCTCTGCATCTATGAGTTAAGTTTTTTTTAGGTTCCACATATGGATGAAAACATATAGCATCTGTCTTTCTCTGACTTATTTCATTTAGCATAATACCCTCAAGTCCCATCCACATTGTTGCAAATTGCAGGATTTCCTTCATTTCTATGGCTGAATAATATTCCATTGTATGTGCACACACACAGACATGCTTATATGCATATGTATAATACATGTATGCATATGTATATATTATATATGTGTATATATATATAGACACTGTATATATTATACCACATTTTTTTAAATCGTTCATCTATTAATGAACTTAGGTTGTCTCCATGTCCTGGCTATTACAAATAATGCGGCTGTGAACATGGGAGGGCAGACAACTCTCAAGGTAGTCTTCTCATTTTCTTTGAATATATACCCAGAAGCGGAATGGCTGAATCTTAAGGTAGTTCCATTTTGAAATTTTTGAAGAACCTCCATATTGTTTTCCACAGTGGCTGCGCCAATTTATATTAAGAATTTTCATTCTTGAAGGCTCAGTGTTGTTGAGTTTGTAAGAGATAATATACACGGAAACATTGATTTTATTGAAAGAAGACCACTTGTGCCCTTATCTGTATGATTTTCTCTAGAGTTTTATGCAAATATTATCTAGCATTTCTCCATGATGATAAAAACATCCAAATCTTTACACAAGATAAGACTTTGCTTTAGGTCTTAATTTTAGATTTACTTTGTATTCATATTTTTAAAAATTAATTTAGGGGTGCTGGGGTGGCTCAGTTGGTTGAGCAACTGACTGTGACTCAGGTCATGATCTCAGGGTCCTGGGATTCAGTCTCACGTCAGGCTCCACGCTCAGCAGGGAGTCTACTTGTCCCTCTATCCCTCCCCCCACTCATGCTCTCTCTCTCAAATAAATAAAATCCTTTAAAAAAGAGTTAATTTAAATTTTCACACTTCTGAAACTATCGATATTTTATTTTATTATGTATATTTATTTTTATATTCTATTATATTCTGATTCTGTTCTTTGGCCATGCCATGAGGTGTGCTTTATTTGCATTAATGACACAAATAATTTTCTAGAACAGGCCAAGGCAAACTGGAGGATTAGTAGTTCTGGTGGGGGTCCTCTGAGGGCCCCACAGGCTGGGTGCATCTGCTCAGGGTGCCGGGTCACTCAGGTTAGTTCTGAGTCATTAGTAGTTATTAGTTCGGGTCATTAGTAGTTCTGGTGGGGCGGTCCTCTGAGAGTCACATAGGCTGGGTGCATCTGCTCACGGCTCAGCCTGTCACTCAGGTCCATCTTGCAGGTGGCTCTTCATGTCAGGCCTGGGCTGTCTCCAAGATGATGGAGGTAGGGAATCCTTCAGGTTCTTAGGAACCTTCTTCACTCCTCCTTTCCTGCTCAGTGGTCTCTGGTGGGCAGGTGTTCTCCTGTGTCTCTGTTATCCTCAGCCTGGCCCTACAGAAGCAGGTGATCCCCGGCTTGTCTGCTATTTTCTGGAACCACCCTGGAGTTCGTCTCAGAGCCCCACGCCTGATGCTCCCACTCGCCTTGCTGCAGCCAGAGGCCTAGAAAGATAACTTTTGAGTATCATTGAAGCCTCCCAATTTTGCCCAGTGAGGGGGGCGTGTGTACGATCAGTCTGACAAGTTCATGGAACCAATTGCTTTCAGGTTTGCTGAACTGAGCAGGATTTCCCCACAATAAACGATAAGTCTCTCCCAGACAGTTTCTCTCAGATTTGGGACAGCAATGCTCTTGCATTTTTACTTACAGTAACATGAAATAACTACATAAATGCACACATTCAATGTTTTTAACTAAATCTTCAGAGATTCGGTGCTGCTGCTGTTAGTGATGACATGTTGCCAGGAAGCGAAATTAGGTAAGTAAAAATATGCCATTTGCAGTATTTTCTTCCCAGCCCAAAGCACCAATTTCAAAAGGTAAAATTGAAAGGAAAAAGGGCCAATATCAAAGGCTGTCTTTCTGGTTTCAAATGAGTCTTTATTTTTCCCTCCTAGACTCTCCTTGCCAGATGTTTGGCGCATTTATAGTGGCATTTTAAATCTGTCAGAGATTACAAAAGAAACACCTTTCTCGCAAATAAAAGAGATTATCATTCACCAAAATTACAAAATCACAGACGGTGGTAGTTACGATATTGCCTTAATAAAACTTGAGGCTCCTTTGAATTATACAGGTATGTAGCATATTTAAGGAGAAGCTATTCAGCTGAGTTCAGCAGCTTTAAATTTTCACATCAATTTGAGCAAAAGGGTAGAATCTGGAGAGATTGTCTTTAGTTTCTGGTTGATGGAGTCGGGAGCGAGTTGAGGAATTGCCAAGGGAGACAACACCTGTGACTTGGATAAATCTCTTCTATTTAAGGGATAAGAAGTAGAAATTGGTCTCTTCAGGTAGGAATCCAGGTGCATATACATTATTGAAATAATACACATGGGAAATGTCTTGGCTGTTTGGGAAGCATGGCTCCCTTTGGCAAGAGTAGCACGATGACTATGGCTTTGGGCATGTTAGGAATATATGAAGACTAGTGGGGCCAGATGCTAATTCCCAGGTCTAACTTGAGTGGAAGGAAGCTCTGGGAAGCTGGTAGTGTGGTGGTGGGAAGTGTGGCCTCCGTGGCACAATGCTCCACAGTTGGTGAATGCCCTCTGTGTCCAGGAATGATTACGTGACCTTGGTCAAGTTGCTTTTACCTCTTTGCACCTCGAATTTCTGCATCTGTAAAATGAGCATGACAGTCACCTGTTGGTGTGTCATAAAAATTGCTAATTAATAAGTTAAAGCACATAAAATAGTGCTTCAAACAGTGGAGACACTGTTACTACGATTGAAAGTAACATACACAGAGTAAAATACTTCTAAATGCTTTTGACAGAAATACATGTTCTGAGTTTAGGATTTAATTGAGAAAATTTGGCACCAAAAATGTCATGTGAAAATGAGTCTGATAATGAGAAATTTTCTTGAATCATTGGCCTTAGCAATCAAATAGAAAGCAAAAGGATCATTTTTCATGGTAGTACGCTAGAGAAAGAGAATATGGAAAAAGGAAATTGTGTATTTTTAAAGTCAATACCTATAACTTTGTTTAATCAAACTCTAATCTAAAAATTACCTTTCAGAATTCCAAAAACCAATATGCCTTCCTTCCAAAGATGATACAAATACAACTTATACTAATTGCTGGGTAACTGGATGGGGCTTCACAAAAGAAAGAGGTACAGCATGATATATTTTTTTAAGATTTTATTTATTTATTCATGAGAGACACACGGAGAGAGAGAGGCAGAGACACAGGCAGAGGGAGAAGCAGGCTCCATGCAGAGAGCCCGATGTGGGAATTCGATCCCAGGAATCTAGGATCATTCCCTGAGCCTAAGGCAGATGCTCAACTGCTGAGCCACCCAGGCGCCCCCAGCATGATATTTTAAATGTTGTTCTTAAAACAAGTCTTTTACCTTAAGGTACACAGAGTGAATCAATTTAACTGGCCTCTGTCTGAAATTTTATCCAAACTCATCACCATTCCAATCTATTCATTCTCAAATATTTACTCACTGATTCTTGAGAAGATGCATTTTTCTTTGGATCTGGAAAAATTTATAAAGTAACCTCTTCAGAATCTTACTTAATAATAAAGGCCACTTGTTTGACTATGGGATAAAGGATTTGTCCCATATGGGGCTAATAAGACCACTCAAGCCTATCCTGTCCTCACTACTAATAGTGTTTCCATCTCTCAGTGCCATTATTTTGCCTTTATACTAAGGGTCAGGAGTAGAGGCAGGCACACCATCTTTTTCTGGAAGGCTCTAAATGTTTTTTGTGTTGTTATTGTTGTTTCATGCATCCTTCCTGTAATCTGATGAAGCCTATGAGCCACTTTTGTAATGGTGCTTTTATTTTTTTATTTTTTAAAAGATTTTATTTATTTATTCATAAGAGACACATAGAAAGAGGCAGAGACATAGGCAGAGGGAGAAGCAGGCTCCCCACAGGGAACCCCATGTGGGACTCGATCTCAGGACTTCAGGATCATGACCTGAGCCAAAGGTAGACCCTCAACCACTGAGCCACCCAGACACCCCTGTCGTGGTGCTTTTAAATACTTAAAAAGAACATATAGACATATGAAGGAAACAAGTGAAATTGCAATAGAGTTATCAAAATACTTTCAAAAAGATGCAATACGGGAATGCATGAGTTTCTTTAATATATTAAATAGTAAGTTTTTCAAGTAACTACCATAATATCAGCCACAGCTGTCACATGAAACTATCACAAGTGTGATGAAAAATACCTGTGCTCTTGACTAATGGCAAAGCCATCCTACTAACACTCCCATTTTTATTGCCTGCACTCATAGCTGAAGGTAGTGTTAGACTTCAGTTGGAGATTGGTGAAAATAAGGATGTATTTTCCTATCCAAGTGTATAGAGCAAGTGAATTCTTTCTGTGGACCCCAATTTAAGAAGCCCTGCTCACGGGTAGTTGGTGTTTTTAAATTGCCCTTGGATTTCCCATGAAACAGACTTTTCTTGCTTTCCAAAGTTTTGTTCTTGATAGACACTATAGGGAATAAAATTTGCACATTCTTTACATATTTAAGCTCATCAAGATCTTTCCTTCTTTCCTGACTTAGTCCTTTATTCAGTGAATTCAAATTTTCCAAATGTTTGACTGGTACCTTAAGGCAGAAAGAAATTTTAAGAGTAACCTTAACTAAGAAAGGAGAGCTCCCAACATATGTTCAAGGGGAACCTGGACACGGGCGGAAATGTAATTATTTGTGGATAAATCGTTCTTCATGGAAAATATTTGCATAGTTAAAAAACAAAATACTCTTCTGAGCATATGGTGAGTTCCCCCCCCCAAAAAAATCACATATTTTTAAATGATCATGTTGAATATATAAAACAAAAACTGAAAGATAAGAATTTCCAGCTTTGGGGTTGGAGGTGATAAGAGGGAATTTCTGAGAGATTTCTATTGAGATGAGAGATTGGCAGGGAATCTGGTCAGCCTTGGGGTGCTGGGGTTGTCCTAACATTGACATCAGAGGCCAGTACATGGAGCTCTCTGTTTATCAATTTCTTTTTGCTTTTCTCTCTCTCTCTCTGTCTCTCTTTTGGTGTGATTAACTCTACTTTTCACCCTTTACTATTTTTACCTGAAGAAATGACCTAATGAAAGGTTCATAACACTGATTTGCTTTAAGACATTAGTAGTTTCAGACTCATCATATTTCCTCCTTCTGAAGTTTTATATTGATTACCTCACAGGGGAAATCCAAAATACCCTACAAAAGGCAAATATTCCTTTGGTACCAAATGAAGAATGCCAGAAAAAATATAGAGATTATGAAGTAAACAAACAGATGATCTGTGCTGGCTATAAAGAAGGAGGGAAAGATGCCTGCAAGGTAATACATTCAGTGATGAAAAAAACACACAGTAGTCTACTTGAGAAAAATCAACCACAAAATATACTCTCCATAGTACATTTCATTGTATTTTTCTTTAAAAAAATTGGAGCCAAATAATCTGACAATTTCAAAAGTAACCTTTGATGAACTGAATATGTGTGTGTGTGTGTGTGTGTGCAAATTTTTATTCTATTATAATCTGTGCAGAGGCATACTATATATAAGGGAGCACCATGGTACATAAAATAGCTGTAATAAAATATTAGAGCATTAGATTTACTTGACATTGAGATTCTGATATCAACATGTCCTTTTTGGAATAAATAGAAAATGCAACCATACGTATTGAATTCACTTATTTTCGTCACATCCAGAGGAATGAGGAAGGCAAGATATCCAAAGAACTATAAGGAACTGTATGTACGTGTTGTGTGTGGTGTGACTACAGAATTTTAATGGCACAACTGTCATACTTTGTATTATTTCATTTTTCCACTCACTGTGACACAGGGAGATTCAGGTGGTCCCTTAGTTTGTAAACACAACGGAAACTGGCATTTGGTGGGCATCACCAGTTGGGGTGAAGGCTGTGGTCGCAGAGAACAACCAGGTGTCTACACCAAAGTGGCTGAGTATGTGGACTGGATTTTAGAGAAAACACAGGTTGGTGATGGGCACGCCGGTCTTGGATGAAGTCACCAGTGTGAAGAAGCTTTCTAGAGATGGGAAAGAGCCCGGGTTGTAGCATGAGTTTTACAACCTGGGTCCAGCTCAAATGCTAAGCCTTGGAGTCTTCATCTGCAAAAATGTGGAAAATAGTATCTGCTTCATGTCCTTGTCATAAGGGTAAAAGGAGACAGTGCACGCAAAGCTGCTGAGGAAAATGTTGTGCAGAGGCAGGCTGTCAGCCTCCAGTAAAAATGCTAATAATGGAAGATAACAAGTGAACATTTCCGCAATTATTTGTTGCAAAATAAAATGGCAAAAGAATGTGACTCAAAAGTGTGTTCTTCTGATTGTGAGACAGAATGAAAGGTAAGTAACTCCAGATTCTAGCACCATGCTTGTGCTGGCCTCACTCTTCTCTGACTGCCTCCTCTGGATCTCGATATATATCTTAGGGACAGTAATCTCCTCTTTTCGTCACCTGCATGGTCATCAAAACCTACCACTGCCTGCCTCACTTGGGCAAAGAGCCAGTAAGCTTGGGTTTTGTTCTGCCAACTGTAGAATATTAACTTTTCCAAGAAAGAGATGTGTTTTCTGAACCGTGGAAACCGTGGAGAATAGTGGTGCACCTTTTGATTTGGGCCTCCTACCTTGTTAGCTGGTGTTGGCACAAGGCCCCTGGCTGGGTGTGCAGGAGAGGTCTGCGGGGCTGCAGCTCCTGCCATAGGCACACCACACAGCCTTCAAGGAGGGCAAGGAGTCTGCTCTGTGGGGTGCAGGAGGGGGTGCCAGTCCATACTGGGTTCGTGAATTAAGAAGCATTGGTTCTAAAGTATTGCAAAAATTCAGTCTTGTAAATTTGTGATCCAAATCCGTGTAGAGCCCAAACTCCAAACTTGTTAGTGATTACTATAACTGATATCAGCTGTTTGGATTGAGTTCGGTTAAACTGACTTGACATTTACAGAGGGCTGACCATCTACAAAATATTGTGTAAAATAAGTAGAAAAAATAGAAGTGTGAAGTTTCTGAATGATGTTTTTTCCCTTTCACACTCAAAGACACACTTAAGTGGTAGAAAGGGCTAAATGTGGGGAGTGAGCTGAAGGAAAGCCATGAAGTCTGAGTTATTCTTACCCCACAGTAGGAAACACAAAGAAATACTCTAGATTTTATAAAACCTGGCTGGTTTCCATGAGATAATTAAAAATAAATACAACCCCAACTTTTCCTTTGGCATGCAATAAAGATAGTGGTCCTTGTTCTGTATGGGTATCATTTTATCTTTAAAAGGTAGACAAGTGCTTGCTATGAGAATCTTTTCTCTCTGGCTTTTAGAATGAATTCAAATGGGTCTTTGAACAGGACTTTGGAATGCTTGCTGGGCAACCACTAGTCAGGGAATGACCTCATTTGGGCAAAACCGGGAGGAGAGTTTTGAAATGTGGAATTCCCCTGGGGTATGAATGATTATTTTAAAGTTGCAGATCAGGGCCGGGTCCTGGCATGGTCTCAGCTACTCACCATGTTTTCATGTACAGGGGTGATCAGAGGAGGAGCTTCATGGGACTAAGAAATTGGGAGAGGCTAAGAAGGCGAGGGGTTGAGATGACCTCACCCTCATGAAGAAGAGTGAGGAGGAGGCGTGGGTCACTGGCCAAGCCATCCAGGAGAGGGTGGTGGCAGTACCAGGCCTGAAGCTAGCGTTCTTCTTCCCCGTAACAGCAGCCTATGTGCATGGGGAACACACACCACAGGTTAGCCCAGGGCTCCAACGTCCTTCTCGTTCCTCACCAAGGTGTGTGAGACCTCTCATCTGAATTTAAAACTTTTAATTATTGTTTACCTTTATCTCCTCCCTAAATCATGAGCAACTTTGAGGGAGCCTCCCTTTCATTCATATTACATACAAATGGGCATTCGGTGAATGTCTAATGAATGAATGCATCTTTATTCTGAAGATGAGGAAGTGGAGACTTGAAGGGGAACAAAGATTAGCTCAAGGTCACTGGCAAGGACAGAGAGAGCTAGACTGAGCATGCCATTCGTATATCCCGGATCGTGTCTCTAGTCCCGATTGTGTTGCTTCATTCTATGAGAAGAATAAAAGGTGACAGGAGCATTTATAACCATCATTTGTTATTTTCATTATCATCTCAAGTAGTGGCTCTCAACTGGGTACAAGCCCCACTCAGGGGACATTTGGCAAACTCTAGAGACATTTTTGGTTGTCACACCAGGGCAAGGGGGGTATATCCGGTGGATAGAAGCCAGAGATGTTGCTAATCATCCTGCGGGGCACAGGACAGTCCCTTGAGACAAAGAATAATCTGGTCCAAGTATCAATAATGGCAGTGTTGAGAAACCCCGACTGAAGGCCAGCATTAACTCCTTATAATGAAAAAGGGATATTTCCGGAACAGCAAGAATGGAGTTGTAGGACAAGGGAGGCTACGCCCTTTTCAAAGCAAATCTTGATGAGAGACAGGGGAGCTCAAAGAACAAGTTGACTGTGGCTGTGACCGAGAGGAGGGTCTCCACCTGCAACACACCTATGATTTTCTTTGTCCCAGACAAAGAATTTTATGTCACCAATATTTCTAAGTTCTGACGTGCACTTAGGTCTCTCTAGACTAAGTTCTGGATTCTTCCTAAGATTTTTGTCTAGTAATTCCCTATTTCCATTATCCTTCAAAAAAATTTCCCCATTTCCATTATCCTTCATTGTTTCACTTATGGAAGGGGTTTTTACCTTTAAGATAAAAGTAGTTGACTTTGGAATTCTAATGCAGTAACATTAATTGAAAAAATGCCTTTAGAACATTTACTGTCAGTTTGAAAGGAAGGTCTATTTAATCCCAAAGAATTTCTATGCAAGTAAGACTTTTATTCTGCTTTTATTTGAATGGACAAAAATATTTCAGAATTTTTTATTTCAAAGGCTTTAGAGGTTTCACTAACTAACGAAATAAAACTTAGGAAGATGTTATCTGGTTTCCCAATGAAGTATTGCTGTCATTAGAGTCTTTCTGTTTCTCTGAATAGGACTGGAAGGTTATCATTATAGTCTTTTTATTGGAGCTTTAGGGTAGAGATGGGGTTTCATGGAATGAACAATACAGGGATGTAAGGACCTTATATAACTCCATGTATCAGTTTTCCATGAAAACCCGTCTTGGCATAAATTTGCTATTCTGTGCTTGAGCTTCATAAATAGCAGCACATCATAAATATGTGTTCCCCTTTTTATAGCTGGAATGTACTTAATTTTAAATGGGAAACTCAAGAAAGCAACTACGGACTCTTTACCCCAAGATAGGTCACACAATCTTGGCAATAGATGAATTAAAATGATCTGAAGAACTGCCCTCCAGATGGAATGTCACACAATCCTCAGCACTTTGCATAAAGCCTCTTCTGAGTCCAAATCCCTCTTATAATTTTCAGCCCTCTGTGACACAACGCTGGCTTCTATCTTCTTTTCAAAAAGTCTCCAATGAGGCTCTATGGGGCTAAGCTTCTAATCTATCTTACTTCACTAACTATACTCTCACTGTCTCCTTCACAAAGTTCTCTTTCACTGCAGTTCGATTTCTGCAAGTTTCAAAAGTGGTGTCCAGTGTTCCTAGAGTTGAGTCAGCTTTCTACCTAGGCACTTGGCCACGAAAGCCTATGTATTCCATACTTTCATTCATTCATTCATTCATTCATTCATTCATTGAGAGTGCAAGTGAAGGGGGGAGGGGCAGAGGGAGAGGGGGAATCTTAGGCTCCACACCCAGCAGGGAGCCCCTCGAGGGGTTCAGTCTCACAGCACAGAGATCGCCACCTGAGCCAAAATCAAGAGTAGGTCACTTAACTGGCTGAACCACTCAGGCACCCCAACACACTTTCAGAAACTGTTCAGATACCATCAACCTTGTCACAATAGACATAAAATGAAATTGTCTTGTTTCTGCCTCCAAATATTGAGAGCCTCAAAGTAACTGGTGGCATTTTCTAAGTCCAAAAGATCACACTCAGATCAGCCCAGTGTCCCTGAACAAAGTATACTATTTCCTCTGATACCAGTAACTTCAACAAGATCTCAAATGGGGGCAAACCCCTAATTTTATTTCTTCTTTCATCTTCAGAATTTTTAAAAAAAATTATGAGCTCCATTTATAAATGTGAAATCTTATTTTGCTTCTCTTTGGAAAACAGAAGGCTTCTCTGAACCATAAGATCATCTTTCTCTTAAATTTATTTGTTTGTTTGTTTGTTTATGCTAAAATTTATATAAATGGGACATATTAAAATGTTTTTTTTTTAAAAAAAGATTTTACTTATTTATTTGAGAGAGAAGGCAGGTGCACGCAAGCAGGGGAGAGGGGCAGAGGGAAAGGGAAAAGCAGACTCCCCTCCTGCACAGGGAACCCAGCTTGGGGCTCAATCCCAGGCCCGGGGGACCATGACCTGAGCTGAAGGCAGACACTTAACTGATTGAGCCACCCAGGCACCCCTAAAAAGGGTTTTTAAATTTTTAAAAAATTTCTTTGGGCTTCTAAGAGATCACATAGAAATCCTTAAGGCTAGTTATTGTCTAATATTATAAATGAGGAACCTGAAGCTCAGAGAGATAAAGCAACTTGACCAAGGACCCACAGGTAGCTAGCTGGCTTACCTAGCAGAAGGATGGTTTCTGCCCAAGTGCCATGACTAGCAAGCTAATGAATAATAATAGAGGACATGCCTCATCCATGGCTTCTGTAGAGCTCTTGGCCGGTCTTTCAAGGTCAATGGGAAGGTGCTTAACAAATACAATCAAGTGAAACCCAGAGAAGTGTTTTGCAAGCTTTCCTATGAACTGTACCAGGTCCTATCACTAGGAGACGCCCTCCAAGACAAAGAAAATTGATATTTTTTGATTGCTTGTCCTGCAAAAGCTAGACATGTGACTTCCTAGCTCTCCTTTTGTCTCAGGGCACCAACATCGAAAAAGAGATACGAAAGTCCCATATTTTTTTCAAAAAGGAAAAAAAAAGTTAGACTTTCAATGTGTGTGAGTGTAATAAATAAGAGCTTAATTTCTTAGAACCATATCAACACAGGCCTCCAACAGGTGAGGCTGCTATACTGCTCATCAATAAGTCCATCAGACCTTGTTTTCTTTGTAAAAGGCAAGGCTCAGGTTAGGCCAGATTTAATGATTAACCGCTGATAGTTGAACGTGTGGTTAAGGGCTGCTTTGGCAAGTAGGCACACAGGCAAACCCAAGTTCCACTGTGCGTGTCATTTTTTGGAATACACAGTAAAACAAGACAAAAAGATTTTAATGTATTGAGAAAGCAAGCAGCTCGACCAAGGTGCATTTTTGATAATGCCGAGATTTTAAGGCCTTTCGCAGACATGCTCCACAAAGAGACAATGTTACATAACATTGGGAACAGGTAAAAGTAAATATTAAATTGAGCGTTACCTGAACAAGTTCATTTAGAAGAGGATGAAGACCATTTGGGAAGAAGAAAAACACTCTTACTAAGAATGCGGCAAACAAGCAAACAAAATGTTTTCAGGTACGATTTCAAAAACTCTTAAGATTTCTCTCCAGCAATGATTCCTTGAAGTGACTTTTTTTTTTATGACAGAGGCTTTACAAACTTTTAAAATAGAGAATGATTGATTGATTAAAATTTGTCCGACTTGATATTCTAGAAGCTTTTATCTATAACCAAGTTGAGAGAAGATGCAGAATGAAAGAAGACTAGTAATTTGTAATCAATGACAAGTGGTTTATGAATTAAAGAGATTTTCAAGATCAATACTAAAAAACAAGTCTTGATTTTTCTCACTGATAGTTTTTCATAGAGCCGTTAATTCAATGCTTTGGGGGGATAAGCAGATTTATTGGCAACCAAGGTGGCCTATGAATATATTTCCAGCAGAATCTTTAAAATGGGGAACTTCATGAGTATAAAATCATTTATTTAGAGCTTCTCGACAGGTATGGAGAGACTTCAGAGATGCAAAGAAAGGAAGCAGTTTGGAAGAGAAAACAAGTGGAAAAATTGGAGTGGGGGAGGGGTCAGATGAGGGCAATGAGAAATATCTAGTTAATGGTGAACTGCAGGCAGCGGGGACGCAGAGATAAGGGGTGTCATTTCTCCTGTCAGGTTCTGGGTTCTTCAGAACTAGGAAGGTGTTGAACACTACACACAACCATGCTGAGGAGTATCCTAGGATTTGGGGAAGATACAATTCAGCATGATGATAAGAACCCTGCAAACACTATGGAATGAACCACTCCCCTCCCTCCCTATCTCTTGTGAACCCTGATGTCAGCAAACTAATTGCAAATTCACGTTCTGTGTTCTAAACACATGCACGTTTTTCTCTTTGTAGGATGATTGTACTATATCAAATGGTACATTTCATTTTATTTGCTTCAGTTTCTGGTGGTAAGTAGAGTTGAATCTTGGGTATGAATTAGAAATAGCTTGCTTGGTTCCCCGACTTGAAGAAAAGAAAACAAGAGCTTAAGGCCAGAGACAGAAATCGTCCCAGGGTCCCACGCCATCTACTCCAGGGAAGGATGTAATGAGTTTATTTTTCACTTAAGGCTCCAGGGATTTTCAAAGCAGGGATGGCAATTAAGGTGCAGAATTGTTCATAATAGTAGCAATTGAGGTCTATATGTTTATCCACGTTCTTACCTATATTTACATCCAAATATACATCTATCATTACTAGTTTGGTGGTAATTAGTACTTTGCTTTGCCCTAAGGTGGGATTTCTGTGGACAGTGGGAGTATTTTGAGTGCAAATAGATTATGCACTAGTGGGGGCGGCCTTACAACTCCGTTGGAAGCAACACAGAGCTTGGAAAAAGGAGGCAGTCTTCTGATAACTTCCAGGTCATTCTTGGGTAGCTGCCAGTTTTGGAGAAAATTATGCTATATGCAAAGGTTGTAGTTGCGTAATTTAGAAGTGTATGTGGTGGGTTTTGAACCAAGTCTGTGGCAGGGACCCTTGACCCCTTTTTCCCACAGATCCCTTTAGGCATAAAGTAAAAATACACAGGATTACCAAGAAAATCAATTATATTGCAATACAGTTAGTTAAAATGTAAACACACACACACACACACAAAACAACCCTGATATAAAAATAGATGCTTCTTATTAACAAATGATAGAACAGAATAAAAGTGCAGAGTAATGATTACCACCAAATCAGTGATGAGTGATAATGGTATTTTAAGATATCTGCAGCTCTAGTGTTTTCTTTTTAAATCTGTAATTTTATAATGAAAAAATTGCAGATACTATGAACACTAGGTGGTTTGTTACTTACATTAACAATAGGCTATGCCACCTATTATTTTTATTGTAATAAGAATTTGAATTATGTTTTATCCTTCCCAAAGTATTTCATTTTTAGTACATATGTATATATACATTTTAGGTAGATAGATAGAATGTATATGTTATATATATGAAAGATATTAAGACTTTGGGCCATATGGTAGTACTTCCTAATAGGAATATACCAAGATTAAAAGCTACAGCCTTTTATTCAGTGACTAATAATGACCTAAAAGAGCCACAATCTGGAATATTAGATATCTCTTTATAGAAACAGAAAAAAATTAATTTTATGCAATTTAGCCTTAAAAGAAAAAACACAAACCTGTGTATGGGTTCAGTTGGAATGGGATTCAGTTATTTTTCTGAGAGTCTAAAGTTCCTGTTACTAACTTGGCCCATTTTAAATAGTGACGTGATACAGTATACCACACCCAAGGCCATCAGACCCTATTGAAAAATGACCACTCTGGATCCTTTGCTTCGTATAAACATAGAGTTTCAACATATGAACAGTAGGGAGAGGAAAAAGTAGGTGGTCCATTCCAGACTTCAATGCAACCCTAAAGAACATCTTTTGCCAATAAAGCTTTGTGAAATTATTCAGTTACCCACAAAGCATCCGTGTCTCCAAGACAATCACCCATCGGCACAATTCCATGGAGGCAAATGGGCCATTTCATGATTTCCTTTTCTGTCCGAGGCTGCTTATCCAATACACTAACATAAAAGTGTTGATTGCTCTGATTTCGACGTTCAGGCATATTTTCTGTTAAGTAGATCTACTTTGCTTGTCTTTGTGAGATTATTGTCTAATTGGATATGTGCAACTAATACCTGCCATGTATTACATCACAGGCTGTATAACTGAGCTGTTGGCAGATACCTGCTTTCAAGGAGGAGACATCACTACCGTTTTTACGCCAAGTGCCAAGCACTGCCAGCTTGTCTGCACCCACCACCCACGCTGTTTGCTCTTCACCTTCATGGCTGAATCGCCATCTCAAGATCCTACCAAATGGTAAATGTTTGCATTTCTACATAGATAGAGGAAATAGTCTTTACATGAGGATTATTTACCAATAAACATTCATATAAATATAAAATATGAGGTTAACAGTTGGAAAACATATTGTCCTTCAATTAAAATATTAAATATGGGATCCCTGGGTGGCGCAGTGGTTTGGCGCCTGCCTTTGGCCCGGGGCGCGATCCTGGAGACCCGGGATCGAATCCCACGTCGGGCTCCCGGTGCATGGAGCCTGCTTCTCCCTCTGCCTGTGTCTCTGCATCTCTCTCTCTCTCTGTAACTATCATAAATAAATAAATAAAAATATTAAATATTACAGAAAAATAGATGGTGTTTAGGCAGATCAGGAAAGAGCAAGCATGCCTCTCAGTGTAGACTTCCCAATTTCTCTGTGGTCTAGATTTTAATGATACACTTTCTCTCCTATTTCTCTCCACTTTTATGCCTCTTAATCATTTCGTTCTTTGCTTTTTGATTGATTATTGATATTGGATATTATTTAAACCAGTGCATTTCTTTCAATTATTTTCTTAGGAAATACATAAAGGTAGTTTCAAAGAATAGTACAGTGATCCCCTGTCACCACCAAGGCTTTTGTCATTTGTTCTTTATCTATTTAACCATTTGAATTAATTTGGAGACATGGTAACACTTTACCCCTAAATATTTCTGCATACATTTTCCTACACAAAAGACATAAAATTTTTAACAAGAATCCCTTTATATCATCTCAATTGTAGCCCAAATATAATTTATAGCTATAAACTGGAATCTTCTCCAGATTCACAAATTGCATTTAGTGAGTTTTGTGTCTATAGTTATATTTTATAAAAATTTTAGGGCATTCCATCCACTGCTTTTGTTTCCATATTGAACTTGAAAATTCAGTAACAAAACTTTACTACAGAATTAAGTTATCGACATCTTTGTATATCATTGCTACATTCATAGAAATTTACACAGTACCCAAAACGTATAAAATAATTATTCTAGAATCTACAGCAGGGCTTAGCAAATGTTTTTTTTTTTGACAAGGCAGGGCATAAATATTTTAGGCTTTATAGATCCAGAAGCAAAATCAAGGATATTAAGTATTTATATAACCATTTATATAACCATTTAAAAATATAGAACCCATTCTCAGCTCATGGACCATAAAAACCGGCAGAGGGTTGTTTGATCAACAGTCCATAGCTTACCTGCTCCTGTTTCCGGTTAGTGGGGAATACCATATGTGATCTTTTAGGAGTAGGGATGTTGGAATGAGAGACAAACTCACAGTTTTGCTGAGAAAGTATTTGTTTTGGCATGAGATAGAGGAGCTTGCTTCTTTCTCCTTGACTTTCTATGTGCTGGCTTTTAAGATTTATTATTTTAAAACATAAGTTCTCATGCAGTTATTTATTTACTTATTTTAAAAAACAGGTTTACTTGTATCCTGAAAGACAGTGTAACAGAAACATTGCCAAGGGTGAATATGACAGGAGCCATTTCTGGATATTCTTTCAAGCAATGCCCACACCAAATAAGTGGTAAGATGTCTTATTAGGATTCATAAGTACTAGTTACTGTGATATATACATATAGTTACATCACATATAGTGTTATAACTATAAAATAAAACCCTGCTATATGGTCATCAAGTCTCCTGATGAAGTTCCTTCAGTGTAGAGTAAAAACTAGTATGCATGCATCCCACCCACCCCCGTCCCATTCATTGAAATTTTTGCAATAGTTGGATATTCTCCAACTATTACTACATTCTCACCATTCCTTTATTGTTTTTTTCTCCTTTCCAGCTTAAAGTTTTATATAAAAGTCCTTGTTAAACATATTACTTCAAATCAAAAGAGCAGCTGTAAAGGTTGACATGACACTTGTCTTAATTGTGAAAAGATTCTTGAAAAGGTTAATGAATCAGTCAATGAAATTGCAGAGACCAGGAAGGCCAGGGCAGAAAACTGAAGCAAGAATTTATAAATCTATATTGTTGTGATATAAGAGGGACATTGGCATTCGTTTAGTGCTTCTATGTGAGAGTAGATTAAGCAAATTAAGATGAAAACAAAGGACTTCTGAGGAAAAGTGGCTGTAGGTGTCAGAAGAGAAAGTCAGGAGGGACAGTTCCTAAGGTTCCAGTTGCCCCTGGAGTCTGGAAGATCCTTGCATGTTCTGCTTTTATTTCCAGCTTGCAACAGAAATGTATATGTGGATCTGGTCATGAAGGGCATGAACTATAATGGCTCCATCGCCAGGAATGTTCAGGAATGCCAAGAGAGGTGCACAAACAGTGTGCACTGTCACTTTTTTACATATGCAACAAGCCAGTTTCCAAGCGCAGAGCATCGGTAAGTGAGCCATAGGCTGAGCATAAGGACAGTAAGGAGATTGTTACAATATCGGATGGAAAATAAAAGTTATCTTCAACTTGATGCCAAAATTTATTCTTAGCCCCTCAATGACATTTCTATAACAAGCATAGTGCTGGTAGTTTTCTTCATAGAAAGTGCATTTAAAGCCCAACTTGCATGTATTTCTCTTCTGGTAAGGAGTCCCTTCTGGTAAGGAGTCAGTTTTAAGATAAGTTCCTTATCTAAGACAAAATAACTGAAGCTCATGTGAAGTGTTTTAAAAATCTTCCCCGATCCCAGATTTTGAAATATTCCAGAGATAAACACGTAGGAGTAGAAAATGACCTGATCTCTAAGGATGAATATGTGTTCTCTTAAAAAAAATAGGGAAAATATCACTGAATTTTATATTTAGAAATATTTGTGATACTTTAGAGTTGTATAGTAAATTATACTTATCTAGGATCCACCCACCCCAAAACGAGAGAGAGAGAGAGAGAGAGAAATAAGTTCAAATGATTAGTTTTTGGATTTACCTTTGGGCTTTAACATTCTACTCTCCACATTCACAACAAGGACATGAATGCAAAGCAGATGAAGCATCAGAAATTCATTTCAAAAACAACAATGATACAACAAAACCCTCAAATTAATAAGCATGGTTTGTATTTAGCTTAGTTCATACTGTATCTTTTTACGTATTTTACCTCTAAGACTTAACATGGATAGCAAGCTAGGAACCTGGGAGTTGCTGGGCATTATAAAAAAATTTAAACTGATACAATTGGGAAGGGCTTGAGAATTCATTACTTCCTACCTGCTACTCTTCAGGCCACCATCCCTTCAAAGCTGTCCTTTTAGTGGTGAAAAATAAAGTTGAAAAAAACAAGGACTCAAGTCCAACTGTCTAGCCTTTCTCAGATCCATGCTTTCCAGAGTGATCTCTTACCTGTAATATCCAGGAGTCTCTAAATTGGAATTTCTTATCATCTTATGTTTTTTTCCTACTTGTATTTAGAAGACTAAAACATTTTCCACTTTTGTTTTTATTCAGTAATGTTTGTCTACTGAAATACACAGAAATGGGGACCCCAACCAGAATCACGAAGCTCAGTATGGTGGTGTCTGGATTTTCATTGAAATCCTGTGCGCTTTCTAATCTGGGTAACTATTATTTACTTAGTGAGATGGGCTAGCCATTAAATAGTAGGAGCTGACGGTATGTATGATGGGTCTAACTTAGGAGCCCAATATGTGCTCACTGATGAAGTGGACCAGTGATTTTTTACCTTCTTCATGTGAAAATTCACTATGTCCTAGATAATCAGAGCTATATTTGTATTTAAAATAATCACTTCATGTTGTCTAACTTAAAAAAATTTAAAGTCCTTCAGATAAACATTTAAAAATTTGTTATTAAGACTTTATTTCTTTAGAGCAATTTTAAGTTTGCTGCAAAGTTGAGGGGAAAGTATAGATGTCCCATACACCACTGCCCGGACACATGCACAGACTCCCTCATTATCAACATCCCTCACCAGTGGTACATTTGTTACCATTGATTAATGTGCACCAACACATCATGATCCCCTCAAGCCAACAGTTTATACTCTCATTCACCCTTGGTGTTCTATATTCTATGGGTTTGGACAAATGTATAATGACATTTGCATCCCTCCCTCACCCCACAATGAACTTTTTTTTAAAAAAAATATTTATTTATTTATTTATTTATGATAGTCACACACACAGAGAGAGAGAGAGGCAGAGACATAGGCAGAGGGAGAAGCAGGCTCCATGCACCAGGAGCCCGACGTGGGATTCGATCCCGGGTCTCCAGGATCGCGCCCTGGGCCAAAGGCAGGCACCAAACCGCTGCGCCACCCAGGGATCCCCCACAATGAACTTTTTATATGGAATTTACAAATACTGTGACTGGGATTTTACTGATGATATTAGTGAATTGATTTCTTAAGCATGGTTTCTTCTGTTGTACAGCTTGTATTAGGGACATTTTCCCCAGCACGGTGTTTGCAGACAATAACATTGACAGTGTCATGGCTCCAGATGCCTTTGTCTGTCGCCGCATTTGTACTCACCATCCCAGCTGCTTATTTTTTACCTTCTTTTCTCAAGAATGGCCAAAGGAATCTGAAAGGTAAGGAGTTAATAACAGCTGATCAAAATCCATCATTAAAAATTCTGAGCTACTGGGGCACCTGGATGGCTCAATTGGTTAAGGGTGTGCCTTCAGCTCAGGTCATGATCTCGGGGTCCTGGGATTGAGTCCCACATCGTGCTCCCTTCATCCTTGATGTAGCAGGGAGGCTGCTTCTCCCTCTCCCTCTTCCTCTGCCCCTCCATCTCTTTGTACCCTCTGGTTTTCTTTCTCTGGTGCTCTCTCTCTCTCTTTCTCTGTCAAATAAATAAATAAATAAAATCATTTAAAAAATTCTGAGCCACTAAACCTTTAATCTAAATGTCTGTATAGGATAGATCAAAGCTGCGAAGAATTCCTAGCTCCATTCTCTTTCTATTCCCCACTTAATGGCCACAAATCTCATGTTAGCAAGGACTCTTGTTTTCTTTAGCTGAGGTAGGGCCCTGCCTTCAGCAAAGAGAAAGTTGTTTAGTTCTGAACAGAATGAAGAAAATATGGATGACCATTTGGAAGCAACTTAGTCCAACACCCAGTTTGAGGTCATTGAATCCTGAGCAAAAAGAGCTGAGAATATTAGTGAAATGTCAAATCCAAAGTGAAGAGAAGGGGAAATGAAGGCCTCCATTAATGGAATTGGGGGTAAATGTGGACAGAGGTTTGAACTGAGATGCTGCTCCCTACTGATGGGTATTAATATAGGAAACCATAATAAAAGCATAGGAAATTTCTTTGATCATTAAAGGGATATCTGTTGGGATTGCTGCCCTGCATTAATAAGACTCATTTAAAAAAATTAAGATTAAATTGGCTTCAAAATCTAGCTTCTCTATATCATCTGAGTCAGAATTGTCAGAATCCCTGGTAATTGCCTGACTTGGCTGCCCACATAGGGAATGTGTCCCCAAGAACAGTCCATCCAAGGTAAGCCCTCAAGCTCCTTGTCCGTCAAGCAAGTCTGATTTTCCATGGAGTGACTCTCAGAAGTACTAAGTCCATCACATGAAAATATATGTGTTGCTTTCATGTAGTCAACAATATAATATAATTTATTTGGTGCCTACTTTTTACCAGGCCCTCTTCTAAGCACCAGGGATACCATTAGTGAACTAAAGAGAGAAGAACTCTGCCCTACTTGGACCAGGGTGGAAGTGACAGAGAAGTAATCAGATTGGAATTAATTGTCCATGTAGGGAAAATAAGATTTGGTGATGAATTTGATGTCTATCCAGAGGAAAGAGTCCGTGATAGATCTTAGACTTTTGGCCCAAGGAATTGAAAGGATAAAAAAGACCCATGACTGGGATACAGATTTCATGAGGAACAGATTTCAAGAGGGGAGCCTCGTAGACATCCAGAAAGAAGGGTTGAATTGGCAGTTAGGAAGAGAAATCTGGAACTAAGCAGAGAGGTTTATGTTCTAGATCTGTGTTTGGGTGTCACCAGCATACAGCTGGGAATTAGAGTGACTGAACCTGGGTGAGACCATCAAAGGACCAGATGCAGAGAAGAAAGTAGCTTCAAAGATTGAGCCTTGGGACATTATAAATGTCACAGATTAGAAAGATGGCTTTGTACTGTTGGGTTAATCATTGTTCTGTTTCTTTTTTATTCCTTTAATAAAATTCCCGATTGACAACTACACAAGGAGTAAAACATTGGGTCCTCAATATGATGATGAATGAGAGAAGATGGTGAATGTGACAAGCCAAGACTTGGCTTTTTTAAATTAATTAAAATTAAATAGAACTATGTATTCATTTCTTCAGTTGTATTAACCACATTTCAAGTGCTCACGAGTCACATGGGGGTAGTGGCTATTGAATTTGGGTGGCACAGACATGGACTCATTTCTATCATTGCAGAAAATTCTGTTGGACAGCACTGCTCTAGACTGGGATTTGGGGCTAAGTAGGAAAAGTTAACTTCCTTCCAGGACAATGCTGCCTGTGTAGAGCCTGTGTTGCATTTGATTTATCCCTGTCTAAACCAGGGGTAAATCTGCCATCCAGAGTTGCCCAGCAATTTCTCTGTAGCATGAAAATCATGGAATCTTTGAGACAGGCCAGGAGTGTTGAAAGAGAGGAGGTAAGGGAGGAAGATACTAGGAACACTGACCATAGAACCAGCTCAGAAGATTTTGTATGGAGGCAAGGGGTTTCTTGGTTTTGAAGATTTGTCTACAACCTATGGATCATGGGGTCTGATTCAGTGATTTATGAGGAGTGCTTGCAACATGAGAAACTGTTCCCTATTCAATACCAGCATGAGTTACCTTTTTTGAAAAAGAAAGATTTTATTGATTTATTCATGAGAGACACAGAGAGAAGCAGAGAGACATGAGCAGAGGGAGAAGCAGGCTCTCTGTGGGGAGTCCAACGTGGGACTTGATCCTGGGACCCTGAGATCACAACCTGAGTCAGAGGCAGATGCTCAACCACCAAGCCCCCCGGGTGCCCCGTGAATTGCCTTTTGTATGTGCTGCAAAAATGGTTCTTTTTGTTGATATGTTTTACATGATACATTTACATCCTCCCCATTTTGTTTTGTTTTGTTTTGTTTTTATGGTTAGAAATCTTTGTCTCCTGAAAACATCTGAAAGCGGATTACCAAGCATACGCATTAAAAAGCACAAAGCTCTCTCTGGTTTTAGTCTGCAGAGCTGCAGGCACAGCGTCCCAGGTAAAGAGCGGCCGCGCTTTCTCCTGGTGGAGATGGGTGACCCGCGGTTGACAAGCGCTGAGGTCTTGGGTCTCACATGTGACCTGTGTTTTGCTGCCTAGTGTTTTGTCACTCTTCCTTTTACCACAATACGGATTTCTTGGGAGAGGAACTGGACATTGTTGATGCGAAGGGTCATGAAGCCTGCCAGAAAATGTGTACCGATGCCATCCGCTGCCAATTTTTTACCTATTCCCCATCTCCGGAATCTTGCCACGGAGGGAAGTAAGACATATGAAGCCTCACCTGGATGCTCCTGCCCCGTCTCTTGAGGGGTGCATTATGTTTATACTATTGTGTTTCCAACCTGCAGGGGTAAATGTTACTTAAAGCTTTCTTCAAATGGATCTCCAACTAAAATACTTCATGGGAGAGGAGGCATCTCTGGATATACACTGAGGTTATGTAAAATGGATAATGGTGAGTCTAATGTTACCTGGAAAAAAATCCATCTGAAGGGGTTATTCTATCCCAAATATATCATGACTGAGACAGTCAATAATAGCCACAAGGAAGAGAAAATTGCTATGGTAATGAGCTTGGATGCAATTTTCTGTTATTTTTGCTCCTGTTACCCAAGCTGACCATGTTTTCAGGGTGAATATTGAGCCTTAACTAAACTCTGCATTGCCTAGTATTGTATGAATATGTATTTTAAGTTGACACATTTATATAACTGGTATTTCATGATGAGAGTCAGGTTTAGCTGACTCTTTGATGTTTGATTCTTGTTAGGAAGCCCAGTGGTCTTTCTTATCCTTTAAAATTAAACATCAAAAAAAAAAATAAATAAAAAAATAAATAAATAAATAAATAATAAAAATTAAATTAAATTAAACATTAGCCAGCATTTTGGTTAATCAAATCATTTTCATTTTCTGTCCATGGGCCATTACTTGACCTTTAGTTGAAACACAAACAATGATCATATGTTTTAAAAATTATGTATTTTTTCCAAGATTTTATTTATTTATTCATGACAGACACAGAGAGAGGGGCAGAGACACAGGCAGAGGGAGAAGCAGGCTCCCTGAGGGGAGCCCGAGGTGGGACTCGATGCCAGGACCCTGGGATCATGACCTGAGCCAAAGGCAGATGCTCAAACACTGAGCCACCCAGGTGTCCCTGAAAAATTATGTATTTATTCTAGAAATAAAGTAGCTCCTTTTCAGGGGACTTCCTTCTTTCAAATGGCCTGCAAGTGTTCTGCATATTTATGAATATTGGCAAAAATTTACAGTAAAACCTTGTTTACTTATAACAGTGAGTGTGGTCGAGTAAAAAGGAAATGAAGAGATTGTCTAGATTAAAGGAGACTATAATAACATGAGAATTGTAACAGAAATCAGATCAGCGGTGGCCAATTCCAGTGGCTAATTTCTGAGCATAGTAGCAAGGGCTGGCTTGTAGGCAAACAGATGAACTAAGGGACAGAGAATCCCCAATGGGAAAGAATATACCACACTCCTCCCTAAGCCACCATAATAACCTATTATGACTTCAGTACTTACTGATTTACATAAAACTATATTTTAGACTTTTATTGCCTAATGTTCAATATTCTAAAGCACTACAAATTTAAGATTCAGCTGAGATTTAATGAATAAAATAGAAGTGATGATTATACTTTGTAATAGTTTTCAAAGTATAAAAAATCTTTTGTCGGAATTATTTCTCTATTGAGAAGGTGTGTAAATCCTTAACGTCTATGAATTTGTTTCATAGCATGTACAATATTGCATCCTGTGCTAACATCCTAACTCGGAGACCATGCCTTCCTGGAGTGTAGATGGATCTGATGGGAATCTTTGGATGGCTCAAGCTCCTTTAAAAAGCAAGCCAATTAAGTTGTATCTCAAATATTCTGTTTTCTTCACAATACATTCACCTAAGACAGGAGGAGTATTTATGATAATTTTGTCATCTTAATTCTGCTAAGCCCTAGAAGGGACACTTGGCACTTGGCAGACTTTGCTGTTAGTGATGTTGATAGAGTTTCTAAAATGGGAATCAGCACTTACACCTTAAATTGCAGAATCTATTCCCCACCCTCCTTCTTTCATTATCTTCCTCTCTGATGAATGTATGGATCCTGATCTGTGAAGGCTACAGAATATATCAGGTGGAAATTGGTAGCTGAAGCAGAAAATACAAGATAAAGGGAAATAAAATCTTACGGCTTTTTAGGACACCTTCTGAAACTAGATAATTAGGTTTTCCTGCACTATATTAGATGAAATAATACCCTAATGGGAGGTGATATCTACCAGAGATATTTATCATGACTTATACTGTCCTTGGTCCTCATAACTTTTTGAAAATACAGAGTAATTGCCATCAAAAGAAATGTTCCCTGCCCCCAAATCTAATGCCAAACACATATTTTCAGCATTTTATTTAAACTGAGAGACAAAACAGAATGAACAAGACCTATTATTTATCCCCAAGAAAATCTTTATTGACCTATCTGTAACATACTTTGGTTACTGCTTACCTATTAGTTTTCCTAAACTTTGCCTTTCCTTTCTTATAAATCATCATCTTATAAATAAATCATCCCTGTAGTTCCAGAATCTAGTCAAACTCTTCAGAATGTTTCTCTGAACCTAATGTCACCCCATCTACTCTCAGGTGACAACTCTTCTCCCAGCACACCAGCCTATTTAAACTCTCACAAGCACACGTCTTCAAGATTCCTTTTCCTGCCCTCTCCTTTTCTTTGAAGCCTGCCCCAGGATTATGCATCCATTTTCCTATTGAGGAAAGAAAGACCTAGAGAGATTATTTTGCACCTATAAAACTACAGAATGGACCATCTAGGACTTGGATTTTGACTAGCGACTCTTTTAACTTCACAATCCTCCTTTAGCTAAGGCCATGAGGCTTCCCTGATCCTCTGGGCCTTACTATTCTGAGTGTGTCTGGGTGTAGCATGTTGACATCACTGGTGAGCTTGCTAGAAAAATTTTCACGTCTTGCCCCAGACTGAATCAGAATACAACATTTTAAAAGATAACGGGGTGAAAAAAAATAAAGTAAAAATAACATAAAAGATTACCCAGTGATCCATATGCACATTAAAATATGAGAAGACTTGTTCTAGAAAGCTGATGTTTATGAGTAACTCATTTCCAGTCTATCAAGGTTACTGGGACAGATTTGGTCAAGACTCCCATCAGGAGGGTGACATTCTAGGAAGTAGAAGTAGAATGGATTCTCCTGCCCAGGACAGCTAAGACAGGAAGAAACAAAGGGGTAAATCTGAGTCATAGTCCTTGGAAAGTATCAAGGATTGAATGTACGGAAACCCAAACTGTCAACAAGGCCAAAAGGCAGAAACAGTTCACAAACAGAAGAGCAGCCCAGGTTTGGATGGAACCCAGCTGGAGCAGGAGAGACTGGGACCAAAGATCAGCCTGAGGGGAAAAAAGATGAGGGGTGGGGGAGGTTGGATGGATGCTGTAAACTGAGTAGAAGGTGCTCACTTTTCTATATAACAGTATTCTGAAACTTTAGCAGGGCTGATTGAAATCCAGATGACTAGGCTCCACTGTCCAAGTTTCTGATGTACTGAGTCTGAGGGAAGCTCAAGAAATTGCATTTCTAACAGTTGGTCCAAGGGCCACACTTGACAACTGCCGCTTTGAAAGAACCATCACAGTTATCACATGAGGGCATATAAGACAGCATGCAATACCAAATGAGACTTTCTTTGGGGGCATGTGATTACAAGCTGCCTTAGTCATTCAATTTTCCTGTGCATGTTTTGCTTGCCAACCTGATTATAAAATTTCTTCAAGTCAAGGTCATGATAAAATATCGAATCGAGGGAAGGTTTTCTTCTCTTTGTGCCTAAAGGAACATAACTACCGATAAAAAAGGAAGATTTAGGAAGTTACTCATTGCAACCCTTCTGTTGTAGCATGCACAACCAAAATCAAGCCCAGAATTGTTGGAGGAACGGCATCTGTTCATGGTGAGTGGCCGTGGCAGATAACTTTGCATACCACGTCACCCATCCGGAGACACCTGTGTGGAGGTTCCATCATTGGAAACCAGTGGATACTAACAGCTGCTCACTGTTTTGACCAGTCAGTACTATTACTGTTTTTATAAGTTCCCCAGGTTCATATATTTATGAGATCTATCATTAGCAGTTTAGTAAATACTTTAAAAATGTAAATTATCCTATTTGTGGAATTAAATTTCTATTATGAAAAAAGTTTTCTGTTATGAAATAAAAAGGAAAAGGGAAGAACTACCTATGGTCTACCAGCATTAGGTTAGGTACAGGAACATGATGGCATATTATTTCACTTTCCCATTTAAATGCATACACATGCCCAGGGGTGTTCTTGCTGTTTCCTATCAGAACATATGTTCTGTGCCTTACCTTGGGCGTCAGTTCCAGAACTAAACACAAAGAGAATTTCCCCTTTTATAAATCTAGTATGTCATTCCCTGTCTTCTTCACTTCTTCCCTGTCTGGTCTTGTTTCCTCCTCACTCCCCTCCCCTTCCTTTTCTTTCCCTTCCCTCCCTTCCCCTCTTCTCCTCTTCTCTCTCTGTGTTTCCAAAAATAGGTGAAGTTCATTATGTATCCTCAAATTGGATTCCCTACTTAGGTTAATTTCAACACAGGCCAAACCTAAAAGCTTCTTCAAGAGAGTACATGCATCCCAGGGAATTTTAATTTTAGTTGGCCAAACTTCCTCAGTATTCTCTGACTTTCCAGACATGGTATTGTGTGTTTGTTTTTCTTTTTTCTCAGTATAGCATACTCACATTATAACTCAAAGATCCATTTGAAGTCAATAGTTTCCTTTACCTTTTACCTTTTCCATGTAGGAAAATGGAATACGAGAAAATCCAAGTGAATTTCGCAGGGTCATGGCTAATCAGTGGTAGGGTTGAGATTAAAACCTGGGACTCTTCATGAGAGGGAAATTGAGAGGAAAAGAGAATGAAGGAGAGGGAGAAAATGTGTGTATGTGTGTTTGTTGGAGGGTGAAAAGACCCTTCATTCATTTTTATGTGCTTAATATATTAAATACTAGCCAAGAACTTTCTACAGGAGGAATATATAAGTAAAAAATCTTAGCATGAAATCACTCCTTTCCATCAAAAAGCCTACCACCTGCAGAAAACATTAGTAATAGGCAGGTAAATAGCAATTAACTCAAATATTTGGGAATTATTTGGTAATGGGAATTTCTTTTCCTCTTACTGTTTATTCATTAGGATAGAGTCACCTAAAATCTTGCGTGTCTATAGCGGCATTTTAAACCAAACGGAAATTAAAAAGAACACATCTTTCTTTGGGGTTCAAAAAATAATAATTCATGATCAATATGAAGAGGCAGAAAGTGGGTATGATATTGCCTTGTTGAAACTGGAAACGGCAATGAATTACACAGGTATGTGGAGTTTTAAATGGAAATTTATCAACAATGATGACCTAGATGCAGTGTTTAACACCACCAGATTCATGACCTGACCCAGCAATCTCAGGGTAGTGTTGTAATCCTGAAAGAGAGGAGGTCCGCAAAGCTAGTCTTTTAGTCTATTCATACTGGAATTCTTTCCCAATTATTAAATCTTATTGTGGGGTGTGAGTGAAGAACTAAGTTTTCTGCAGGTTTCCTCAGCTGCACCAAATGATAGTATCTATAATAAATTGGAATTTTAAAGATGACTTATATCTCTTGTTTAGGGACAAAAGGATTGCAGGTCAGAATGAGTAACCAATTTCTACAGGGTTACAGACCTAGTTAGAGAGATGGACCCAGCAGGGAGGGCTGTATCTTGTCTCCCCATCATTCCCTCACCCTGGGATGTTGATGGATAATGCTAAACATGAGGAATGAAGATGAATAGTAATGAGGCAAAACCCAAATATAATAAATAGAGAACACACTGCATAATATAAAGTGAAATAAGAGAGTCTCTCTGGAGAGAAGATATATTTTGATTCTGATGACTAAACTATGATTTTTAAAATTTAGATGCTCAAAGACCCATATGTCTACCTTCCAAAGGAGATAGAAATGTAATATATACTGATTGCTGGGTGACTGGATGGGGGTACAGAAAATTAGCAGGTAAGGAATGATGTATCTCAATGTGCTTCATCCTAAAGATAAAAGAACATAGCTCAGTCTTACCCTTTCCTACTGTATCAAGCAAGGCACACAGCTAAAATGTGAGTAAAATAATCACATCCTTCAATGACAGAGAGCATGCTAATAAAAGTGAAAAGGCAAAAATTGCCCAAGTGAGGAGGATCCCACATTTGTTTGATTGGAAAATTTAAATATGACAGTCTCTTTAAAGACTAATTGAAGTTTAATGTGAAACCTAGCACTTTTCATGAAATGTCCTAGCCTGTTACCAGTTATTTTCTCTGGGAAGCAATTCCAGTTAGAACCATACTTAGTTTAGAGCTTAATGTTAACAAATAACCTCTTCTCTATACTTGGTAGTTACTAAAGGTCTGTGAGATAAACCTAATATTTTTTTCCTTCTAGATTTTTATGTAGATATTTTTATTTCAAATACACACCTTTATATTATATATATGATTATTCCATTAACAAGCCAAAACACTTTTTTCAGGCGAAATACAAAATACTCTCCAGAAAGCTAACGTACCCTTGGTGACAACTGAAGAATGCCAGATAAGATACAAAGGACACAAAATAACCAATAAGATGATCTGTGCAGGCTATAGAGAAGGAGGGAAGGATGCCTGTAAGGTAAGAGTGTTTTCAACCAATTAAATATATTCAGGGACTCTTGGGTGTCTCAGTGGTTGAGAGTCTGCCTTTGGCTCAGGGCGTGATCCTGGGGTCCTGGGATTGGGTCCCACACAGGGCTCCCCATGGGGAGGCTGCTTCTCCCTCTACCTATGTCTCTGCCCCTCTCTATATGTCCCTTATGAGTAAATAAATAAAAATCTTTTCTAAAAAATGAATATATTCACATTAGAATGTTTAATGCATTTTTTTAAGAGACAGCACTAGTCAGGGGAGGGGCAGAGGGAGAAGGAGAGAATCCCAAGCAGGCTCCCCAGAAAGGTTAGAGCATTTAAAAAGCAGTTTTCTTCCCCTGACTAGGGAACCATGGCATATTTGTTTTTACTACATTGAAGTTTATTAAAGAGCCAAGAATAGAATTTGAGGCAAAATCACTCTGAGGAACATGTATTTGAGATGAGAAGCATCTGAACTCATCTGTGCATCTTTTCTTTTTTTTTTCTCCTCCATCACAGGGAGACTCAGGGGGGCCTTTGTCCTGCAAACACAATGAGGTCTGGCACTTGGTGGGCATCACCAGCTGGGGAGAAGGCTGTGGCCAAAGGGAACGGCCAGGAGTTTATACCAATGTGGTTGAGTACCTGGACTGGATTTTGAAGAAAACTCAAGCAGTGTGAAAGAGTCCCTAGAGGCCATTTGACATCTGACCCTCATAAGGCATAACAGATTATTTCTGGGTGGGAAGGTTCTGATTTCACTGAAGAAGAAGACACACCATTTCCCTCCATGGGTTATAGTACTGAGACAGTAACGCATGGGAGGGGGTTGGTATTTGTGAGAATGTGCCAATTAAAAACAAACTCATTGTCAAAATACCCATTCTATGATAAGCATAGTTTGTGTTCAGCATCCAGTCTCTTGCTTTCTGATCACACCTTACTGAGCCAAAGAAATACTATACGGTGATATCTTTTAAGATTCAAGTATTGAGAGTTTTAAGATTGAAGAATCAAGTTGTGGCGCCAGAGGCTCCAGTGGGACTGCCAAAAGCAACCACCATGAAAAGATTCGTTAAGCAAGAAATGGGAGCTGGAGAAAATGGGGACAAGGACAGTCACCATCATTTTGCAAGAATCTGTACTCTGCCTACGTGAATATCTTTCTTTTGTGAAAGGAGAATTTGACTGGGTTCAATGGCAGGTTTTCAGAATAATCAGGAATGTTTGTCACTTCAATTCTTTTTGAGAGAGAGAGGAAGAAAGAGAGAGATAACATGAGTGGGAGGAAAGGCAGAAGGAGAGGGAGAGAGAGAATCTTAAGCAGATTCCATGCTCAGCATAGAGCCTGATGTGGGGTTCAATCCCATGACCCTGAGATCATCACCTTAGTGAAATCAACAGTTGGACTCTCAACTGACTGAGTCACCCAGATAACCCTGTCATTTCAATTTTGTAAAATGTTTTTAAATTAGTTTGGGTAGACACAAGCCATGAATGAATGTGAATGTGGACTCTATAATTTCTATATGGGAAAGGATTGAAGGCTGTAATTTACCTAAAAGTGGTACCTTAAGGGAAAAATCTTAAAGTTGACTTTCCTTAAAAACTATTAGTGTGTGGAATGTATATTTATTCAGTGTGGTTCTGGGTAACGGAAGCTGATAGAGGTGAGGGGAGCAAGCTAGAGCCTTCCTAAGACAAGGTGCCAGTGTGAGTCTACAAATCTACATTTATGGTAATAAAAGAATTGGACAGAAATCATACAAAGTACATCCATACTACAGGGAAAAAGCAATTTAGGAACAAATGGATGGCTCGTAGAGTCTTTGTTATCTTCAAAACAGCTCCCTGTATGTTAAGTATTAGGGTTTTTCCCTGTAGTGAGAATATTTGCCTGGTAATTGTTTCTAATGTGGTGCAATAACTAGAGTGTCTTCACTGCAGTTTTCAGCCTATGTCAACAACTTTACATCTCATCCCATATGAAAAGTACTTATTGAGCACACAGAACTATGGAACACAATGTAAGCAAGTAGCCGTGTCCTTGCCGTCATGGATCCTTGGTCTAGTTAGCATAAACAACAAAAAGAAAACAATTACACGACTATAAAACTTCAGGGAGGGATGCCCAGGGTTCTATGACAAGAGAGAGGAAGAAGAGCATTTGAGGCAGGTTCAAGGACTGGGATAAAAATGAATTTGTGCTGAGGAAGACAAATGAAAAACAAAAGCAAACAGAACCCCAAATCAAAGACTGGGATGGTATAAAGGGGCCCAGATCCAAAACGCTTACAGAGTCAAACAAGACTGGAACTGAGACTTGAGCACCTTTAAGATTACCAAACAGCAGCAACAATTTTCTTATTATTTGCTCATTACCTTAGTAGTCTTGACGTAACACTTAACATTAAAAAAAGTTAGGATATAATTCCTCATAGGAAGAGATCTTTCCTCTATGTTCCCCATTTGTGTCTTTTGTTTTGTTCAAAAGGAGAGGAAGAGGCATGAAAGGTGGAGGAGACCATGTGTTACTAATGCATTTCTGAATAAATATGTGCTCTTTAAAAGAAGGATAGAGAAAAAGATCTTTCTGGAAAGTCTCGACAAATATTTGAGAAAACCATATTAGTTTTGTCATACTTAATGTTGTATATTATTTTAATTTTTGAACAGTAAGTATATGCCCATGATTCAGAAATGGAAACAGTGTGAGGAGATATAAAATATACAATGGGAAGGTCTCCTGCTCTGCATCAGAAGATTGCACACTCTACACACAGTTCAGCACTGTTCTTGTTTTCATGTAGTTCTCTGCCTTCAAAATATTTCTGATTGTTGCATAAAGGGCTTTCTCAGTCCGTTTTTTACAAAAGTATGGTATTCCAGTATGGGGATTCCGTAACCTAGCTGCCCACTGATGGACATTTAGGTGGTTTCCAATTTTTTCACTCATTGATATGTATGCAGGTAAATTTGTAGCTTATATTCCAGAAGTAGGATTGCTGAAAACAAAACAAAAAGAGTAAATGCATTTGTAATTTTGATAAATATTATCCAATCTCTCTTCAAAAATCGGTGCCAATTTTCTCTCCAATTAGCAATACAACAGAGGGTCACATTTGAGTAACATTATGAAATTACAACTTGGGAATTTTTGATGGCCTGATGGTTGGAAAAAGGTATCTCAATGTAGTTTTTTTTTTTGCAATTTTCTTAATATAAATGACATTAAACATCACATGTGTAAGATCACCAACTTATTAACAGCTTATTTTTTATTTAAATATTAATTTAGTAGTTACCATGTAGACAAAAATAGATTATGTTCCTTGCAGCCTTATAAACATGGTAGGGGCAGTCCAGATGGCTCAGCGGTTTAGCGCTGCCTTTGGCCCAGGGTATGATCCTGGGGTCCTGGGATCGAGTCCCACATCGGGCTCCCTGCATGGAGCCTGCTTCTCACTCTGCCTGTGTCTCTGCCTCTCTCTCTCTCTCTCCCTCTCTGTGTGTCTCTCATGAATAAATAAACAAAATCTTAAAAAAAAAACATGGTAAGAATTCTTGCAAGAAAAAAAAGCCTAAGACATCCAGAGCTTATCTTGTTCTAACTGGACAGTAGCTCAGTATTATGAAAATATTGGTTGGCTGTCCTTCCCCTTGCATGTTACAGACATAAATTTGGGCCAGAAGTAGTGCCATCTCCAGTTCTAGGGATGGATCCTGACTTGTGTGCATCCATCCAGTGATAAATGCTGTCTTCCTTGCCCTGGGAATTAGTCTGTGGATGAGTGAGTCTAGGCAGCTGGCACATGCATCCCCCAGCTACTGTGATTGGCTCAGAGATGTCAATCTGAGCAACATTTAAGACTTTGATTACGGATGGGAATGACTTTCTCCTCCTCCTCCTCCATGTGAGTGAGGAAGCACTGATCTTGGTTGTGGCAATAGCAGTTTTGAGAAGTTTTGAGAAGTCAGCCCAGGGCCCACTGAGACATAGATACAGAATGCCTGAGGCCTGAACAAAGTCTGGGCCTCCCTGCTTCATTGCAACAAATCTCTTTTCATGTTTATAACAGTTCAAATTGGGTTTTCTATTACTTGCAGTGGACACATTAGGATCTACTGTGAATTAGTGACCTAAAGTATTAATATTACCCTGATTCAAATAAATGTAACCTACATATATTAGGCACTTACAACCTATTCTACAGGACATGGTCTGTTTTTTTCTTCTATTTTTTTTGTTTTTTCTTCCAATTTTAAAAGTTATTATTTTTTTAGAAATAATTTTGATTCTACGCATTTAAAGAAAGGTTGGTTGTGACTCTTTATAGAGCTGTCCCTCTCTCTGAGATGAGTGGTGCTCCTGGACAGCGAGTGATGAGGTCTCACCTAATGTGGTTCTCACAGGCCAGCACCCTGGGCACCCACAAGTTGCCATTATCATAGACTCTAGGAAGTGAACCCAAACTTTGGAATGAGAATCATATACAATATTAAGCCATTTATTTAAGAAAGACTGTAAACATCACATTTTATATTATATATGTTACACTTAGGGCCCTACCCATTGTCCATCCTCATTAAAGAATCAGGGAACCTGATCCATTTGATGAAGAGGCATCTTTCCTTTTGGTCCCGTTCAGTCCCTCTTCTCTCTTCATCCTCTGGACTCTACAATGTGCTGGGCCTGGAAAATCCAGGTCTTCTGATTATAATCCCTGGTTCTCCCAGGTCCAATCCACACGTGAAAGGAAGTCAGATAACACACGAGGAGGCAGTCCTTTGTCAGGGCATGTCTTTCTTTTTGTGGCCACATACATATTAGAAAGAAACAGATTTCTAAGGTGCTACACGTTACCACAGGCATTTTACACCGACCTGCTCTTCTGTGCACCCACGGTCTCGCTACTAAGGGAAGGCTGCTGTTCTCAGGAGGTGTGTGTCCTCCAGCCGCTTCTAGTTCAGTTTTGGGGAATAGCGCACATGGAAATCAACTAGGATCTTCTTGAGCAGCCTGGTAAACCATCCTATGGAAGGTGTGCCTGTAACGGGAGCATACCATTATCATGGCCTTCTATCCCAAAAGACTTAAAATGGACATTCTAGAGTTAAGCCAAGAGCTTAAGCAGATACCATAAACCTGAAATCTGGTAGGCCCAACAGCCAGTGATTCGTATTGTTAATAATAGCACTTTGATTAGCAAAAATAAGAAAACACAAATAAGGAATTACAATTATCTACCTCTTACAAGTATGCCTGCGGTGTGCTGCACGCTCTACTGTGTGCTTTACCCTTTCTACCGTCTCATGCTCCTTGTTACCACCACATCTGATAAGGTATTGTTATTTCCATTGCAACAGAATGTTATTTGCTTTTACAGGGGAAAAAAAGAAAATTCAGCTTGTACATATTTTCAGCTTAATTTGCCATTGCCCCACTAGATGGCACTTTGATACCTCTTCTTGTTACATTTTAAGCCTTAGTATCCAGACAGAACGCATTTAATATTGTCTAAAATTCTAGGTACAGACGTATCTAGCAGCCTTCAATCAATTGCTTCAATTCAGATACGCTTGACTTTTCTAATATGATTGTTGTAAATATCTAGTCTCTAGATAGTGGACAACGCACTTCAGAGGCCCCAACTTTGGGGACTTCCCTTCCTGTTAGTGACTAACTACTGTGAGCCCCCAACAGTGGGCGCAAGTGGGTCTAGGTGTGCCAGGTGTGCTCCTCAGACACCTGGAGGACCGCAGGGGGAGAGCTCTCCTGTGTTCCACCAAACCATCCCCGTTGTCATTTGTCGCATGGATCAGGACTCCTTGTCATGTCTCTGTGGATTCCTATAAGCCACTGCCACCGTCCCCACCGTCCCACGACCCCCTCAACCTTCTGGTCACTCCCTGCCTCTCCCTCACACCTGATTTGCTAAACATGGGAACAGAATGCCCTCCCTTGATTACTCAGAATATTAGCCTCAAGTTGCAATATTTAAAACAAACACTGTTTTTGAATCCTAGAGGCTTGATGATAACAGAAAAGAAAAAAAAAGAAAAGAAATACCACCGGCACACACACACACGCACACACACACACACACCTACAGGCAAACACATACGCACGTGCACACACTCAGAAGTGGATGTGGACACAGCCCCTCCAAAGCTCCACAGGTCCAGCTCCTGCCTGCAGGTTTCCCTCCTGGCTGACTGCTGCAAGGCCGGGCTCAAGCACGCTCCAACCACGGGGCCCACGGGGACAGAACCGGGTTTGGTGGGGCAGTTGCTCGTGCTACTCTGTGCCTACAGAGGTCTCTATCCTCGGGTTTCATTACCCGGGTCTGGAAGCAGCTGCTCCTCATTCCGACTCAGCGCCCTAAGGTCAGTGGCAGGGCCTGCAGGGTAGTTACCTCGCTTCCTCCCCCACGCCCCTCATTTCAGCAGCTCAGGTCGTCAAGGGAAGAAGGGTGAGTACCTTGGGGCAATATGTTTAGAGGGAGGGCGAGCCCACCTTCACATAACTTGTAATTCAGTATATCGTGACAGATCTCATTACGTGCTGCTAATCTCTCACTGTGCCTCCTTTATACATGAGACTTCATCACAGGTAGGTCCGTAAAGGAAAAAGCATAGTATCTAGAGGGTCTGGTACTGTCTGCAGTTTCAGGGCATCCACTGGAGGCCTGGGGTCGGACTCCCGTGGATGGAGGTGGGGAAACTACTGTGTGCCACGGAAAGCTATTTAGGGCCAGAACCGTCTGCACTGGGTTTGTCCCCTTCATGTGAACAGGGCCTGACCTATGGGTCTTCCCTGACTCATGGGCAGTGTGCAGGACGTTGGCCAGCTGGCTTAGGGGCTTGAAAAAAAAATGAGAATAAAAAACTGGTGGAAAGATAGTGTGGGGAAGAAGGCTTAAGGATGCGGTTCTTGAGTGGGCTCAGTGTGGAATCTTCCCAGCTTCCAAAGATGCCCACCAGAGGGTGCGGTCTGCCTGGGAGTTGCATACCAATGCCCTGTGGCAGTTTGGAGCCACGGAGAAGTTCCTTGCAGCCTTAAAATGGCATTCCTCCTCAGTCCCACCTTACCCTGTCTACAATCTGTAGCTCTCCTGGTCTCAGAAGCGCTGGGCCTGAGCAGCCTGTAACAAAGTTATCACTCAGCGCTACTGAGCAGAGGTGCTCAGGTATTGTGGGAGGTCATGTGGTGCAGCCACTGGAAATTTGCAGATACTATCCATTTTTTTTTTAAGATTTTATTCATCTGAGAGAGAGAGAGAGAGAGAACACAAGCAGGGGCAGAGGGAGAGGGAGAAGAAGACTCCCCACCAACCAGGGAGCCTGACATGGGGTTTGTTCCCAGGACTCCAGGGTCATGACTCAGCCAAAGGTAAATGCTTAATCAACTGAGTCACCCAGGCGCCCTAATACTGTCCATCTTTATCTGGTTCCCATGAGGTCCAGTGGGAGAACTCTGCAGTGCCTGGGGATTGCAGGAATGCGCTTCTAATGCCTCCCCAACTCAGCCATTGGCCTTTAAGTTAAAATCACCTATGGAATTTTTTTTTTTTATAGCTCCCTTCAGAAAGCGAGTTCAGATGATACCCTTCTAGTAAGAGGTGACTGAGGGACAGATATTTATTTGAGCACTACATAATTTGGGGGGAAATGAAGCCTTAGAAGTCATACTTTATTCAAATGTAACCCATTAAATTGTTTACCTAAAGAAGAAAGCATAGTCTCTGTTAGACCACAGAGCAAACTTCTACACAAAAGTATTATTTTGAAATGAATTTCACTTCAAACATTTCCATTTAAACTTAATGATTGCTACAAAGCAGAGGACCCAAAGATGCAAATACCAAAAATATTCAAAACTCCTAGAGAAAAACTAACAAAATTAACTCTCATCCATTACCCAATTTATCCAAGGATAGTTATTAAAATTAATTTTGAGACCTGTAACTGTCATACTTTATTACAGAGGATAGGAGATAGGGAAAAAAACTTTTAAAACACAATTGGTAATTATATAAAATGAGAAATGTTAAATGTTTTGTCAGGAGAACTTACTGAAAATGTTTTCATTATATTTCATACATTTAAATTTTTTTCTCTAAAATACAATGGGTGAGTTCATAAATATTTCAATAAATATGATTCTTTAAAGATTTTTTGTTGTACATCTAAAAAAGTGGTTACATAAAATCATATAAAATTTCTGTTCAATATGTTAAATATT